TTCCCAATGTCTTTACACTCTATAAGAGAAGCATGCGACGTAGATAAATTTGAATTCTCACCCTCTTTTGAAACGACAAACTAAAACCACCCTCACTGATATTTAAATTTATATCTCTTTGTTTGATTTCCATCAAAGCAAAAATTTCGGTGCCTTCGTCGACATCAACCAAACAATAAAAAAATAAAGCAGAAGGAAATGTATGATGAATATTTTTATTTTCTTTTAGATCTGTCATAAAAAGAAATCAAACACGAAATCACCAAACATTAAAAATACGCATGCGCATCATCATAAAGAATCTTGAATTATATTTTGATATTTTTAGATGAATCAACAACATGTGCGCACCCACACATTGACACTAATGAAAATCGAGAGAAAATTTTCCCCAACATTTGAGAATATTTTTCCTTTCTTGCTCACGGAATCAGTTTTATACTTGAGCTTGTGCTGTTTGGTTTGATTATGTTCGCTTTCTGAAATATTAAACCAATTAGGGGAAGAATAAGATTGCATTTCCTTTGAGCCAACAAACAGCAAAATCAAAGTGAAAAGTGTGACAGAAAGGTGTATTAAATTTCAGTTTTTATCGTTGAACATCAACAAATCAAAGTGAATGTGAAATGACAGAGAGGCGTGAAGAAGTCAGTGATTTTGCTTACAGTTTTTATGCGACGCAAGTGAAGAATGTGAACCACTGAGATGGAAAATTCATTGATTTCATTAAGCAATGACATCTCGCACAAACTATCTGCTTAAACTTGAAGTGAAACGGTAATCTAATAAGCGGATATTTTATTTCTTTCTTTATATCCTTTTAATTTTCCTTTTCGTAAATATATTGGGCGTCCCCGTTGAGAAAAACAGAAAGATTATGATTTTCCTTGTTGACGATGCTGGGAGGTTTTCCATTGCGCTCTCAACATCTTCTCTCTCAGGCTCTGTGATTTTCGTTCATGCTTCAGGTTTGCCAAAAAATGACAAGAATTTCTTTTTATTTTCGTTTGCTCATTTTCCATCCAAGAATAATTTTCATTTAATTTTATTCTATGACAATTGAGTTTTGTGGTAATCAAAGTTTATTCAAATTTTACTTCTTAATAACCTTCGTTGAGCAAGACACTTTGACAGCTTAGAAGCATGAAATACAATTCTATTCAGCTTTTTTTTATTGGGGTTCTTTCAGCCACCGTTTTTCTCCTGCTAAGCTTAGATATTCATTGAAATAAAACTGAAATCATTTTCACCTCGCCCAGTTTTTGTGTTTTACTCTGTTTTTGCTAGCTAAGGTTTTTTTTTGATTAAAAATTAAAACCATCCGTGGAAAGGTTTGCAGAAAAATAATGAAAATTCTATGACCGCCTTTTTATTTTAATGGAAATCGAAAAAAAAACTCTTTTTTGCCATTGTTTAGTGGAAAGTTTTACGTAAAAGACATTAAGGGTAGCCGGAGGAATAACAATGAGCAATTTCAGAAATTTTAAATATCCAACCATGTTTTAAACAAACTTTATTGATATCGTAAAATTTCAAAAATATTTCATTTCTTAACTACACCCACACATCAGAAACAACCACTCGAATTCGACATCACTTTACAGGATTTTACTTTGAATCCACTAAACAAACATACAAGCCTCGAGGGTACAATAATCATCTTAGAAAAGTTTTTATCTCAAGCAGTTGATGATGAAAAATGTTTCATCAATACGAGATCAATTCGAGCGATTCCAAGATAACCAACACGAGAAACGAGATTAAATTTCAAATAAATTTGTGACTATGTTGAGTGCTTTTCTAACACGAAATACAATTAGAAGATATTTAATTTGCTTAGATAATTAATTGACAACAAACATGCTTATGTACATATGTTGGTATCTACTTGTTGTTAATGATACTTCAAAATGTATCGATTTTGTATCATTTATTTCCCTTCTGTTGTGTATTTAGTAACGGACGGTAAGGAAAAATTAACTCAACATTGTTTGTTATCGCTTTGAATAATCGTAGGTGTTGTTTCTTGATTAGTTTTCAACTGAATTAATTAAAATCCTTTTTAATAGGGTCAACCACAAATTAGAACTTTTATTTATGTTCTGTTATAAAAGCTGACCAAGTGGATATCATTAAAAACAATTAATTGTTGCAAACGGAACGTTTAGTCTTCAGTATTATCTTTCAAGAAAATACATTGAAACAAAACAAATGATTTATTGAAATTGATATATCCCTGAAGCTTCATCACATTACAAATATTTATTACGCTTTAATGATAAACAGGAAACAAACATCACGAGAAAGTAATTTTTTTTAGATTTACGAATGAAGTCACTCGCTATAATCGTAACCGTAAAACTTAATTATATTTAGGCTGTTTATTATCAAACGTCCCCGAAATAATTTTCTAATTTGAGCTCACGCTGTGAGATTAATAATTAAATCTTATCAGTTAATATCTCGGCGAAATTCATTCAAGTGAATCAACCAACTCGTTTCAAGGAATTAAATTTTATTATTTAATGACTTCCAGTAATGCACAATCGCCTGTTGTAATAATGTTGAAAGCGAATTAAAGTAGAGTTTTATGAGTTATTAACGAAGGTATAAACTCTTAGGTATTGATGATTAATGAATAGTAATGCTATTGAACCATGGAAAAATACATAAAAGAATTTATGAAATGGTAGAAATTAATTTTCCGTTCATTTTTACATCGTGTCATGTATCACCGTTAAGCTAGGAGTTCATGAGGCGAGAGATGTTGATAATAATTGCATGAAATAAACGAGTTAAACGTCTTTCCATGCCTTTCATTTTAACCGTCCTATGGCATTTTCATTACTTCATTGTTATTCATTTTCCGCTTTATATTGTAGAAAGCATATTTTCCATAAAAGTCTTGCATAAAGTCAATCTAAGTAAAACGTCACGTCTTTATTATTATGACTACTAACATCAGAATGCCTTAGCCTTTCTGACGCTTTATCCTATCTTTGTTTGCAATCCAATTAAAATCCATTCAGGAATTACATTTTTCGAAACACATATAAACGACAATGAAATTGACTGTGGAAAATTCAATTCTAATTCTTTGTTGTCATGTCATGGTTATTTGAGAATGAAAAGTATCAAGTAGAGTTAAAACTTTATTTTCAAACTTAACGCCCATTTCAATGGTGAAATCCTCAAAAAGATATAAAATATCTAAACAATTTATTTGAGGGTTCATTTTATCATGAAATCACTTCAATAGCATAGAATCAAACGATTTCTATTTCAATTCTTATTACGCAACAAAAGTCATTCACAAATAAATGTGTACTCGTCTTGGCAACCGTAATACTGTTTGGTTATTTATTTTCTACCTTTTTTTATTTGGTATTTGAAGAAGGAAATACTTACTTCAAAGTGACAGCCGCTTTGGGAGATTCACATCATCATATTCATGTGAAAGCATTATTTATGGCAACAAAGCGTTAGACAACAAAAGGAAATATTAAGCTCTGCTTTTGGGAGAAAATCATTTTCTTGATAGGGAAATCGTGAGCTTATAATATTTGCATGAAGAGCTTTTATATTGCACGTCACTTTATAAGAAATGAAACTCAAAAGGGAACGAATGTGTTGATATCTAACGACTTCATATCTACTTTCACACTATTTTATATTGAGAAGGGGAGAAAAATGAACAATTGAGAAGCATTAGATGCAAGCTTGCGTTTGCTTTTCAGTTGAATAATCTATTGAAGAGTGTAAATAAGGCAACAGTTCGCTAAAACACGCTTCTATGCTTGTTAAATTACTCATAGAAAATTCCAACTAATCTGATCTGATAACTTTCTAGACGTACAAAGAATGACGCTTAATCAATCGAAAATTTCTTTCTCTCACTCTATTTACGTCATTGAACAGATATTTAGTTCGTAATTAAATTATCATATGACATGAGCATGAATTTCATGAAACTGGGACAACAATAATGAAATTTTCTGATGTTTCATTTGAAGATATTTGACACTGTAAACGTCCGACGCTCACGTTTCACAGTTTTCAATAACAGCGAGAAAATTCTTTTTAATTTTGCTAAAAGCATCACTGAGTATTGATAAAAATTTATAAACAATATTTAATGTGTCTGCGGAGTTTCCATGTCAGTTCATTGAAATCAATCGATTTATTTTTATGTCTGATCTGTTCTTGTTTAAATAATCTTGCGAACCATGATAGAGAGTGATTGTTAAATATAAAATGACATTGCTTTCAATTCGAAATTCTAATAATTAAATATACATTTATTGAGATATTTCATGATACATGAACGACGAGGATGACGTGGGTATACTCTGAAAGTCAACCTCGTTCTGGAAAATTTCTTTCTCTCCTTCATTTATGAACATCGTCGCGATAACGTTGTTCATGATACTGGAAAATAAAAAAGGGCATCATAACGATCCTTGTCAATTGTTGGAAGATATTTTTTACATTCCTTTGAGATGACCTTTGAGAGATAGAAAAAGTAAGCAGACGAAAATAACTTCCAACAATGTCTTTATGATTACAATATCTAAGAGAAAAAAAGATAACGAAGCTTTCAAAAACCTCATTTTCAAACCGTAGACATTAAAAGAAAATTATGTTTATAAATATTCTCGTCACATCATCTCATAATCGTTTGTCTAATGCTTTCAGATTAAAGCACTATCGAAACAGCATAATAATGGTTCACAATGTTGAGGGGGTGGAAGTTTGTTGGTCTATCTGCAACCATCATTTTATACGTATTAGGAATTCTGGTATTATCAATAGTCAATTTGCAAACACCACGCAGCGAGAAGCGTGTAAAAAATTCACGCTACGTGACCGATGTGAGTATTTAAGAAGCTATTTAAGTATAAAAAGGTTCATGTTTTCAGTAAGTGAAGCTTAAATAAATATCTTTTAATATAACAGGTAAATTACCATCGCAATGAAGTGGGACTTATTAGAAAAACTCCATTACAGCTTCAATGGTGTTCAGAACTTCATTTTATGGGCCAGAAGTCGAGTCCTTTCAAGCTTAAAGCAATGTCATTAGAAACTTTTCCAGGCCACAAAATCAATAGAAATAGTTTTATAATCGAAAGCAACCATGTTATGCTCAAGGAAACTGTTAAAAGCGACCAACATAATAACAATTTTTTAAGCATAGCTAGCACAATGAAAAGTGATAATAACGAATTTAATGATAACGACAGCAACAACAACAACAACGACAATGAAAAAGTTACTGCATTGGCGAGCTTTCCAGGATCGGGAAATACTTGGCTTCGATACTTACTTCAACAAGCTACAGGCATTCTAACCGGCAGTGTCTATAAAGATTACGGTTTACTGAAAAGCGGTTTTCCCGCTGAAAGTATTTCAAATTCGTCCGTGCTTCTTGTCAAAACTCATGAGTGGGGAAGTCACGTTTGGTCAAAGTTTAACAAAGCAATTTTGCTTGTTCGAGATCCGGCAAGAGCAATTGTGGCGGAATTCAATCGACAAAGTGGTGGACATGTTGGATTCGCATCACCGGATCGATATAAAAGAACCAAAGGAAAATGTAAGTCATTGATTGTCAGTACATGTAACGCCGTAAATCTTATTTTCTTTCATCTCATCTCATAAATGTATGTATCTACATAGATTGGATAAAATTCGTTACAACAAAATTACACGCTTGGGAGCAAACAAATCTATCATGGGGAAGGAATTTCAGTGGCCCTGTACTTATAATTTGGTATGAAGATTTAGTTGATGATGTGGAGAAGACAATTCGTGATGTTCTTAGATTTATTGACTATCCCATAAACGAGGATCTCATGCGTTGTGCAATAATGCGCAAAGAAGGAATTTATAGAAGAAAAAAACGTCTCTTAACATTCGATCCTTATACAACGACGATGAAGAAGATGATTGAACAGAAACGAGCTCAAGTTTATGCTGAACTCGGGCGTAATAAAAAGCCTAAATAATAAAAAAGATTTTGTAGACATTTTCATAAAAAATCAAAAGCTAATATTCAATGAAACATTAATTAATGTTGTCATTTTCTGATGGTTGTCACATGGGAAAGATTAGTGGACGTGATAAATCAACGTTCTTTCATGTTTATGTTCATATAAATAACAAATCACCATGTAGAGATGTTTCAATTTACTGTAAAACAAATGAGTGAGAAATTAATAACAAAAATAAAAGAAAAATTTGTCAAAATATTCTTGAATTGTGATTGAATTTTATTTATTTGAAAATTGTGATTACGGTTTGACTTGAAAACTTTCTAAATTCATTTGGAATGAGGTGGTCAAACCTTGATCGTGATTGATTTCGATAAACACTTAATTATATTTAACATCAACAATTATTTTCACAAGTTTAGTTGAAAGTGATTTCCTATTTAATGAATTAAGAATTTACGTGCAAAAGTAAGTTTGGAACATGTTATTAACATCACGAGATTCTTTCATCGCTTAAACGAACAAACAAATATTTTCATTAGGGGTTATTAAGCGTATGGATGTTTATCTCATATCGTTTTAAACAATCTACAATGTGCTTTTCAGATATTTTGCAAATTATTTTCTGGCAGTGGTTCTCAACTTATTGTTCACGTAAACTTTAGAATTAAATTTATTAACTTAAATTCTCAAAGTTTTTTAAAATGCATAATGCATTCTTATCTCTGATTTAATAACAAAAACATCAACTTAAAGTTCTGCAAATCCAAGAAAGATTGAGAACCCCTGACTAAACAAGTTTAGTTTAAAAATAATTTGAGTTATCGATTGTTTCTGAATAATATTCATTGATGTTGATTAAATACAACAAATCATAAAGCTCCTTTTGGTATTCTCGTCGAGTGAGTTTGTTGCCAACATATTGTAAATATTTCATTGAACGACCAAAGTCATCTGCATCTGCCTCCAATTTGAGAAATTTTGAAGTCTGGAAATAATTTCCATTTTTCACCCATTCTGATGATTTCAAATGTCTGCGTAAGATGAAAATAGAAAAATAGTTAAATATATTAACAAAAGATATTGACTTACTTGTAGAACTTCAAGATGACTTTAAACAAATTCTCAATTCCCTTCTGGAATTCAAAAGCGTTCTTGTTGATCAAACAAAGGAAGAAAACACGTTTGAGGTAATTTGTATGCTTTCTATAAATTGTTTGAATCGACTTTGCTGTCTTCAAATCTTCAACGAAAGCATTCCATGATATTTGCAGAACATTTGTCGTTATATGATTCTCCAAAGTGTGAAAAAAATGCGTCATTTTGTGGCGAAGAAATTGAACATTTCGAAACTGACGTGAGATTAAAAGAAGATTTCCATGCTTCTTGCCAGCATCTTTTATTAATTGGAAACACTCGTCAAGAACCCAACTGATTCGTTTAAGCTTTAACAAGTAATTAAATATCGCTTGATACTGTTCCATAGTTTCCGGATTGAGAATCAGAGTTAATGGCCATTTCAACTTGTAACTCATCGTCAGCATGTTCAACACAGTGGGAGAGTAAAGTTCAAACCTTTCCGGAATGTTTGTGACTATAAAAGAAACATTTTCAGTATTTGGATCATGTCGTGAACGACACAAAGCTTGATTCAATATCATATGAAGTGATTGATAATTCAGAAGTTCTGACGGTCTCACACCGCTTTCCAATTTGTTAAATAACTGATCACAAACACTCAATCCGAATTCTCCATTCATCATCAGAAAATAATTTCTTAAACTCTTAAAATGTGAGAGAATGTCGAGATCTTTAATAAACATTTTCATCGTTTCATTGTTAAGAATTTCCATGTAAGTGTTAACCGGAAGCATGAGTGATAATTGCAGAAACTGCGACATGGCCATGGTGTCAGTCGTTCTTATATTGTCATAAGAAACCGACGATTGTCGACCAATTTTCTCATCGAGATTAATTCTCATGAAGTTAGAACAATTTTTCTCAATTGCATCTTGAAATGCTCGAAGCATTTCTTCTTGCTCTTCATCATCATCATCATCATTGGAAATTTTAGCCATTTCTGTTGATTCATCTGGTGATTTATTTTCACTTTCGACACGGTGATTTTCTGAATCATTTGAAAAATGATCTGATGTAATTGACATTGGCGATTCAAGTTGTTGCTGTTTTGACTGTTCAGTCTCTGAAATGTTCAATGTCATTGTTGGTGGTGAGATTTCTCTTTCGAGATTAAATTCATGAGATAGAACTTTAATACGATTTTTTTGTAAATCGCTTAATGTTTCACATCGTTCAACGTTGATTTTTGGTAACGATTTTATTTTATTTTCATCAACCAATCCAAATTCATGGCCGAGAACTTTCATTTTATTCTTTTGAGCATCGGTCAATGATTTTATTGTCATTTCTTTAACTGAATTCCCATCCTTCGTCTCATCGCAATCCACTTGAGGCGATAAATTGAATTCATGCGACATAATTTTCAATTTGTTTCGTTGAGCTTCGGTCATAGTTGTCGTAGTTACAACAATATTATTCATCTCATCAGTTATTGTCGATGTAATTTCAGTTGATTGATTAGGCGACTTGTCGTTGGCATTGAGAGCATCTTCTTGCTTATTTGTTGTTGAACTTTTTTCTTTTGATTCTAAGGATGACTTCAGATCACTTACGAGTTTATCTCGAATAACATTTTCTTCGTCAATCTGTTGACTCAATTTCTCGTAACATTCAACACTATTTCGAAGCTCTATATTCTCTTTTTTAAGTTCATCTTCCTCAAGTTTATCAACTTCTCTCATGTAATCATATTCACTTTGAATGGATTCCATTCGTTTAACAATTTTATTCTCTTCGATTCTTCTGAGTTCATCTTGTAAGCATTTCATTTGATTTTCACGTTTTTCTGCGAGTTCAACACGACGAACTTCCTGTTCTTGTCTCCATTTTTGAATGTTTTTTGACGATGCTGTTTCAGATTTCTTCAAATTATCTTTTTTCATTTGCTTTTTATCATCGATGATTGTTGAAAAAGAAATTTTTTCGCCACAAACATCTCGTGCTTTATTTGCAAAAGACTTGCATTCACTTCGTATCTCTGACAGTTGTTCGTTGGTGAGACAAACTTTAAGTGGGGGTTTATGTAGCATGAAAAGTGGATGCTGTGAACGAGAGAAAAAATAAAGTAAATCCCATTGAAAGATGTGCTTTCTGGTCAATTAACTTACAATTTGATTGTAGGATTTTAGCAGCATCGTGTATTTACCACATAATAAAATTGTCTCAGCACAACCATGAAGAAATCCTGGAACAGAATCCTTTTCAATCTGATAAGCTCGGTCAAAGAAATATTTCGTGTCAGGTTGATAATGATCAATGAAGTAGACGAAAAGTTCTTTACTTGGATCATCGATAATTCCATGAAATAGCCATTTGTGAAAATTGTTGAAATAAATCTGACAACACGACTTCAGACATTCAACGAAAAAGCTTTTAATGCCATGATCAAATATTGAAGTATATTCATTGTAGAGTAAACTCAGAAATTCTGATACATTCCTAAGCTTTCCACGATCATAAGAGTTTGGATGAATTCTCAGAAATTTTGTGATATGAATTAAAATATTTCTGATAAATCTTGTATTTACTGAAAGTTCTAAGAAAGTTTCAACTTCTTGTGAATAAAAGAAATCTCTGTAGTAGTTGATAAAGCGATTTGTAGAGTCACAAAATGCTTTAAAGACGTATCCTTCATGTATATGTGTTTGAGTGTCACTATTTTTAGTTATGTAAGCTTTTAGTCGACTAAAACATGTTCCAGCTTCCAAAAATTCTTCCACATAATGACTTATATCAGATATGTTTTCACAACTAAAGTTTTCTTTCACATAAAATAGATTATCTTCTTCTATAATTCTTTTGAATGATTCCGACTCAATACCGATGGAAAGAAGTTTAATGTCGTTCAATATTTTTTCCAATGATAACATCTTAATCTCAACTGGTGCCTTTATTCCTGAAAGAGTTAATCTTTCGTAAAAGTGTGGATGGGATTCAGAACTAAAACTCTTCTCAATTTCATCATATGTTTCTAAATTTTCCCAAGTTTTTATTTTCTTATAGGAAATTTTAGATGTTTCTGAGGATTGTCTTGTCAGTTCATTCAACTTCAAAGTATTCGAAACAAGTTGATTCTTTTTCTTTTTACTTCCATTGTATGAATCAAAAATGTCACTGAAGAAACTACAATCATCGTCAAGAGTGATTGCATTTGTTGAAAGTTGAATGAAGATCTTATGTGAGTGAGGAAGATAAACATTCTTCTTGTTAAGACGATTGATGTTGGAAGATATTTTAAAGAAGTTTTTCTCAAGCTGTTAAAAGATTGAAAATGTCAAAATGAGTTGTCAATTGTTTGATTTCAGTACTGACCTTATCAGGAGTAACATCTGGATCGATATTTCGTAAATAAAACAACAGCCAACAAACTGAGCTAAATAATTGAGATTTCTTATTAATTTCATTATTGAAGTGAATTAATTGCTTTGAATCCTTTTCACGATTAGCAAGTGCAAGCTCAAATGTCACTTTTTCAAATTCTTCATCAAGCTTTTCATTCTCATAAATTTCACTGCTTCCATTACTTTTTAACAATTCAAGAAACGCTATCTGCTTTGCACAATTCAAACTTAAACTGTTTTCTTCAGCTTGGGATTCTTTAGTTAAACTTGAACATAAACGACAAATTAATTGATAAATACTAGCGTCTTCATTCATGTCTTAAATGTTTTTTATATTTACGTTGATTTTGTATATTTGTTGATCTTCCCCGAAAAAACAAAATTGAGGGGTATAAAGTTTTTGTGTTATTTATTATTGGGGGGTGAAAATTTGTTAGTGCCGAATTCACACTCTCCGCCTGAAACTGCTTTCTGGATACTTTCGAGAAGCCGAAAACTCAAAAGAAAATTTCATATTTTTTAAAATCGTTCATAAAATACGAGTAAAATTTGAAGCTAAGATATATAATCTAAGAACAGATTAAATATAGCATTGAAATGTTTTATCATGTAAGTTGAAAGTAAAGTTTTTAGCATTCCGGATTTGAATATTTGTTTTTGTTTGTATTTCAGATCGCATTGGAACATGAAATTTTATTACATCCGAGATATTTCGGTCCACAATTGCTGGACACTGTAAGACAAAAACTTTATACCGAAGTTGAAGGAACGTGTACGGGAAAATATGGATTTGTAATCGCTGTAACTTCGATTAACGACATTGGAGCTGGAGTGATACAAGCGGGACAAGGTTTTGTTGTGTATCCTGTGAAATATAAAGCTATTGTCTTCCGTCCATTCAAGGGAGAAGTTCTGGATGCTGTTGTAAAACAAGTAAATAAAGTAGGAATGTTCGCCGAAATTGGTCCACTCTCATGTTTCATCTCACATCATTCAATTCCCGCCGACATGCAATTTTGTCCAAATAGCAATCCAGCGTGTTACAAATCCAAAGATGAAGACATTTTAATAGCAGCAGAAGATAAAATTCGTCTGAAAATCGTCGGTACACGTGTAGATGCAACAGGAATCTTTGCTATTGGAACACTTATGGATGATTACCTTGGACTTGTTCTTAACTAAATTAAAGTAAGAAAACTTTAGTATGTTAAGTGCAAATCTATGAATAAGTTTATTTTAAATAAAAGTTCAAATGAGCTCACAACAGTGTGTTTAAACATAAAAGATCAGATTTCAAAAACAATAAATTACTGGCATTAACATTATGAAATATTTTACGTAATAAATTAATTTAGAAGAACGTACAAATGGACATTACATTTAAGAAAAACTTTTTTTAAGTATACAGCGTACAGATGGCTCCAATGATTTGTTTAAATATCTATCTAAAATAGTTTTATTGCACGCATTACAAGTCCCACGAGAACAAATGATGTTTCACAAGCATATCTGCAACTCCCTGCTTCAGTGGTTGACTCGTCACGTCTTTTTTTACAGGCAATTCATAGTCAGGATTCAAATTGAATGAAAATTGTGACAATATTCTCAATTCACATTTGATTTGAACGTAAGCGGGCGAATTCATGAAAGAAAACTTTTGATACCATTTTTCAAGTACGGAATCAGACGAGCAGAGAACATCGAACCACAAATGAAGAACTTGTTCATTTAATCCCATGCAAATCAAAGATCTTAATTTCACATCCATTTGCGCTTGTTCATGGGATTGATTGACTGATTGCACACATCGAAAAAGCAATTCTTCTGGCGTTAAAACTTTTATATCTTCATCAAGCCGATAAGTTTTGCATAAAACAAGTCGTGAATAAACAGATTCGAAATCTTTTTCCACTTCACGATTTGCCGCTTCTTCAATGAATAACCAAGGATGACATGGACCACCTAAAAATGTTGGACGTTTCATTCCGTATTCGAGAACTTGTTTAATTGCGGGGCATAAAGTTCCTCTCACGAGATCAGTTACAGTCTCACATAAACTATCATCGCCTGCTGCTACATAAATTTTACTTCTTTCATCGAGAAGCTCGACAAACTTGGCTGGAAACCAACCAGTCAAACCATTCAATTCTCCAATCCAACAATCTTCATCTTTCTGACTTATGATCGTTATGATGTCATTCTTTCTGAAACCAAGTTCATCGGGATCATGTCGCTCGAAGTCGTGAAGTGCTTTTGCACGTCGTCGACGATTTCTTGAAACATTCACATAATTTTCATGATCTTTGACATGAGAATTTGCTGAATAATCAGCTTGAAGATTTATATGTCCATTTAATTTGGGTTCAATGGCTATGAAATGGCGAGCGACTTTCAATATAGCATCGCGTAATTCAACAACGATTTCCGAGTTTTTAATATTCTTTGTCTTTAATTCATCATCTCCATCATCAGTTCCAAAGAGAAGCATTTGAATCATCGACTTACTCTTCTTAACTTCACGTTTCGATAAATGTTGTTTTGGTAAGTTCGGCATTGGACTTGACTCTAAGTTTCCAACTAATGCACCCTGATCAATCATTAAATAAGCTAAATGCCGTCGTCGATGTGTATCGATAACCATTTGATTTAAAGAACCACCAATTTCAAGTGAAACTTTGAAAAGATTATCGACGTCTTCAACTTCTCCTGGAATATCTGATAAGGCATTAAAAATTTGTGCGGAATTCTCCAAAGTTCCAAGCACAGATTCTTTAAGTTTTATCATTCCCAATGTAAGTTGAAAGAGAACAATGGATCCATCGCAGAAGAACCAATCCCAAAGTCTCAACAAGATTTTCATGTGAACAACACTGGCGAATAACGTCAGAAACCATTGGAATGTTATTAACGATACTTCGATGTCATGTTGTTTCAACTTTTCATCAACTGGCGATAAATAGTTGGAAATAAGCGTTTGTAACACTCGTTGATCAGCTTGTATTCCAAGTAATGTTGAAGAGTAGTATGAAGCTGGTAAGAGATCTTCAACAATTGTTGCTGTCAACCAAAAGCAATCTTCTTCCTCCAATAGCAAAAGCAATGAAGCTACAATTACACCAGTCCCTTGACAATATCCGATATCAGGAAACATCCAAGCAAGACCTCTCAATATTCTTCTTAGTCGAGGTATGCCAGTTCCATTCATGGACGTAAAGCAATAATTAGAAGGCAAAATTCTCGTTAGATCTTTTTCAATTTGCTTTGATGTCACCAGATTGTCATTGTTGGAAGCTTTAATGATTTCCATGTAACTGCTTTGTGATTTGCGTTTCTTTTCGTATGCACCACTAAGACACATCCAGATTTGTGGTCTCAATGAGTGTGGAATACCTTCAAAGATCACCATGTTTCGTAGTTTTTCTGTCTTTGGAATTGTACTGGACTCGAAATTGAGGTCACCACTGGAATTCGTTGAGAACTCAAGATGAGCAATCCATTTTAAGCGAGATGATTCATCTTCTATGAAAGGAATGCCTAGAAGCTTCGAAGAGTCTGGCTCGGGCTTATCTTCATTTTCAACTCGAAATCCAAACTCATCAAAGTGATAATCTTCTTGATCTGCGTTGTCAGATTTTTCCAAAATCTCTGATGGTATAATTGATGACGGTAGAATACCACTGAATTGCCCACCTGGATTTAATTTGAATCCTACATCATTCCCGATCTCTTCTGAATCAATAGATTCAAGTTTGCGCTAAAATTCAAGATCATATGTTGATTGCGTAGGTGGAAATAAAACTTAAACATATTTTCAAATTAATTAATGTACTCACGTTATGTTCGCTCTTTCCAACATATCCAGCATGATCTCGAGAGGCAAACAGTGATTTTGCTACATCCATTTTCACAATTAATGGGTTTAAATTGCTACGAATATGATTTAAATGCAATATTTGTTCATTACAAGAAAATTATTTGAGTTTTTGACCCAAGTAAATTACACATCAACTACACATCATTTGGGAGATAAACAGAAGGGGTACACAGCTTACGAAACATTTCATTCGTTTTCCAAGCTTGACAAAATTGTGAAAATCTGAGATAAATGTTCATTCATGAAAATTAAAACTGAATTCTTGTTAAATTGCTTTTAATGTCAGTTTTAAATCCTAAGTTAAAGTAAGCAGCGTAGTTAAAGTGTCTTTAAATAAGTTTTACAACAAAAGTGTTCAGGAAATGTTGGAATGGAACGAGAAATCAAATTAAAAATCTTTTGTAAGAATCAGATTTTTTTTTCTCTCTAATTTTACGGTGCCCACATCAAAAACTCGTAAAACACCTCCAAAAACATGTTTGTTAATGGATTTATGACTTAAATTTTATATTTTAACGATTCAAGACCAAAGACTTAAAATTTACACTCCTTTTTTGCAAGTTTCACCCATTTCACTATTTTAGTATGAATTGAATTGATCAATCAATCATGTCTACGCAACTTTTTCTTTGCACAGTCTACTAATTAATTAAATTTCCCCTGTTAGGCTATGGAACAAAAGCTGCGTGATGATAGTGATTATCAGAATTTAAGAAACGACCCAGCCAACGAAACGATAAGTCAATTGGAATCTAAAATTGAGGAACAAAAACAATTAAGGCTACAGGATGCAAGACAAGTTGAGTTAAAAGCAGCTCGAATCAAAGAGTGGGTTACAAATAAACTTCGAGAACTCGAAGATCAAAATCGCTTGCTTCGTGAACAAAATGTTAAATGTAATCAACAGCTGGATCTTTTAAAGTATGTAAATCATATTAATTAATGAAATTTCTTGTTAATCTAATCAACTTCTATCTGTTTTCTCTTATTTTTCTTCTCAATCAACCCAATTTCTAGGAAACACATTGCAACAACACAAAACACCCGCTACAACACTCATCAATCAATTCGTTCCAGTCTCAGTCTCTCATCCGAATATAGAAATCGTGGAGAGCATCGTCGTAGTGAATCATTGGACACGAAAATTACTGGAAAACAATTATTTCTTTCTAGTCATCCGCAATATAAAAGACGGTCTCAAAACTACGCCATGGATCCACAGGATCTGATCAGTAATTTTAATGTTGAAGGACTGAATCTCATCACTTCAAGTGGTAATTCTAACAATTCCGTTACACATGACTACGCTGAAATCTACACACCGTCAATAGAAAAGACGCCTTCATGGATGAAAACGCTCGCAAGTTACGGTTCGAGCTCTCCTACCTCAACTTCAGCTGATTACGTGACAGCAAAACCACCGACACCTCCGCTTCATCGCTTTCCATCATGGGAAGCAAAGATTTATGAAGTAGCAAAAGATGGCTTAGGAGGTGATGAGAGTGACTCTCAAGATCAAGATTTGTCAAGTGCTAATATGGACTCGTTGCCACGGACTCAGCAAGGAGCTGTCATTGGTGGCTATTGCGATATTAATGTGCCAGTTTATGCCACAGTTAAAGGACGAGCATCTCAAATTCGATCGATTCCTTTCTCTGGCGATTCTAGTGATGATTCAAGTGATGCTGAAGAACATGTCGCTTCTATTCCATGCACACAATTCAACAATTCACATAATTCAATGTGCACAGATAACACAGAAACAAGCATGAGTGGCTCAAGTCCCTCAAAAAGCTTAAAAACTTCATCAAGCTTATCACCTGCAAAACACCAAAGTGCTGGATCCGACAGTCCTCAAACTAAGAACAACAATAACAACAAGGAAGTGCTCTTTGAGAATGACACAATGGATTATGCAATTCCACCAGATGCTTTGTCGCATTGCGAGTCGATGCATGCATCACTACCGTCGATGATGAGAGCTTCTTATATTGATTCACCGAAGAAGATGGAAACATTAGAGAAGTCTGGTCATCTGGTGAAGTTAGGTGGAAAGTTGAAGACTTGGCGTAAGCGATGGTTTGTTCTGAAGAATGGAGTTTTGACTTATTGGAAGAGTCAACATGATATCAATAAGAAACCTCAGGGAGAAATCACATTAGATGATAATTGTCGGATAATTCATGCCGAAGGAGCTTCCACATTTGAGATTGATACTGGTAAGAAGATTTATTACCTGACTGCTGATTCAAACGTTCTCATGGATGATTGGGTTCGTGTATTGCAAAATGTCCAAAAGAGAAATGCTGCTAAATTACTGCTGAGCAAGGAAGATCAGAAACCAACGGTCGAAGGATGGTTAACGAAAGTCAAAAATGGACATGCTAAGCGTTGTTGGTGTATTTTGTTAGGAAAAATGTTTCTGTACTTTAAAACATCGCACGATACAAATCCTTTGGGACAAATCAATATGAGAGATACGCGAGTCGAAGAAATGCCAACATCGGATTCAGATTCGGAAGAGAATGAAGAGCAAAGTCAAAGCACAAAATTGACAATTGCAATTCATCCGCAACATCAAGGTCCAACTTATTTGATATTCAAAGAGAAACAAGAACGTGACAATTGGTTGTATCATTTGACAATTGTGTCAGGTGGTGGCCCGAATTCTGGTACGCAATTTGAACAGTTGATTCAGAAGATCATGGAAGCTGATGGTGATCCGAACAATGTTTTGTGGCGTCATCCAATCTTACTTTATTCAAAAGAGAATACAACGTCACCTTTGACTTCATTAAATACGGAAGAATTACAAAATGAAGCTCTTAAATTATTTAAGGTATTTAATTATGATTAAATATTCATTCGTTTGTTATTCATATTTATTTAATTTACAGAGCTGTCAACTTTTCCTATCGGTTGCTGTAAATCAACCTGGCATTGATTATCATGTTGTGTTAGCTCAAAATGCTCTTCAACATGCCTTAGACATGCCTGAATTACAAAACGAGTTAATTTGTTGTCTTATCAAGCAGACAAGTCGTCATACGGGACAAAAGATTAGTACAGGGGCTGGCATGCAGGTAAACACAAAGAAATTGGGCAAACAAACCCGAGTAAGTTCGTGCATTGCTTTATTTCAATGTTGTTACTGTGATGTTTTTGACTTAGAATATTTTTTTATTATTCTATACTAGATGATTCAAAATATCTGTTCATCTTATCGAACAAACTTAAATTCTTTCCATTCAAAATTCACTTCATTAAACATACGCAATACACACATTTAATTTTGGCCTAGAAAATTTTTGCACAAATTTCTCTTAATTTTCTTTTAATTGGCTAATTAAAAAGTTTAAAACCTTAAATACAAATATTAAAAATTTACACTTGAAGTTAATTCAACCACAATCAAAAGAATTAAATATTAATGAAGGCGGGGGTAATGTTGTTAATTATTCAATTTGTAAGTGGATTTATTGTTGCTATCATCAAACGCTGCCGCATTTAAATTGCTTCTAATATTGTTCTCATTTTTCAAGCCGCAATGTTGCTTTCATTCTTTCATCATCTGTTTGTTTCGAGATCATTTTTAAGATAATAACAGTAGCTTACTTTTACTGCTTTATGCTTGACTAACACTGCATGAATCTTTTTGTATTTATTTTATTTTTTCATATCGGATGAGTTACCATTTACATCTCTATCTCTCTGTCTACATTTACCATCATATTTATTAATAATCAGGTTTCATGAGTTTATAATTCTCTAAATTGCACATAAACTTCATCTCAACACAACATGAAAAATAAAAGTGTAAAGTTTTCTAACTTCACTCTTTTTAAATAAAATCTTCATAAATTAAAATATTATAACTCAAAAACTTTAATTAAACTTTTTAAACAAACAATATTCAAAAACACAAACCAATTGCATAGTTTTATCTTTTTTATCTTTTTTACGATAGTTAAATGGAATGTTGAATGGTTTCAATTTCATTTTGACTCGTTTCCAATTAGCAGTTTGTTTTTATTATTTAATAAACATTTCTAAATGTGATTAGAAACTTATGTGCCTTAAATGTAAACGATTCATCTGTCCCTAAAAGGTGATCAGACAAAAGTTGCTTTAGAAATTGTGGCACTTTAAAAAATGTTAGATTATTAAAATAGCTTTTCATCAACTTTCATCTTAAAATCAATACTTGAAAAGAAAGAAGCTTTCAATTATGATTAACTGCTAGAAATGTGGAAAAAATAGTAAAAAGTTTTCGGCATTCCATTTCTAATTCTCATCTTGTGTCTGATTGAATAATTCTTGTAGCAATTGCTGCTCTGTGCAACTCAGAGTTTATTTACTTGTGATACCAACCAAAACGACTCAAATTCACAAGGAAATGGTAGCTCGCCGACATCTAATCAAAAGGTATTTAATGTGAAATATCAACAATGAATGATGTACTTTTAATTATTTTTCTAATTTTATGTTGCAAAACACATTTTGTTGCTTTCATTTTCATGAATACATTTTAAATTGACAATTTAACTTTTAAACAGATTCCACATATTCCGGCCATCGATTGTAAATCGAATCCACCGAATTTCACATTCAATCAAGCATGGCAGTTGCTGTCACTTGCAGTTTCATTGTTCGTTCCAAAGAATAGTCGACTACTTTGGTTTTTAAAGCTTCATTTGTCGAAGAATTCTGTTGATACGAAAACGGAAACTGGCAAGTATGCTTCATATTGTGAAAGAGCTTTAGAACGAACCGTCAAGAATGGATCACGTGAAACAAAACCATCACGAATGGAAGTTCTTTCAATCTTATTAAAGAATCCTTATCATCATTCTCTTCCCCATGCCATTCCTGTTCATATGATGAACGGAACTTATCAAGTTATATCATTTGATGGATCAACAACCATTGAAGAGTTTCACTCGACCTTAGTTCAAGAGATCGGTTGTCGTGATTCGACAAATGGGTTTACACTCTTCAGTGATGATCCTATTGAGAAAGATTTGGAACATTACCTCGATCCACATGCAAAACTTTGTGATGTTATATCGAAATGGGAAACAGCATTGCGTGAGAAAGGTTCAGGAAAGTTCGAAAATTCACGAGTTATTCAATTGACGTACAAAAATCGTCTCTATTGGAAGCACGCAGTCAAGCTTGAAACTGATAAGGAAAGATTGCTTTTATGTTATCAGATAAACCAACAAATTGTTCAAGGAAGATTTCCATTGTCACGAGATTTAGCGCTTGAACTTGCGTCGTTAATGGCGCAAATTGACATGGGAGATATTGGTGAGAAATTAAAGGGAACATCGCTTCAAGCTGTTGACAAATTCTATCCATATCGATATCGCGACGTTTTAAGTCCCGAAGGCTTAAAAGAATTGCAAGAAGTACTTGCAATCAAATGGGGACTTTTAAAAAGTCGTTCTGTCCTCGATTGTGTTCGAATCTACTTAACTTGTGCTCGTAAATGGAATCTCTTTGGTGCTGCACTTTTTCAAGCTAAGCCGCGTCATATGGAACAAGCCATGGTATGGTTAGCAGTTTCAGAAGACGCTCTTCATATTTTAGATCTTTCATCGATGTTGCCATTAGCACGCTACACTTACAGCTCTGTTATGACATTTGGTGGATCTCAAGATGACTTCATGTTAGTCGTAGGACCGGAAGATACATTGAACCCAAACTTGGAACAGAAATTATTATTCGCTATGAGTAAACCGAAGATTCTGGAAATAACTTTGCTGATTGCTGATTATATGAATGCGTTGGGTCATGCACTTCCAGGAACACCTCAAATGAATACACTTACAAGAAATGGAAGTTATAGAAGTGCAAAGTATGCTAACATTCTTAATATGTACTTATGAAAAAAATTGTTTGAAATTTCGTTTTGTTTTATTTTCAGATCTAAATTTGCATCTTCAGCTACTGGCACACCAGCTCATAATACTTTGAATTCGCATACATCGCATACTTTAAACTCTTATTCAAACACGCTTTATTCGACAGCTCATTCTGATTATCACAAAAATTCACTTGAACATGATCGATCTAAATGATCTTCAGCTGCTGTTTCCGCACATTCAAAGATCTGAAAAAACTTCATGTGTGTAAACAGTCAAGGAACAAATATTTAAATTGAACAAGAAAAAAAAAAGAAACCAAAATCTTAGTTTGTAAGTTGATGACAATTTTTAATTGACGACAAAATTTCTTTCTGATGTGTAGATCTGTCACTCAATATAAATTTATATTTCACATGCTGTAATCTCAAAAAATATTTAATCTCTATTTAAAAAGTTTAAAATGGAAAAAGAAAGATAAAATGTGTTAGAATTTTCATCAGTTGATTGTGAAAAGAAGGAAGGAAAAGATATTTTAGAAAGGACAATATGTTGAGTTGAAAAAAGTATTAGATTGTGTATACTTACGATGAAGGTTGATTAATAATTCATTAATGCAATTCGGAAGGTTTTCTGGGTTTCATTTGTCAATAATTTGCCGTTTAGATAAACTTCATCTATCTACTTAGAAAATGTTTCGTTAAAATCCTTAAAAACATTTAAAATTTTTAAAGATTTCTTCTATGCAGTATTTTATGACATTTATTTAAAATTCTAAAGTTTTCACCTATATAATTCTACATTTTACTTAAACCTAATTTTCCTTATATTTAATGGTTTTGTGATTTTGAAGTTGACTTCCCAATATCTTGTTTCGTTTGCGTTTTATTTTATGTAAGAATGCTGTGGCTTTTAAAGATATTGGGCTTGTGGATTTCTTTGAATTTAAGAATTATAATTTCTTTTTTATTCTTGAAACCATCAATACTCCAAATAAAATGACAAATTTTATCAAGATACAAACAGACAAAGCCTAATTTACACAAAGTAGAACGAGAAATATGAAAATCATTGATAAACAAAAGTAATATTAATGAACAAGACTCAATTATATCGACTGCTACATATATAAATTTGCAACTTATAAAAGGTCAACTCATTATACTACAGAATTTCACTTTCACTTGTGAGAATTATTATGAAATGAGTAAATGATCGATAGTGATAGAAATTAGATTTTATATCAATGGTATTTCACTCTGTTATCATTTCTCACTGAAATTTTATCACAACAGAAGAAGAAACAAAAAAAATGCGAATCCCAAGAACAAGAATGTAGTTTAACAAAATAATTCTAATAAATCGACTAAAATAAATTAAATTTGATTTTTCTTTTCATTTTTTCATTTTCAGTGTGGAATGAGAAAAATTTTAACGTATTTTTGAAATGTCAAATTCAAATTTGCCGAGCTGTCAAAACAAATTTCTGCAAGTAAAGTTAGTCTCAAATATAAAATTTATTAAATTTAGTGGAAATAAAGAAAATCAAGTTATGAAAAATTAAGAAAAATAAACTTAAATACTTAAAGTGTGAGAAACGTTCAAAACTTTATAAAAGCAACAAGACTTTCCCATCATATTTTACAAGGTAAAGTTCCAAGAATTGCATCGAAAGAAATTTTCTTTAAAGTCGCAGTAAATGATATCAGAATTGTGATCTTTGATACGAAGGTTTATTGGTGTAAGATATGTTTCATGATTATAAGTGTATTAGATTCCTTTCTTCATCCTTGACCTTTATAAAGATTATTTTTAACCGACCTAATTAATAGGGTAGAAATTTCTAGGAAATACAATTTCATTATTTATCGCAAGTGAAAATGTAAGTCATTTGATTTTGATGTATTGGACTTTTACAACTACTTGTAAAGTCATTGACTGATAAATACGTGCGATCTTTGCTTATCAACAATGTAAATACATAGTTGGTCGTCGTCAAGTTCAATTCATATGAGAAGCACTTCAGTTTAACCAGACACCTGATAAAGTGAAGTTAAATAATTCTGACCTAGGAAATTTTTCTTTTCAGTATCCAGTTTTTGTGAAAGAACAACGATTTATATCATGGAGGAGAAAATGCCGGCTTTTTGTCCAGGCAATATCACTCTTCACGACATTTGGATCAACCATGGAGTTTCACAATGTGTTATGGACACAATATCAAGTTCAATAATTGGTGGCTTCATTCTGTTCTTCGGATTTGTGCAGATTATCGTCTATCAAAAATATTCAACCAGGATTGATTCACTTCGTTTGAGGCCTTCATTTCTGTACAAATTTCAAATTCTACTCATGATATTAATGCCAATCTTAACATCTGTCAGATTCTACTTAAGATGGAAGATTTATATAGAAGAAATTTATGGATACATGGTAAGTATAAAGTGAAAGATTGCCTTCAATTTAATATTATTATGAAATTCTAATCTTACAGATAATGTACACAGTTCTCACAATATTTTCATATCTGTTCGCGACATGTCTTATCTGGAAAGAGCGTCACTATCAGCTGCCATCAGTACCATCTCGAGGTCATGGAATTGTCTTGTTGACATTTTTCACATTCATATTTGTAGCTCAAAATCTTGCTCTGGTCAATATAAATTCAAATGATTGGTGGTTTAACATGCAAACCAAACAAGATCGAATTGAAATGACTTTCTTCGTTACAAGATACATTTGCACGCTTTTCATTTTTGTATTGGGGTTGAGAGCGCCGGGAATCTCAAGCATTGCAAATGAAAATGAAGAAACTCTCATGGAAGAACAGGAACAAAATGATGTAAGTTGAATTATTTGAAATAACTTCAATTTAGTAACTTTTTAATAATTTAATCATCAGGAAAATCGATCGACATTCAGAAATGGTTGGAAGAAGTTGAAAACTTTAATGCCATTTTTATGGCCAAAGAAAGATTGTCTTCTTCAACTTCGTGTACTTTTATGCTTCTTTCTTCTACTAATTGGACGAGTAATTAACCTTTTCGTTCCACTTTACAACAAGAAAATAGTCGATTCATTGGCTGTTCCTAATGAGTTTCGATGGGGATTAATTTTGACTTATGTTGGATTTAAGTTCCTTCAAGGTGGTGGAACTGGCTCGATGGGATTTCTTAACAATGCAAGAAGCTTCATGTGGATAAGAATTCAACAATATACAACACGAACAATTGAAGTTGAACTCTTTCGTCATCTCCATTCATTGTCATTGCGTTGGCATCTTGGAAGGAAAACTGGAGAAGTTTTAAGAGTTATGGATCGTGGCACAGATTCAATCAATAATCTACTCAATTACATTCTTTTCTCAATCATTCCAACACTTATTGACATCTTAATTGCTGTTGTCTTCTTCATCACGGCTTTTAATTGGATGTTTGGCTTAATCGTTTTCGTTACAATGATTCTTTACATTTTCTTAACAATCGCCATCACTGAATGGCGAACAAAGTTCCAACGTCGTATGAACTTAGCCGACAATGAGACAAGAGCAAGATCGGTTGATTCATTGTTAAACTTTGAGACAGTTAAATATTACGGCGCTGAAGGCTATGAAGTTGACGCTTATCAGCAAGCAATCTTAAATTATCAAAAAGAAGAATTTAGTTCAATTTTCACATTAAATATTCTCAACACAGCTCAAAATATTATCGTTTGTAGTGGTTTACTTGGCGGTAGTTTACTTTGCGCATGGATGGTTGCATTTGGAAAAGGAGCGGAGAAATTAACCATTGGTGACTACGTGCTGTTCTCTACTTACATCATTCAACTTTATGTGCCGCTCAACTGGTTTGGAACTTATTATCGTCAAATTCAGAAGAATTTTGTTGATATGGAAAACATGTTTGATCTCATGAAAGAAGAGCAGGAAGTGATTGATGCTCCTGGTGCACCAGGCTTGAGTGTTGTTAGAGGCGGAATAGATTTTTCAAATGTCTCGTTTGGTTATTCACCTGAGAAAATTATTCTTAAAAATGTGACATTTAATATCGCACCGGGTAAGACTGTCGCACTTGTTGGTCAATCTGGAGCTGGAAAGTCGACGATTATGAGGCTTTTGTTCCGATTTTATGACGTCAATTCAGGAGCGATTATGATTGATGGTCAAAATATCAAGACCGTTACACAAGCATCGTTGAGAAGGGCGATTGGAGTTGTGCCTCAAGACACAGTTCTTTTCAACCAAACTATAAAGTACAACATAAAATATGGAAGAATTTCAGCTGATGACCAAGAAGTCATTGCAGCAGCTAGAAATGCTGATATTCATGAGAAGATTCTTGCATTTCCGCAACAATATGAAACGCAGGTTGGTGAGCGAGGTTTAAGACTGTCAGGTGGCGAGAAGCAACGTGTAGCAATTGCGAGAACAATTTTGAAAGGACCTCAAATTGTTTTACTTGATGAAGCGACATCAGCACTTGATACACAAACTGAAAGAAATATTCAAGCAGCTTTAGCGAGAGTTTGTGCGAACAAAACAACTCTAATCATTGCTCATCGCTTATCAACGATTATTCATGCTGATGAGATTTTAGTTCTCAGAGAAGGTGAAATTATTGAACGAGGTCGACATGAACAACTCTTACAAGAACAAGGCTTGTATATGGAAATGTGGAATCAACAATTAAAGAATATGGAAGGTGAAAAGTTGCGCGATGAAAAAGATTTCCAAGAGTTGAACGGGGAGAAAGCTGAACAAGTAAAAAGCAAGCATTACTAAATTCGTGATGAACTTTCAAGAAGATTTTTACTCATAAATTTCACGTAAATTTGAAAATTTAGTAGAGAATATTTTTGTCTTTCTATTGTTATGATTTAGGAAAAGGTCTTTTTATCAAAAATGTGTTAGTTGTTAGTTGATTTCATTAATTTTTATGTCATTTTAAAATAAAAATATTAAAAAAAATAATCAAGTCATTGTAAAATGTTTCGTTTTTGAATGATTGATCGTTTTTCATCGTAAATTTACGGTAAGTTATCGCAACATCTTTTGTTTCATGTGCCTTGACCTATCACAACATGAAAAAGTTCAATTTGGGTTAAAAGATTAATTGAATGAATCATTTGGCAAAAAAAAATATATCAAAGTATTGTGAATGGTTAACTGAAATCATCGCAAAAATTCTGAATGAAATTGAAAAGAGAATCTCCAAGGTGTCGTACGTATGAAATTCTCATCACATATTATTGAACTTGCCAAACATGGTTGAATGTTCAAAGACCTTCAAAACAAGCTTCTCGAGAAACTTTATTTTTGAGAGAGAAAATGCGACTTAAGTTCAGGTTGTGCTAGACGCTAACAAAATTAATAACAATTAGTGTTGAGAACTCGTAACGTGAACATCTTCCTTAACTCTTTGTTTTAATTTTATTTTTAAAAACTTCTGAAAAGAAAAACTTCGTGAGAAAGCAATCAATTGGGCAATAATTACTGAGTTGATAACGAATCAACAGTATATAAAATATGAGAGTCAACTTGAAGGTGTGATATCATCAGTAAAGCATTTTCTCATCACGTACATATTTTGTACGCCCTCAACTGCCGAACTTCAGTGATTCATTTTCATTCTATAAAAAATGAAGAAGTTTGTTGTGTGCAATTCAAGCAAGAAACATTTTAAACAAACTGAATTACACGAAGGTGAAGAACATTTAATCATTTATTGCAAAGATCTGAAGACAGTTTTCGAAGCATGGAGTGAACTTGATTCATCTGTAAAGAAAGTGACAATCAATGTCTTCACTGAAGATCCAACATTCACAATCAATCCTTTTCATCTCAACCTTGAAATCAACACAAACATTAGAGAAATTTCCTTCAACTGTTACACGCACGACATTTGGCTGAAATTTATTCTCGACACATGTCCGAATCTTGAGACTTTATATTTCTACAAACTTACGAAAGATAAATTGAAGTACGCAGCTGAGAATCTGGAACATTTAAAACACATGTATTGTGACTACATTGAAGACGATGCTTCTGAATTTTATAAAAAATTTAAATCAACTGAAAAAGATATCAATAAAAATATTAAAATAAATTAATGACAGGAATTGAAAATGAAATGAATTCTTTGCAATGATTTATTGGCTAATAATCACGGTTCAAGTTCAACATGGATAGACTCTCAATGTTCACCCAAGAACCGCTCACTCTCACATTTTCTTCAACACTAAACACTTGATAGCACATAAATTATCAAAAAGTAAAAAATTAAAAAGCAAACCACCAAAACATTGTCTCGTGTTTTCTCTTTCTTGATCATTTACGTGCGAAGTGGAATGTAGTGGGAGACGTCGAAGTGATGCCGACAATTTTGAATCATTGAAGCGTTTATCATTTTCAGACCTTTCCACTTGATGCATATAAACAGCAATAAATCTCTCGTTCTTTTAGTATAATTTCGTCGATCATTGCATTCAGATTAGAAATTGATAAGGAAGAAAAGTAAAATTACTTGAGAAAAAATTTAAATAAAAAAAGAAATTCTAAATTATTTTGAAACGTGGATGATTTATCAATATTTGTGGCTAATCACTACACTTCTTTTTTTATAAAGTTAATAAACTAATTAAGTTATTAAAGTAAATTAAAGTTTTTTCACATTTCTCAACTTTCAAAGGCATCTCAAAAATGAATGAAAATTCAAAGAAATCGGAAATCTCAAATTTTTATTCAGGAAAAAATATTTTAATCACTGGAGCAACAGGTAAATGAAACATTTCTTCTTCAAGTTAATTAAATAATTTTAAGAAATTAAATTCATTGAAAGGTTTCATGGGAAAAGTTTTGGTGGAAAAATTGTTAAGAGATTGCGATGAATTATCAAAGATTTTTGTTCTTATCCGACCTAAGAAAAACGTCGACATCAGAAAACGTCGTGAAGAGATGATCAACAGTATGATATTTGACGTTATTCGTGATAGAAACTCTGAGAAGTTTGAAAAAATTAAAGTTATAGAAGGAGATCTAACACTTGATAATTTTGGATTGAATGGAAATGATGAAACCGAACTTGTTGAAAATATTCACATTATTTTCCATTGCGCTGCTAACGTTCGCTTTGATCAGACATTGAAATGTGCTGTAAATTTTAACTTAAATGGGACTCATCGTGTTTTGAAGCTTGCTGAAAAGATGAAGCATTTGATAGTATTCACACATATTTCAACTGCTTATTGTCACTGCAATGAAACCGTCCTTGAAGAACGTTATTATCCATCAAATGAAAATCCATATGGCGTCATTGAAATGGTTAAAATGATGAAAGACGAGACACTCGAAATGATAACACCGAAGCTTCTAAATGGATTACCAAACACTTATGCCTACACAAAAGGTTTAACAGAAGATTTAGTTCATTCATATCGAGAAAAGTTTCCGATTGTAATTGCACGACCTTCAATTGTAACTGCTGCTTGGAAAACTCCGTTTCCGGGATGGATCGAAGGCTTAAATGGACCGACTGGTTTACTCATCGGTGCTGGAAAAGGTGTGATAAGATCAATGCATGGTAATCCAAACCATAATTCAGAAGCTGTCCCAGTTGATATCACGATTAATGCGATTATTATTTTGGCTTACAAGCGATCAGGAATGAGTAAAGACATTTGTTATTTTTGTAATCTCACTGAATCTGGTGCTAATCCACTCACATGGGGTGACACCATTAACATAGGACGGAAGTTGTTTTATGACTATCCAATGTGCCAGTCATTATGGTATCCAAATGGTTCCATCAAACCAAACTACTATAAACATATGTTTTGTGTTATTTTCTTCCATTATTTGCCTGCTTATTTTATTGACTTTCTCATGATCATCTTTCGACAGAAACCTTTGTAAGTGTTAATTGAATTTCAATATTTTTGACTTAGATACATTGAAAAGTAAAACATTCAATCATAACGTAGCTTGGTGAAAGTTCAGAAGCGTGTCAGCCAAGGATTGAAAGTTCTTCAATATTATACAACCAGAGAGTGGATCTTTATAAATGAAAACTTCTTGAAACTTCATCGTGAACTAAATGATGTTGACAAGAAAAAGTTTAGCTGCGATTTGTTTCAAATTGACATTACAGAATATTTACTGAACTTTATCAAAGGAACAAGATATTATTTATTGAAAGAATCACCAGAATCTTTACCAAAAGCTCGAGCAACTCTGAAAAGGTTGAAAAAGAATTTTATTCAACTTCAAATTTTTGATTCGTTTCTTTTTTTTCAGGTTGTACTATCTTGACAAGTTTGTTTCGATGTTGTTTTATGCTCTTATCTTTTATTTGTTATGGATCAACATTGACTGGATCATGAGTTTTTTGAAACGTCTTATCTATTTATAATTTTTTTTTTCATTACAATCCACGATGATATTTTCAAAGAAACAACATTTTAAATATTTATTGTACTTAAACATTTTATTTTAATTCATTTTTTATTAAAACACTTATAAGAAAATTATTGACTTTGTTTGTTCTCTTGTGGAATTCTTACAAGAAAAACGTTTCCTTCGACTTGGTATATTTTATTTTATTTATCAACTTCTGAATCGAAAGGAGGAGAGATAATAATGATCTTATGTTTTAATAAATGCTGCTTTTGGATCTTAATATTTCAAATGAATTTTGAGAGATCATCGATCTTTCAACGGTGTATTTAGCTTCGAATAAATAAGTGAAGAAAGTAGACTTAAAAATTAAAATTAATAAATAACTTTCTTGAAATTTTCATAAGCAGCATTCATAATACCCCAACTGAAAAAAGCTCTCACACAATTCATATTCAGTCCTTTATAAACATTTCTAACTGACCTTCCACGATCATTGTAGATATTTCTAAGCGCTACAAACATTCCCTCGTTGGGACCACCAACTTTAGATTGAATGACTATTTTGATGACATTTAATGGATAAAATATGCTTGAGACAAACGCTCCAATTATTGCACCTGAGATGAATTGGTGACTATACTCATAAAAAGCTCCATCCTAATGTAAAAATTTAATTTAAAAGATGATTAAAATTTGTATGTAAAGAAAACAGAGAGAAATTACTTTTATTGGCAGCTTTTGGGCTTCTTCACGTAGAACGAAAAACACTGCATTGCTGGGACCATTTCTTAGAAGAATTGGAACTAAACCTCGATACAATTCCCTTACTCCATTCTCTCGAATAATTAACCTTAAGAAATATTACGCAGTTAGTCAAGATAGAGAATAAAGAAAATATTCTGAAAGCTATTACCGAAAAGCGTGCGGAGTGTTTTTGTACTTTTGATGATAAGCGGCATCAGCAAGAATTGTCTGAACACGTTCAAATGGCATAAGCACAGCCTCAATCGTTCCGGCAATAATTCCTGCCAAACATTTTGCGCTATATTCATTCATACCGTAGTACTCAATGGCAGGTCTCTTGACACCATCGTATACTCCAAACATTAATGACAAGCTTAATGTTCTTTGTGCTAAAGGTGGAAACATCCCACGATAGAGAAATCCAACTCCTTCGTGACGAAGTTGGCTGTAAGCATCGCTTATTTTAATTCCGTGGAGCATCTGCCAATGATAATTTTTTTTCTCAGAAAAATCAAGAATTTCAAGGAGAAAAAAAAAATTCACTTACTTGACGGAATATTGTTTTATAAAGTGGATAAGTCAAAGTAATGTTGACAAATGCTGACCCCCATCCGCATAAAAATTCCCGATAATCGAAAGTCCTGAACGGATTAACGAGAGGGGATTTCTTGTCAGCAATATCCATGTAAACTTTTGGCATGATTTCAAATCTTTTATGATTTCCTTATTTTTGTTATTCAATTTAAATATTCATAAAATCACATGATTTCCTTGTAGACGTAAAGCGACATTGAATTGAGGATCATGATAGTAAATAATATTTAGCGATAACAGTAATGATCATTCTCGTAGCACTATCAATTAAAAAAATTAAAACTAGCTTTGTTTGAATTCTTTTTGTTTGGAAAAAAAATTATGCAATTAATATTCTCGAAATAATATCGTCAACAATATCTTTTAACATTATCTTTATTTCTATTGATTGCACTAAAAACTTCACATTGAAATTTTCATATTATCTTTTTTAATTAACTTATGATTAGCTCTATTATCTATTTTCTTCTTAATTTTTTCCTCACGACTTAAAATCAAAACAATGAGGTGAAAATTTCTTCAATTCTTTTCACCTCAAAAAATTTGAAAATATGCGCCAACCGTTATATTGTTGAATAATTTCAATGTTTTGTGGGACGAACTTCAAGAAACGATGCAACATTCATGAAACATTCTTCCATGTTTTCAATGTTTTCCCATGTGCGTTCAAAATATTTTCTCAATACAAGAACTCATACAAGAAACTTCAAACACGTTCGAAACGTTCACATGAAAAGTCACTTTAAATTTCGCTGTCGAAAAAAATTGTGCAATTCATTGAATTCTGAGTATTGTCATACATATATAGGATATCAAAGTGATTAAGTGAAAGTTATTGAAAGTCAATAAAAATTGGCAAGTGAAATGTACTAATCTGAATGAAAATTCTAATATAAAGAATCTTGTTGGATAATAATTTGAATAAATGCCAAATCTTAAAATTAACTTATGTTTAGACTCATAAAAGTATCGTTTAATCTAAAAATAAATTATGAAAGCTATACTAACCGACTGAAGGAGCAAATATAAATACCACATTGAGGAAAAGTGTGATTGAAAGTGAGAAGAAATATTTGAAGTGGTCGCACATCATTTGAAATATTATTCCTTTGTGTTTTACATTACCCCGTTGCTCGCCGTTATCGTCGGATAATAAATACGCATTTCTGGAATATTGTTAAGAGTGATTATAAGGGATGAATGATCGTTTTATTAATTATTTGGAGAATAACTGTGATGAGATAAATGCGAAGAAAAATAATAGTGGGAATTTGTTGGACAGTCAAAAAATAAGTGTACAGAATCAAGTGATGAAAGGTGAAGAAAGTGATGAGTCAATGCCGTCGTTTGGCTTCACACAAGAACAAGTAGCTTGTGTTTGTGAAGTCCTACAGCAGGCTGGTAACGTTGAACGTCTTGGAAGATTTCTATGGTCGCTTCCACAATGTGAAAAAATTCAACTCAATGAATCGGTGTTAAAGGCCAAAGCTGTCGTAGCTTTTCACAGGTAAAGTATCATTGTAAGATGAAAATCTCGACTTCAAAGTGAAACTGAACTCCTTCGTTTCTTTTTTCGTAAAGGGGACATTTCAAGGAGCTTTATAGAATATTGGAAAGTCAAACATTTTCACCTTGCAATCATCAGAAACTACAAACTCTTTGGCTCAAAGGTACAAGTTAAAAATTTCTTTCTTGGCTCATCAGTTGGCATTATATCAAAATGATCTCTCGTAAATTAATATTTGCAGCACATTACGTGGAAGCTGAGAAATTGAGAGGAAGACCGTTGGGTGCTGTCGGCAAATATCGTGTAAGAAGAAAGTTCCCTTTGCCAAGAACGATCTGGTAAGTTTAACAAGATTCTGCAAGCAAAAGATTATATCTCTGATCTACATAAAACTTTCATCATTATTATGTTAGGGATGGTGAAGAGACAAGCTACTGTTTCAAAGAAAAATCAAGATCAGTTTTAAGAGATTGGTATACACATAATCCCTATCCGTCGCCAAGGGAAAAGAGGGAACTTGCAGAATCGACTGGTTTAACGACAACTCAGGTAAAACCTTTAATCACACATCACATCTCGTTATCCGCTTCAATTTCAATTCTTTTTAATATTCCGCAATTAAGGTTTCAAATTGGTTCAAGAACCGACGGCAAAGGGATCGTGCAGCAGAACATAGTAAAGAGTAAGTTATCACACTTTAATTAATTTTCCTATTCAATGATAAACGAGTAAAAGATTGGGAAAATTGTTCCAACGAGATTTTCCTTCTTATAGTTAAAATAATTAAGTAACAATTCCCAAATCAAATCCTCAAGGAAGATGTTTGATTTTTAATGAAGTGAAAAGAGGGTTTGAATATGAAAAAAATAATAACAACTGCATGCCGACGTCAAGACATCGGCTCTCAAAAGCAAACAAAACATATAAAGCATCCCTTCGAGCATAAAATTTTTAATTCTGCTTTGATTCGTTTGACAGGCATCAGGTAGATTTTCTTCCTTGAAAATTCAGTAGGAGAGTAAAATTTAGATGAGTTGAATATCATCTTGTTTTTATCTATTAGTATTTATAATAATTATAGTTTTTCTTTTGAATTGTTGTTCACTATTGGCATGTCAGCGGGTGTTCGTTATGTGAATGAACTCATCTCCCTTTTATCACTTTTCATATTATTGAATATTCATCATTCGATAACAACAAATAAGAGTAGTAAAAAATGAGCGTACAAAATGTTAAGTAAGCGCATAATTCTAAATAATCTTCACTACTTACTGTTTCTCCTTATTCCATGTGTACAACATGTAGGTACTCATCGCATATCATTTATGATTTACTTCCTTTTAATAAATTGTTGTTCACTTGCTGCTAGGACATTGCTGGAATTGAAGTCTTTTTCGTTTGTTTTATTTTTTCCTTTTTTCATATGAAATGGACTTTGCAAAACTACCACAGATATAGATTTTAATTAAAGAACATTTTGAAAAATAAATCATGACACACACATTTTTATCCTTCACATAGATGTTTATTCTTTTACTCCTCTCTCGCTCCGGGACGTAAAATAAAAGCGACAGAAGAACCTAAATATAATAATAATATATACGAACAGCAGAGAAAACCAACAACGTTGTTGTGTACAGTCGATGAATTTCGAGAATTTAAGGGGATATCAGGTTTCTCTTTCGTTTTATTCCACTGACTCAGGGAGCGTACACTCATTCAATTCACATTTCAACCGAGGATATCAGATGACATTCTATCGCTGATGGAATAAACATAAAAAAATATTATTTTATACACATTCTTACATACATCAACATCTCGCAGCGAGATGGTAGATGTAAGCGAACATTTTAATACTTGAAGTTCCGTTCGGTTCTTTTCTTCTAATAACTGAAACAAATGTTGAGACAAAAACAGCCAACTTAATGATAATAATCGTAAAATTCATTGTTTTGTGATGTTCCACGTGGTGCTTTGACATTCTTTACAAATCGACCACCAAGTGATATTTAATATAATTTTTTTTTCTTTTCTTTTTTCTCATCTTGTTGTCTTTCTCATCATCCATATATTTTAGCAGATTTCTTGGAAAAAAATTATTTTTATCATTCGAAGAAAGAGCATTGATTTATAAAGAATTTTATTGGGAAATGGAAAAGTAGAATTAGTAATTTTAAGAATCTTTTTAAATATCTACTTTTTTCAATTCTTTGCTAAATTTTATTTAAATATTGTTCACATTGATGTACATCGAGGTCAAAATATGAATACAAGTCAAAACAATGATGTTTGTTATTCATTATTTTGTGACTAATATTTCGTACGTTTTATTTTATCATAAATTAAATTGAAAACTTCTAAAAAGAATTAATAACTTAGGATTGATCAACATATTTAGATTCTTTTTAACAAAAAAGTTTCGCGAATTTCCTTGAAACTTTCCAAAAAAATGTGAATTTATGAGGGAGGAAAATAATTTTATAAAAATATGAAAATGTAATGGATCTTAATTTGAAATTCATTCCTTTTGTATTTATTTTTATACAGCAGTTTCATAATTTAATAAATGATCTACTCTATATTACTCATTTACGATGATGCGTAGATATTCCTTGAAATTCTGAAACAAAGCTGAAGATCAAGGTGCACGTTACCAATTAAAATAATCAGAAAAAAAGAGATATCAAATCTCATCAGTTCTTATTCTCATTATCTTCTCAGAAGGCTACCAAAAACGAGAAGGAATAGAATCTTTTTTGTTTTCTATTTTTGAAAAAGAATATATAATCAGTAAAGAAATTTTTGGAAGTATGTACATGTATGTAAGAAATAATTAGAAGTCTGTATGAGTGGTCGTCTTATATAACAATTCGAAGAATAAAGTTATTTTTGGCATTCTCAATCAAACGTTATCATTAAATATTTTATATAAAATAATGAGCGGGGGAAGATATCATTCTTTTTTCGTAGTGATGATATGTATCAATTCTTGAAGTTATTCTAAAGAATCCCCTCTTGATTTTGTTCTTTAGAGGTGGCGACAAGCACATCGACTCATCGGGAAGCGATTCTGAATTAGATATGCCTGGTATGATAACTGGATCAAATAGCCAAAGCGCAAGCAAAGGATCGCATAACAGCAACATGACCGCAAACCTACAGCACAACTTATTATTACAACAAGGTCTATCTAGCAGTCAATTAGGTAAATATAATAAGAAATTTAACGTTGCGATTCATGATAAAAATGAATCTAATTTTGATTGATGTTGTAGGACAAATGTCACAAGGATATTCACCGTCAACAAGTCACAATATTCATCATGTTCCGCCATTGCATCACCACGACATGGATGCATATCAAAACTTATCATTTTAAACTTACTTGTAATTCGAGTACTTAAATTGTTTCTTATTCTCGAGAAACTTATAAAATAGATGTTGGATAAGCATAAATGATCATGAAACGACCAAATGTATTAAGTTTTTCCTTTTTGTTCTCATTATTAAGCTTTGTAGATAACATAACTAAGCATGCTCAGTGATTGTTGTTTTCTTCATGTAGATAAAGGAAGTGACTACTTGAAGTCATATCTTAAAAAAGAAAGTCTTTCTAATGAAGACATTTCAAAAGCAGGGTTTTCTTATTACGTTCTGTAGTATTAAACATAAAGAAAATGTTAGGACTGTGTGGTGTTACTAAGATGCAGAATTTTTTTCTCCACTCGACACGAATATTAATTTTATAATTTCAACCGCATCTTCAGTCGTCATTGTTTTGCTTTTATGTTAGTTAAAAGTTATTTTTTATTTAGCAGACATAGAAATAAATAAACAAACAAGATGCATGATAAAGTAATCGTACGAATTTCAGACGAGAATTATTTTTTTTTACTTTATAAATTATTTTTAGATTTTAGTGGAGAAGAATGGATTTCTTAGATAGCTGAAATAGATTGAACAGAATAAATCATCAACTGTTTTTTTAATTATTTTTATTAGATAAACTATATAAATACTGTATTTAAAAATATTTTCTTTCTGAACAATAAACTTTTTTCTAAAAAAATATTTTACATTAAAACAATTTGACTATAAGTATCAATTGTGAATAGAAAAAATTGGGTGTTGTCAGTTTTGTTTTGTTGCGCGACTTGATTGCTATAATTCTACTATCATTATTGGTGAATACTATTCTTAGTTTCAGCTAGAATACATGTTAAAAATACTTTCAATTTACTATTTCCATTCATCTCTTAATTTGTTTAAAAAATGTTTTAAAAATGTTTATCGTAAACATTGAGAATTTCCATCTTTTTTTATGAATTAAGTTTTAAGTGTGGATCGACAATGACTTACTATTTATCATGATGATGTCTTCAATATCTAAAAAGTTCAATTCAATATATCATTTTACTGAGTTGTTTTAAGTCAATCTTAAGTTGAGCAATGATGTTGGTCACAACCAGAGAAGACAAATTTAATTTTAAAGGAATTATTTCTAATAATTTCCTATAAACTGACTAATTTTTATGCCTGATTAATTGTACAAGTTATCGATCAAATGTTTAATTCTCGTCAAACTTTCCCAACACAGACGTTTTTCACATACAATTATAAAAATTTCGAATAAATTTTCTCCGGAAAATCTTGTTAAGTAATCAATAAGCTCAACTGAAACACGCGTGATTATTTATTTTTCAGTCAAACAGATTTTTTTCTTCTCTTGATAAACTGCAGACGTTGCTACAAAATTTGTTTCTTCTTCTTCGTTTTTTCTATTTTTCAAATGTGTGTGAGAAGTGGGAATATTTAACGTCATCAATGATTATTAAATATTATTGATTATGAAGAACCATAATACAATTGAAAATTAATCGCCTCGTCAATTGCTATTTTATTGATTGTTTAAGTCCGGCCATTTATAAAATTGCACAATAAAAATCGCGATACGGTATCAATTGAAAGTTATATTATGAAATATCTCACTAGTACAAAACGAATTTAATACAATTGAAAGAGAAATGGCACTTTCATCATCATCATCATTTTCTTTGTCGCATATTCTAATGACCTTTCTTGGTGAAGGTCGAAAGATTAAATTTCTTTATCATATTATCCGAAGTTTACAGAATAGAACAAGAAGGTTTTCGTCCACCACCGCCTGGCTTCTTCCTCTCAACAGCACGAATTGCTTCTTCGAACACCATCGATAAGTTTGTCTTCTTTTTCGCCGAACATTCAACAAAAAAAAATGCGCCAATCTTATTCTTCAATTTCTTTCCTTCAACTGTCGTCACAAATTTCTCAGAGCCTTGTACTCGAAGGTCAGCTTTAGTTCCTAATGAACAACATCGAGAAAAATAAATTTATTTTATTTTTCCTCAAAGAAGTTTTAAGCTAAACAAAAGATTTCCCCTTTTCAAATGCTTATAGGATTCTGAATATAGTTTTTTAATAACAATATGGTAAGCATATGTCTTTTTATCCTTTTTCTATGGAAGCACTTTTCAAACACTCACCGACTAAAACTATCGGAACATGAGGCGAGAAGTGTCGAATTTCAGGAGACCATTTTGACACCACATTCTCATAAGATGCCTTTGCTGCAATTGAGTAACATAACAGGAAGCAGTCGGTCTTTCATGAAAAGTAATTGTTTCAGTTAAGCTTTGTCACATGGAAATTTATTTACTGATAACTTACGTTTGGATAACTCAACGGACGAAGTCTTTCATAATCTTCTTGTCCTGCAGTGTCCCTTTAAAATTATTCACAACAGATAAAGTTGAGTAAACATGTAGAGAAGCGTAACAAACTACTTACCATAAAGTCAAAGAATATTCTTTGTTGTCAACGTTAATTGTGCATGCATGGTTATCGAATCTGAAACCAAGGACAACGTCACATTAGATCGTTGATGATAATTTAATTATCTTACACTGTTGGCACATATTCTTCGGGAAATTCGTTTTGTGTGTAGGATATGAGTAAACATGTTTTCCCAACAGCACCATCACCAACCACAGTTACTTTCAGTGGTCTCATATTTGTATTTATATAATCTATAAAAGGTGATAAAAAATCATTAATCACTTTAAAATCATTGAAAACTGTTGATCTTAATGACGCTCTAAAACATGACGTATGAATATGTAGTTATAGAGCTTAGTCTTTTTTCCAGTTAAATGCAATCGCGTTCACCAAAAAAACATAACTTTCTTATCAAAAACAGTTAGGATAATGACAAAAGAGTACACTTGATTCTGACTAATCTATGTAACTTTTTGAATCATTTCTTACATTTCTTATTTTTTTGGGAGCAACAAGTTAATTTTTTAAATTTTCACTTTTCAAGCGTACGACCACACCAAGAATGCAATATTCAACGATGAATAGTCAACTTATGCGTTAATTAAAATAAATTTACACACTCTTTCTGCTCTTTAACCCACAATATATAGTTTTAATTAAATTAACTCATCATACAAATTTCACTTGAGATGCATGACTTATTTACCCCCGAAGTGATGAATACTTACCAGTGGGTAAGAAGCTTTTGTAAACAACTTTGTTTTGCTGTAAAATTCCATCACGCCTATTTATAATAAAAAATTCAAGTTTATTAATGAATAATTAAAAAGAGACAAATTTGAAATCAGGGGCAAATCTGTCGTTAAATCAAATCTTTATTATGCAATGTACATTCAATCATCTGGCATATGAATATATTTCTGTTGGGCATCTCGAAGAAAGTATTTCTAAACAAATACCTAAATCATTAAAAAAATTTGATATCTTGAATTCCCTTTTTAATATAAATGTAAGTACGAAGACATATCTTTTTTCAATAAGTTATTTATGTGAATTTATTATTTTACAAGAATATAAATATTTATTAATGCTGTTTGCCTGCTTGAGTTGGTTTATGCGATTTAAGTTGCATTTTATGAAATAAAAAATTGACGTCTTTTAATCCTGATAAAGGATGTTCTGTGGATGACTCTGTGGTTTCATGTTCAACTTCTTCTTCTATAGCGAGTTCCTCAAATAACTTGGGTTTCTCTGGTGAAGCATTATCCCTCGTCAACAATTTAGAGTGTGTCCTACCAGCTTCGAATTGCCTGATCTGTTCGAAAGCTTTCTCGAAATATTTTTTCTTTCCTGGAGATGGTGAAGGAGACAAAGCTAGAATTTCTGGCGTGGTCAGTGTTGGCGTTATTGATATTGGAGAAGACATTGGAGACGTTGAAATTGTCGGTGTAACAGCACTTGGAGGTGTTTGAAGTAAGCTGTTTTCGTTCTCATTCTGCTCAACGAGAACTTTTAAATTCATTCCAAGTCCATTGACAGAAACTGACTTTCCAATTTTCCTATCAAGAAATACTGGCCTTCGTTTCATCTGCTGTTGTTTTTGTTGATGTTCTAACTGCTGTAAAAGTCTACGGATATCTGTTGGTATTTCAATATCTTTTCGAGTATTTGAAAGTGAACTTAAATAATCTCCAAGAGTTCGAATTGTATTTTCCAAACTTTGAGTTTGAATTCCTATAGATTGAATCTCTTGCTGTTGTGATTGTCTGATACTTTCAAGCCTCTTAATATTCGACTCAGCTATTTGTAGTTGTTTCTGAAGGCCGGCGTTTTCTTCCTTGGAAATTCTTAAATTTTCGACATGATGATTTGTGTTCTGAATTTCCTCTGTCAATACATTGTATTCAATCCGATAATCCATTAACTGTCGCGTGATGCACAAAGTGTAGACATTTTGAAACACTTTTGTCATTATTACTTCATCGATTTTCGGTATCACGTTCTTCAGGTAGTTCATTATATCTTCAAAGCAATCAAGCTTCAGCAATTCCTCTTTATGAACATGTAATAACGATAAAATTACACGAAATATCACTTCTTCCGATGCGAATAGCAACAAGTCGTAAATTTTCGATACAAATCCAAGCTCAAATGAAGAAGAAAATATTGTAAGCATCCAACTTGAAGCGTACAAAGTTGTGGCTACATCATTCTTATCAAATAGCTCATGAATTTCCGGTAAATTATCCTTTATGAGGCGTGATAATTGATAAAGTTGCATTTGGAAATGCTTCATTGATGGCAAGTAATTAAGACGTAATTGTCTTTGGAACATTAGGTGCTTAAGTAAATTGAATGTATGCTCTTCGCTCAACTAAAAATATACGAGAATGTTAAATAATCATTATTCAATTTTATTTCTTAAATGGACTGAACTCACATGGAGTAACAAAACACCACAAATAAAGGCCAATCCTTGGCAATAACCAACTTCAGGGTCTAATATTGAGTAGGCTTTTAGAATATTGAACAATGATAATTGTCCCAAACCAAAAGGTGTTTTATAATATTCATGATTGGGAAACGTTCTTCCAATATCAATAAAGATGGCATGTTGATGTTCTGTAAGATTTTTCAACAAATCTTGATATGATGTATTGTAATTTATAAAATCTGTCGTGTCAATCATCGGATGATTCTTGTTGTATTGCTGAGCAAGCATCATCCAAACTTCACCACGCTTCCCTCGTGGAACGCCTGATTTGATACCTTGAAGAAACAATCGATTGTCGGTAGAAGGTGATTTTGAAGCTTCGTTTATGTAACTTTCCCACACTTCTGTAAGCTTTTGATCACACGAAATAATGTCATTGTAATCAAGTTTCATTCTACGTATTTCATATTCATTTTGTTGTTCTTGAAGACGAGCATTCTCCTTTTCCATTCGAAGTAATAAAATAATTTGCTTCCCAGCAGATTTCCATAGATCACGCAATTCTGTGGCGCTTCGCTTTTGCCTCGAGCGGTAATCTGAAACGACAAGAAATTAACGATTGAACGTTAAATGATTTTTAATTAAAATGTACTTTTTCTTGTCTTTGTTGGAAGAAACTTTAAAGATTCGTCGTCAACAATGACGCCTTTCTCTTTAACTGCAACTTTCTTTAAGATGTTTTGACGCCACGATCCGATTTTATTGGAGTTATCTTTACTTGTGTTTCCAACCTTCAGAAACCTGAAATGAATATAAATGAGCTTATTAAATAAAAATCTTCATTTATTTGTGACATTTATCTCACATATCCATTTTTGATGTGTTGATTTTTTGACGTTCTGGCGATTCCCGTCTCAATGTCATTCCTTGTGAAGAATTTTCTTCTAACGACATTGATCGATTCGGTTTTGCACGCTTACGGTATTCAGTGTCAATAGAAACATTGTTATTGGTATCACAGTCTTTACTCCCACGACGCTTTAATAGATGATCGAAAGAGTTACTCAGAGAACGTTTCGCTTTCATAAAGATTGTACTTCCACCTAAATACTGATTTAGAAATTCCGAACGATTCTCGATTGTGTCATGAACGTGCCTCTGTTGCCTCATCTGACAATGTGCTTCGATTAAGGCAAGCAAAAATTTATTACGTTCATCAAGTGAGAAGTCATTGACCTTGTCTGATCCAAAGTATTTGTGAATAATGATATCGTGATCTTCATCATTTAATTCCTCGGTATATCTCATGATTGTATTGTAAGTTTTCTTATCGTTCATTCCTTCAATGGATAAACATAAACGATTGTACCAAATCATCGGACAATGATCACACGTCATAAGATCGTCAATCACATTTTTATTTTCTATTTTAACTTTTTCTTCTTCCAATGTCTCTAATGACTTTGAAACCGAAATAATGATGTCATGTGCAATGGTATCAGATTGACATTTAAATACGTAACCGATGTAGTCGAATTTGTCTTCATTCAATTTATTCTTTTCACTACAAATGATTCCGAAGTGATCGGGATTTTCAACACCTTGCACGATTCTCACGAGAGTATCAAAATTTTTGTGCAATAAGATTTGTTTTCGATCTGGACTTATTAAGCGAATGTCAGTTCGTCCTAAAATGAAAACCATTGTGCGATTTTGTTCAATGGTTCCTATAGAAGCTGAACGATCTCTTTGTTTTACTTCTATAGAATACGATCTGATGATGTCTTCTTTTACGACGTTAGAATTTTTAACTTCACCACTGACACATGACGAATCACTTTGATCACCACCGCTGTCTCCCTCTCTCGCTGATGAAGATTTTGTTTCATTTTCTGAAGCAGATGCGTCTGATAAGTTTTGATGTGCGAGATTTTCAGATTGTTTGGCAACAGCTTCAAGGTTCTGTTTAAAGAAAAAAAAACAAAAGTTAATTCATCATGCTCTGAAAATAAACGGTCGTGCCTTGCTTCGCTTTGCTTTCTTTACCTTCATTTTCATTTTATCATGAGCGATAAATTTAGGAATTGCATCGTCGATGAAAGTCTTCGGAACTTTTTTGTGTGACACTTTTATTTTTCCAATGTACATAACTTCAAAAAACTGGGAATCATTAAGCTGAACATCTCCAAACACAGATAAATTGAGGTTGCGGTTGTTGAGATTCAAATCACTTGTCGATTGACTGACTCGTGACTTCTTGTAGCTCATAATTCGATCATTCCTGATTTTCATAGAATTATCGGAACTAATGCTAGTGAGTGATCCACCAGGAGACGACATTGTTGAAATGTTGTCAGCTGATTTTATAATTTGTGATGATGACGGTGAAACAGATTTTAAATCTCCCGGCAAAAGTGAAATCTGCAAAACAAGTGGGATGAAGATGAAAAGTCAATGTTAAGGAAACGATCTTAAATAATTTATTGTTAAAACGAAATTCAAACGTGTTTCGTAAATATTCATGAACGTACAAAAAACGTTTTTAGGAAGCCAGACTTTTGTTTCATTCTTCCTTTTTTTCGTCAATTTCGACGTCGTTCGCATATCCATTAAAATTTATTATTGTTATTTTAATAAGCTGATGTTGTTTGACAAGAACAACCCATGACGTCATAAACGGTTTTGATATATCGTTTGATCACAAATCAAATACCTTAAATCATTGAAGACATTTGATGAATGATTACAATATAACTTTTTTTGAAGATTTTTAATTGTGAGTTTATAACACGCAAAAGAAGAAATATTTAAACGCAGACATAAAGTTGAAGGTAAACATTGTTCTATAGCAAACATGAAAAAACTTGTCTCGCTAAATTTCGTATCTTGTGATATTATACATGCTGAGAAGTTTCCAAGAAACTTAAAATTAAAAACAAAGGGAATTGTAGCTTTACGAATACTTATTACAGATATCAAGAGTTGTTGATATTCTCAAGCGTTTAATTCTCGTATCTAATTAGATTTAAAAATAAACGATTGAAAGTTGTTGGGGACAACAGATGTGTTTAAATCAAGCGTCAACAAATACTATTTATCGTAAAATGCTATTGAAAATGCAAGGTCGATAAAAATTAATTTCTATTTAAATTTGCTATCTTTATCATTTATCCGCTCACATAAATATCCCTCAAGTGCATTGAAAAACTATAATTTTTATTAATTTAATTGAAGACATTTTAAATACTTTGTTTGTTAACATCAAAAGGCTCAAAGCTATAAACACAGGAAGCTGTGACAGTGTTTCAATTGAGGCCGGTAGGTTTATGAATTTGAAGGCGAACAACGTCAAAAAATATCTTTTTTCTTTATGTGGCTAATTAACTTTACGGAAAAATTATTTTCTATCGCGGACACGATGAATTTTGTTTTGTTGAAAGCACGAAAAACGATTTAAAAATATCAGAGGAAAATTTTTTCTTCTTTCATATTCTTTAATTCAGTCTGACGAAATGAAGATATTTAGATTTTAAAATAAATGATGCCAATATGTCTTGTCTGTACTGTTTTCTTACACGTCAACACAGAATGAATATTCACTCTATTCAGATTTGATATTGATCTTTAATTGACTTCCAAGAAAGGATTGCGAACTGACCACAGATGAGTCTCCAATATAACTGAAGATAAAATGAAGTTTCCAGAGAATGTGAAACTCTAAATTCTCTTTCTCTCGTTCACAAACGTTTACTTTTAAGCGCTTGGAAAAAAATATTTTTCGAAACAAAAACAAAATATATTTACTTAATCATAATGCTTCTCTGTCTCTCATCACACACTACACAGATATAGTGTCGAGCCCGAGAACATATGAAGTTTTATAGCTGACGTTTGCGATTGCAAACCAATATCATTCAATTATTCACAATTGAAATGAATCGCACAAAAATGTGATTTGAAGTAACGATTGCTCATAACAAATCATTCAGTTGAGAAAATAAACATAAACTATTTGTTGATCGTTTATTACTAAGTAGAATCAAGATATCAACAAATAATTTTTTTAACTTATTTAAGATGAGATTTTTATCTGTTTATCGTAGATTATGATCTTATCAAATATTTACATTATTCTTAAGTGTTGATGCATCACTGAGTGCTTTGTTGAACACAATAGGTTCACGTCGAACAGGAATAAACATTATTGCACAATTCTATGTATTCACTTTATTTAATTACGTTAATTGATTAATAAATATTAATTAATTTTTTTCTGTCCAGACTCTAGACTCTAAACACAATCAAGTTTAGAACTTTATGGCTGTTTCCAAGTTGCAAATATTATCCAATTCCCTTCAGATCAATTCAACGAGAAAATCCATTTTTTATGCTTAACTAACTCAACTATAGCACGTTAGGAAAATTTTCGTTTTCATTAGATATTTTCTTCTTTTTCTTTGTTTCGTAATCAAGAAAACTTTTCCTTTGAGTTTTCTAAAATTTTCCGAACTGTTTACGATGAATTCAAAATTAAAACTGAAACAACGATAAACTGAATAAACTCACTAAAGAGTCAATTCTCGCCTTTTATAAATTGATCTCTCTCGTTAAAGTTTTGTAGCGTGTTGTTGTCGTTTTAGTGAGCGATAAAGCTCTCCTAATTGCTATTCATATTGCCGGCTTTTTCATTTACAGCATAAGATGTGTTTGCATGTTTTTCGTGCTGCAGTTGCCACTACCTTGTAATATTTCTCTTTAATTCTTCATTCGTGTTGGTAGTATCAAATTTAATGCAATTAAGTGTCATTTCTAGGAAAGTTAAAAACATAAATAGTCTATTAATTACTTTTACTTTTAGCATAGGTTTGAGTTATTTTACTCGTACGCTATAGATAGTGATGTAGTAAAGGAATAAAGATATTTGATATTAATTAATTAACCTTTACTACAATTTATTAATTTATTTTCAGCTCAACATATGGAACAATTCCTCGAAATTCTACTCTTTTTGTCTTTCATTTTCTCAACAACAATTGCAAGTGTAAACATTGACATAAATTTTCGTAAAGAAAGTGAAAGCAGAAAGAAACTCCCAAGATTTTGGACTAACACGGGATTTGCTCCAACACAGCCAATTGAAAATGCTGCTGACTTTCTTGAGTCTGATGATGTGAATTTAAATTTAGAATTCATCGGATCATTACCCAACAATGGAATTAGAAATGTTCGCATACATTGGTTGTTGAATATGATATCTTTAAGGTAAATAAGTTATAAAATAATTAATATTTTCACAAAAGTAACAAACGATATCTTCAAGCTACTCAAATGGCACACAATTTCCCACTCTCAACTTCAATCGTCTTGATAAATTTCTCTGGAAGCTTATTAATGACTACCGTCTTAACCCAACAATTGAGTTCATGACAACGCTGAAATTTAAAAAACTTAACACTGTCATTTGGGAGGATTTCGCTTATCAGGTCATTTCCAGATACATTGGTGAGAGTTAAATTTAATTTATTACATCATGTGGTGTCATTTTCATGACGCATTTTATGATATTTAGGTCGTTATGGCGTGAAAAATGTGAGAAAATGGAAATTAGAGACATGGAATGAACCGGACTTGGACGGTTATAACTTGCTGAACTTTACGAACGAAGGTGTGTGTAGGTGAAAATTTAAAGATGATAAATAACAAATATTTATTCATTTAACATTTAGAGTTCATTGATTACATGAAAGGAATAAGTGAAGGGATCAAAGCTGTCGAACGACAATTTTCTTTAAATAATACTTTGAAACTTCGTGGGCCTGCTGGGCTATTTAAAGACGAAAGAAAACATAAATTCTGTTGGGGTGTTTTAGAAAACTGCAATAAGTTTCCCGTTAAATGTCCAATTGATATCATAACGTTTCATAGAAAAGGAAATGGAAACACTGCCGATGAAGTTCTCAATGAATCACTTGATTTGATAGAAGACTTCAAAAAAAGATTCAAAAATCTTACGACATTGAAATATTCCAATACAGAAGCTGATCCGATCAAAAAATGGTCCGAGCCACGTGACTTTCAATCTGACTCACGTTACGCAGTAATCTTAACCGAAATTATTTTTTCACATTGGCAAGCTCTTTACGATGGAAGAATGAAAAACCTCGAAAGTATAAGTCATGACAATTCATTCCTAAACTTTTATCCGAACTTTTTTACTCAGCGAACGTTGCTTGCGAGATTTCAAATGAATAATACGACACCAAAACATGTTCAATTTATACAAAAGCCAGTATTTGGTGTTCTTGGTTTGATTGCTAATCTCGCAACTCATGCTGGAAGAGTTCATACCTTAAATGACAAAAATATTTCATATTTAGTCACGTTGAATAATCGTTCTGAGAGCTTTTATTCGTGTATTGTTATTTGGAGTCATGTCAATCTAAAAGTGTTTTCAAACAAATCGAAAACATTTGATATCACGATACAAAATATCATAATAGGAAACTCAATCAATTTATTCTATATTGGTGAAGGAATTGATAATAGGAAAACAAATCCATCAGCGATTTTCGACAGAAATAGCAAACCACCTTTCCCAGACTTTTCCGTATTTGAAGAAATGCGAGCTGCACAAGACCCTACAATTCTTGTAAATCCAACAAAAGTTGTCGATGGAAAAATAATTTTGAACCTTCGGTTAATGCGGCCATTTGTTGTTGTGATTAGGATATGCGATAAAAATGTCACGAAGCCAAAGAAAGTTTTTAATCTTAGATTAAGGAGAATTAATTCTGAAGAAATTGTTCTGTTTTGGTCCGATTCATTTTACAAAGAAAGGTAAGTTAAATTGTCGTCTAATGTGTAAATTGATGATTTTATAATTTATTCAATTTTAGATGTTTGAAAACTTACGAAATCTTCTTTAAATATTTAATCGATGACGATTATAAGCAAATTGAAACTCGACACATTCCATTCTTAAATCATCAGTTAAAGCACACAATCCCCGGCTGCTTTAAAATTCGTTCTAGAGATATTTTCGACCGTGTCAGCAAGTTATCAACTAAAATTTGTTTCAATGAGACTTAAATGGTTGATTCTAATACACATCGAAACTAAAACCAAAGCTACATTGCATGAAGGGTAAATGAACAAAACAAAATTTCAAAATATAACAAACAACGTCAACATTTGTTTTCATTGTAATTTTATTTTTGTCTTTTATTTGAATCTCTCAATAAACATACAATTATTATTGTCGATATTAGATAATCATCAAATAATCAGTTTTCTCATTTCTTCACATTATGCTTTCATAAATTACATCAAGCATTAGAAAATCACATTCCAAATTTTGATTTGCTAATGGAAATTAAAAATAATTTTTTGGGGGATCATTTAAATAAATTTTTTTCACATAAAATGAACAATAAACGAAGTTTTATGGAATATAGAATACATTAAGTGCTTGTTACTTTTTCGGCTTTATTCACCTTCGCTTTAAGCGTTCTTAATTCTTAACTTAAAATCTTGTATTATTTTCATAATCACATGCATTTAAAGAAGTTAAATAATTTTTTGAGGGCTTATTCATTTAGATCTCTTTTAATTTAGGCTTTCAAGCTTAAAAAATTTCTTCTCGTTTGATGTTTAAATTTTTACGTTACAGGATGAATTTAAGGATTTTTAATCATTATACAACCTTACTAAAAACTTTCTTTCAGATTGATTTTTAAATGAAAAATTTCATTTTTCTTCTCTTATCAAAGCGATTTTTTTCCAAATCTGAAAACGAATAAGAAAAGTTTGGCAAAAAGCATAAAATATTGTCAAAATGTGTGTCTTAATGTTGCAAGTAGGTAGTTTCATTTTTTTTGTCAGTCATTGATTTGTTTGCTGTCACGGCTGATGATTCATTGACGACATCAGTGGCTGACAAATGAGTGAAGGTTACTAAAAATTTTCAGCGAGTCTTTAAATGCATTTTTCAAAATTTTAGTTGAATATTTCGTAATAAATTCATTTAATTTGTTAGATAATCAATTTATCCTGAGACCACATTATTCGAATTAATGACAACTTAATTAAAAAGCCATCTCAAAATTAAAAATTAGTTATTATCGATTTTGAGAGAAACATTTAATGATACAATTACATTCAAAAACATGTCGTTTGGATTAATAGATTTTTTTCTAAATAGATAGGAGTCAATAATGTTATCTTTCTTTTTATATGCAACAAAAACATTGCATTTGAATTGACAATGATACGCACCAAACATCATTAATTGGTGGTACAAGAATCAATTTTATAATGAACTAGGTACTTCATCTCAAGATCATAATTTTCTATGATTCAGGACAAAAGCAACGCTTACGTAACGTCTAGCACAAGTTACGCGAGGAATTTTGCGCACGTAATCACGTTAAGTGTTACTACGTGAGACAAAGCTTTCAGGAAATAAATAGAAATTTCTCAAATGATTTAAACTATTAATCACTAATTAAGGTTTACTATGTATTCAAGTGTTCTCTATAATAAATTCAACATAATAAATCACAAGAAATGGATAAACTGAAAATACCATGCCGGTAGTGTTTCTCAAAATCCCTGTTTTTTGAAAAACAGGGATCAGGGATCGATGATTTTCTACTAAGTAGATATCGACTTTTTTTAAAAGAAAAAACTGCATTAACGTAATGTTCTGACATAGAAAACACTAAACAATCCATCTTTATAGGAAAAATTAAGCGATTTCTAGTAGAAATTTGACGATTTCTTTTTCCCTATTCCCTAAAAATAGGGATTTTGAGAAACACTACATGCCGGTTAGAACGTCAATATTGGAATTTGAATAAATATCTTATTCAAGATACATCAAATAAACACAATTAAGTATCTATTTAGGAGGAAAAGGAATCGAGGGACTTATTTAATTATATTGTAAAATTATAAATTTAGCAAATTCTTAATCACCATTAATGATGTCAATGTCTCTGCTTTGGTTCATTCATGAGTTTCCTTAATTCGATTTCATTCACATTTATTTAAGTACAACTGATCACGACTTTGAGTCGTTTTGAGATTTTCGATTTACCTTTCACAGTCGAGTGTTAATTAGTTATTAGAGTTAGGAAAGAACCGCGGTTTTTACTGTCAATTCTTATACCAGACAGAAAGCTTTTGTCTGATTAAATAAAAAAAAGGAAAAGAAAAGAAAGAGATCTTACGAACTAGAAAAACATTGTGAAATTACTTCACAAAATCCATTGAATGGTCTAATGAACGAGGCTTTGTTAAATGACAATATAACTTCATTGTCACCTTTTTATATTGGCGTATAGTCGCCTTTTGGCTTTTAGAAAAGTTGACCACGCAAAAGACGACGTGTAATTTCACTTAACAGAAGTTTCTTTTCTTTTTGAATCTTCTTTAAAACACCTTTGTTTTCTTGAGCTCGTCTTGAAAGATATGGCAGAACTTCGTTGACGGGACCATATGGAATATATTTGTACGCAGAATAACCGGCTTGTCCTAATATAAGAATGAGAAATTAGACATTGGTGATAAGATATTAAAATCTAGCTCACCTAAGGGCATCGTAATATAATCACACATGCCAAGTAGTTGACCAAAGCAAATAACTTTATCTTCTGGTGAAATTCCAATTTCTTTCATCTTTTCGATAGCAAAACGAACTGTATCTTCATTGTGCGATGCAACCATAATAGCAATTTTTTTTGGATCAATACCAGAATCTTTGAGCTTCTTAATTCGTCTTAAACATTCAGTCAATGTCTTGTGATACATTTCAGTCGTTGCTTCATAACTGGGATTTGTTGGATCTTCGTAGCCTAAAGCAGCAGCACGCGCTCTCTCTTGCTCGATATAAGCACCACGCACTAATTTAGCTCCAAAATAGAAGTTTTGGCGGGCTGCTTGTTCTAAGTCTGTGCAAACTTCACGATAAGTGTCCTTTAAATAGCACTGATAAGTATTGAAAACAATTGCTTTCTTTGTGTTATACTTCCGCATCATTTCTAATGTTATTCGTGATATTGCTGGTTGGAAGTATGTTTGTTCAGCGTCAATCATGATTCTGACATCAAGTTCTTCAGCTGTCTACTTGAAAAATGTTATGATTCACGGAATTACTATTTATAAATAACTTACTTTAACAATGTAATTCAGACGACGAATCATATTTCTAAACATTTCTTCTTCTTTTGGTGGAATTTGAGATGTTAAACGACGCATTTGACCAGTTTTTGGATCAGGAACACGAAAAGTTTCAGATAATTCACTTCTCTCATCAACAATACCCGACCAAGGGAAAAGATGAAGAATTCTAATGTGTTTGTTGAGTTGAGAATTTCAAATAAATAGTTTGTAAAATTAAATTTTAATAACATTTCACCCTTCTTTGTCAGTTGTGACTTTCTTTAAGAACTCTTTGACATCCTTATTATCACCCATAGTTCCAAAATATTTTTCCAAATCTTTTATCGTCTTGTGATGAGTTAACACATTTCCAGTTCCACCAGCAATATCCATCATGTATTGGCGTGTTTTTTGGATGACTTCAGAGATTTGCAACTGGGGTAAAAAAAAATTAAGTTTTTGTTTCTTTTAAGTTTGTAAACTTACGAGAAGTTGTGGTCGTCCAAGAGCTGTCAGCTTGATGGCTGTTATTCCAGTCCCAAAGGTAGAGTTTGCCACAGCTTCCAAACATTGAATAAATATTTCCATATTTTTTTCACATGTTGCTTCGTTGAGATAGAAATACGTTCGAGCACTTTGAACTTTGTAACGTCGATCAGCAAAACTTTTATCAACCGAATATTGTGGCAAAGTTGCATCGCTATTTGCTGTAGAAGCAGTTGAAACAGATGCCGAAACTTCACGTTCTTCAGCTTCTTCTTGAGACAAATCTTCTTCTACAGAATAATCTAAGATGGGTTTAACACCAAATGAGCGAAGTCTAGAAAGAGAACAAAAAATGTTAAGCATCAAATTAAATAGCGAAAAGATGGTTGATCGAAAAAAAAGAATTCCATCAAGGTCACCGTTAAAACTTGTCAGAAAGTGAATGCAAAACAAGCAGAACGATTGATGATTGACAAATAAGAAGAGAGGCTCGCCTCAAACCGCACACTCAAAAACTATATTGCAGACACAAACACGATTTTTTATAGTCTTTTTAAGGTTTGTGCGGCCAAGAAAAAATAATAATTTTAAATGATATCACTTGTCTTACCTTTCTAATGTTGGAACAATTTTAACTTGATCTTCACCAGCAACAAAATGTCCATAAAATGTCGCTTTCATAAGTGAATTGAATAATTTTTCTCCGAGAATACTGTTCATAAGTTTCATTATCTGGAAGAGAAACAATGTTTAAGCTTTCAGAAATACGAGAAAAATTAAAACTACAAACAAGTCACATGAAGACATCAGCGACTTTCTGACTCATAAATTATGGAAACTGACTTCAAGGAAAAGTTTGCTAGTTGCAAAGTTATTATGTTTAAAAAATCTTTATAAATTAGTGAACAGAAAATCTTTTTCGTAAGCAAAGTTGAAAGATCTGATAATTGTGCAAAAATATTTTTAAATGCGTACCAAAATAACATAGGAAACCAAATTACTTATATCACATTTGTAAAGCAACTCATAAATAGCTATAAATAATCTCTTTTTCATCAAATACATAAGGAAAATTAAGCATTGATGCAACCACATGATATCACAATTTCGTGGAATGACAAATGGAAGAATTTCAATGAAGAGAAACTGATAATCAAACATTTCATTGTGTTTGTTTCCAACACATAAAGTAAGAAACTTAAGTATGAAGAGGAAAAACAGGAAAATCGATTCTTTTTATACTTTTGCACTAAAGCCCATCGATAACAGTAAAAACAATAATTTGTAAAAATTTGCAAGTAATGATATGATGGGCAAGCAGAGAAAATTCATGAAAGAATCGCAGCTTTCTTTGATAACCGACAAACTTTCTTTGAAAGGATGTCAAAACATTTCCTTATTCAATCAAGTCCAACTCACCTTCATATTGTTCTCTACAAGAGTTTCAGATGAGCAAATAAGATAAACAAAATATCCTCGAATCAACTCAAATGTTGTTTTAGATTTAAAAGCTGCAATGGGATCATTGAAAGTTGTGTCCAAAGGATCTTTTTTTCCTGAAGGCGGTGATGCCTTCGCTTTTTCTAATAAAATTGACGACTTTTGAACAGCTGACAACTGTGACGATGAAGAAATAAATCGCGAAACAGTAATTTGATACAAGTTTTTCTTCGATGATCCTATCCTTAAAGGACTTGATCCAAATTTTCCAAAAAATCGAATGAATGCCATCGCGAAGAACTTGATTTTCCTTTTTAATACTGTTTAATAATATTTTCACCTTACTTTAAGAGAAAAACAATTCACAAGACACTGACGCGATTTTTCGAATGATTTTATTGCAAAGTTATGCAACAATCCGCAAGTTTTTCGGCAAAAATATGCGAGACTCAAAACTTGTTCGTTTTTTTCTGTGCAGTCTGATGAAAATCGATATTTTAACGACGTAGCTTCACCCCTTGAATTATCGCTCAGCCGCGCGGGCTGAAATCAGCCTTAAAGCTAAACAAATGTTCACAATTAGATTTCGCGATTCTTAAAAATTTGATTAAAACATTAAGAACCCATTTCAAGAAAACTAAAAGGGTTTATTTAGTTTCTGGGGACGTCAAAAATGAACAGTAAGTAAATTATTTAATAGAACACTCATGACACGTAATTATTTCTAATTTTAAGGTAAGAAAAAGGCCGGCAAACGTGTTAGAATTGTGAACATGTCGCATCCAATTGTTAAAAAGCCAAAAACAAAGACGGATTTAGAAACTGAAGATTCACCCCAAAAATCTGAAAAACATGAGAAGAAACTTATTAAAGGAAATAGTATTGAAGATGGAAAACAAATGCTTGAATGGATGTTGACTCCATTCCCCGTCGAAGAATTTTTCAAGTTCGTTTTATTCTCTCGTGACTCCTATTATATTTATAAGTTTTCTTTTTTCAGAAAATTTTGGGAGAAAAAACCAAAGTTAATTAAACGAGGCGATTCTCAAGATATATATAAAAGCTTGCTTTCCACGGAAATGATTAATACAATGCTGAAAGAAAATTACTTGGAATACACGAAAAACATTGATATCACATCATATAAAGATGGTGTTCGAGAGACTCTTAATCCTGAAGGAAGAGCGGTAAGCATTCAAAGAAAATTATATTAAAAAATGATATTTCACGTTGACCTTCTCGCATTACAGACGACTCCATCAATTTGGAATTATTATGCTGATGGATGTTCAATTCGAATATTGAATCCGCAAACATTTATTCCAGCAGTGTACAAAATGAACAGCAAACTGCAGGAATATTTTCACTGTATGATTGGAACCAATGTTTATTTAACACCGCCAAACTCTCAAGGTTTTGCTCCACATTATGATGACATCGAAGCATTCGTTTTGCAATTAGAAGGCGCTAAACATTGGCGTGTATATAAGCCAAGATCTCCGAAAGAAAATCTTCCACGGATATCATCTGAAAATTTCAGTCAAGATGAAATTGGTGAACCAATTTTGGAAGTAAAATTGGAGCCGGGTGATTTACTTTACTTCCCACGCGGATTTATTCATCAAGCTGAAACAGTTGAAGGAAAACATTCACTTCACATAACAGTCTCAGTTTATCAAAAAACTTCATACGCTGATTTATTAGAAGCGTTGGTACCAGCAGCATTACAACGAGCTATTAATTCTGATGTAAGATTTAGAGAAGGTTTGCCATTAAACATTCATCAAGTCATGGGAATCGCTTTTTCTGAAAATGATTCACCAGAAAGAACAGCCATGAGAGAAAAGATTCATTCACTCTTCGAAAGAATTTTTGATCATGCGAGTGTGGATGACGCTGTTGATCAAATTGGAAAAAAATACCAAATCGATGCTCTTCCGCCTTATGTTTCTAAAGAAGAAAAGCAAAGAACAGTTTATGGTGAAAAAGTTGTTATTGAAGATGGAAATATTAGATGTCCGTTTGAAATGACATATGAAACAAAAATCAAATTGCTGAAAGCAAATATTCTTAGACTTGTTGATGAAGACGAAAGTCTACGAGTTTATTTTCATTCTGATAATTCAAAGGAATACCATGAATATGAGCCCACGTTTATGGAGATTGAAGAAGACGACGCGCCAGTTATATCAATGCTTGTCAATGAATACCCAAAATTCGTTGCTGTTAAGGATTTACCTATTGATGACGATGAACGAAAGCTTGCAATTGCAACTGATTTGTGGGAAAAGGGTTTGCTTATGACAAATGTCAGTGTAACAGATTATGAATAATAAAAATATATTCAAATTATATAGCTTTCTTTATTATTATTATTATTATTTATTTTGAATTTAATTTGGTACAAGTAAGAGCTGAACTATTCTTTAGACCTAAGTCTTCTTGAATATTCATAAAATTTGTTCAAATAAAAATAATAAACTTTAACGGTTTCTTTAAATTCAAATATTTCACGGTATGTATCGCGACGCATAGCCGTAAAAACATTTCTTGTTTTTGAAAATTCACGAAAAACATAAATTCTATAATAAACATCAATTAAAAAATGTTTCTAACTAATATTCTGCTCAAAAAAGCAAAAAGCAAGTAAGTTTTCGTCGGATAATAATTTTTAATGAATTTCTGTGTAGTTTAAGTTTTATTTTCACATTAGATTAATAATGGTTGAAATGGTTAGTGCTGTGAGCGGCCACAGATTTAACATGATCAGAGAAAGATTAGCAGACAAAGCTGAGCTTATAAAGTTTGATCCATGGAGTAAGTGAATTTGTGATATTTCTTTCAAAAACAAATTTCATTTCTTATTTCTTTTATAGTTCAATTGATGTCAGTCTACAGAGAAAATAGAAAAATCCGTTCAATGTAAAACATCCAGATAAGCAATTAGAATAAAATATGAAAGTATAAAGCTTTATTAGACTTCTAAACTTTGGAGTTTTCAGGTTTTATAAAATTAATATTGCTGTAAAGCTTACAAAATAATTTCATTTTTAAAACTTCTACCGAGCTCTTTGCTTGGCAACACAATAGAATTCAAAAGAATGATTTCTGAAGCCACTGATGAATTATGTCCAAGAATAGTAGTGGAAGGATTCATTTTACCTTCTGTGTTGAATAATGGCAGATTTTTAATCTTTGCGAAAGGTTTGTTTGGATCTGGATCAACAGCTGTGCCTTCAATGCGTGACCATTTTCCAACTTTAGTCTTTCTTCCAATGATGGAATGAATGATGAGCGTATGTTCATCAATAAATGTATCATCAAGTATTATAGATTCACGAATACGAACACCCGCAGCGATTATGACACCTTTTCCTATACTAACATTTGGGCCCAAAACAGCTGTCTCGGATATTTGGGCTGTTGGATGAATGAAAACATTTCCAATGATTGTGCAATTAAACTGATCAGAAAACTTTTCCGGATGACTTTTGCGACGAAGTTCAAGAGCTTGACGATTTGCGTAAATTGCCGAGGCTTAAATTGTATTAAAAATAAATTAAAAAAGAATATTTTAAATGATTTCGCGTTACCAGCATTCTTAACTTGAGCCCACTTCATATTCAATGTCAACGTATATAATTTTCCTGAACCAGCCAATGGTGTTAAAACTTCTTGTTCCAATTGAATATGTCCCTGGTCTTTCCCATTTCCGCTACCATTTCCTGAAAAATTTTCGTTTTTCGGTCTTGAATAAAAAACTGTTGCAATTTGAGGGAAGATTTCAATATTCGCAAGATAAACTCCACAATTGATAAGCGGTGACACGTATGAACTTGGTTTTTCAACATAATGAGTCACTTCACCAGTGCCTTTATCTGTCACAATGCATCCGTAATTTACAGACTCAACACGGTCTGCTTCGGTACTCAGAATAGAAATCTGTTAAGAAAAATTATTTGAGAATTAAGTACACAAGAGATATTATCACAGACAACCTACTAAAGCATCTTTTTTAGTGATATGAAAGTCATAAAGTTGTTGTAATGGAAAATCAGCACAAACATCTCCATTTAGTACAAAGAAACATTCCGGGTTACCAGCTCTGATCTGATCTCGGAAATGATATATACCTCCAGCTGTTCCAAGCTCAACAAACTCTTGAAGGTAGCGAATTGTGACATGATATTTAGTTTTCACTTCATTGAGGAAAGTTATCATTTCATTGATGTGATATGATCCGATGATTAAAATTTCTTCAAGGTTTGACATGGCACTACAGGCATGAATATGATGTTCAATGATGGGTAAGCCAGCAATTGGAAATAAGGGTTTCGGGATATCTAGTGACAAAGGCCGAAAGCGAGTCCCTTAATATAAAAAAACATATCAGTTGATAATTTGTAAACATATTGCCACGTAAAATCACGCAATAATTGAATTTTTTCCCTCATTATAAAAATGATTGATTACTTTAAGAAGTATCAATACCTTTGTTATCTCCTCCAACTAATATGACAGCTTTCAACATCTTAATTTCTTGGTAGTTTTATTCTTTTTTGGATAAAGAAACTAAGTTGATAGTAAAACCGCAATATTTTTATTGTAAACAAATGAAGAACGAAGCTATGCGGCAGCTGAACCAAGGTATGAATGTGTGTGTTACCAATGGGAAAGAAATAAATTTTATCAAAAGGTTTTTTAGTTTTTCTGTTACTTGGAGCTCGTTTTCATTCAATTAACACCCGTCGCGAGTTGAACAAGTTAAAAGACATACCCGGAGAATCATCAACTTTATGTTTATCGGGTGATTCATAGTGGAAGTTAAAATTAAAGAGTAACAAGAATATCCCGTAAAGGAAAATTCATTTTCAATGGAAAACTAAATAATCACTATCATCATCTCTACTGTCTACGGCAGTCATAAAAACTATTTGTTCGTGCAGCAAACGAGGTAAAAATATCACGATTAAATTTAAAGAATAAATAAGTAATATGAGAAGTAATATGGCTAAGAAAAAAGAAAAAAACAAGTTTTTTATATCCCTTATCAAAAGTAATACATTGTGAATAGACGAAAAAAAAAATATATCGAAAATGTGAATGTGTTTACACGCCAAATTAATTTAACAAGTTATTGTCTGCTGATTGAACAGTTTCAACCTGAATGCGTATAGATAAAAGATAAATTAATTGTTTAAAGCTCAATCAGATGAAAATTTCGTGGATGTTTACTCGTAATTTGTTCGTAAAATAAGGAAGAAGAAACGATGCATGAAAGAAGAAAAATAATTTGAATTTATAAACACACAATAAGAGTAGAGGATGGAAATTTGTTTTTTTCGAATACTTTAAATCATCGCTTGTCATCACAAAGATTTACTTAAAGTGAAAAATCCTTGGCTGAGTAGGAAGAAACACAGAAATGTTACTGATGTTTATCGATTAAATATTATTTTCTTTCTTTCATTATTGTTTATTTTATAACACAAAATCCAATCACTGATGGTTTTCTTGAACGTCTTCTAAAACAGTAAAAAAGAATTCGGATGAAAACAGTACAAACAAAATTTTCCACCTCGCATGTAAAGTGAAGTGAGTTTGGATCGTGTGTATTTAATATTTATTTACATAAGCTGGAAGCAAATTAAAAAAGCCCAAAGTGTTCTTGCGTTATTAAACATCAAGAAAAAAGGAAAGAAAATTAATTTAAGCGATAGATAAAATTTCATGTTTGCATTCGCACTATTTAATATTTTGTGCGCACCTTAAAAAAATATTGAAGTCGGTCCAAATGCGAATGGAATGTAACAACTCGTTCAACAGTAGAATATTTAATGCAGTTGATTGTTTACCTTCCCGACCTCGACAACTGTGCATAAATGCGCTTGAAAAAACAAAAGAAAAGATTATTGAGTTGCCTATTAAAATGTCACCACACTGTGGCTATTATTTCTTGATATTTGCTCGATAGATTGATGTTTAAATTACTTTTCTTTCGTAAAGTATATTAAATAGAACGACGCGGGTGTCGTGTCATTCAATCTGTTTTTTTTTAACACCACATTGGAAACGAATTAAACATTTCGAATCATTGAGAATTTTCATTCATTATATTTGCTTAAAAGAAAACCAACCACTCAAATTGAACAAATGATGATGACAATGAACATAGATCGAATGAAATGTGATGATTTGAATTGATGAATAAAAATAGACACATATGACAACGAGGATGTAAAAGTCAATAGGAAACAGTTCGTGCTATCAACTTATAGCTCAAATTCCCATGTTTCTATTGTACACAAAGTAAAGTGCTCAACAACAGCATAAATATAAGCTGTTGTCCCAATTCAAATGTATGTATAGAGCCATAAGTTTTCACGATGTTTTAATCTCATTATAACGAAAAGAGATAGAGCAGAGCTGAACACACATAAGTACTTATGTGTCAACATGATATTAAATAGTCACCGATAAGGTTTCACCATTCATTTATCCGTTTCAAAAGCTTCTTTCCTTAATAACTTCATCGTCTTCCTTCGACCTATCCTTGAGAAAATTCCAATACGTATGAACTTTCGTAAGAGAAAATATCTAAAAGCTTTATTCATTCTCTACAATTTCATTCAAGAGTGCGGTTGGATATCTTCTTCCTTGTTTGACGTTTAATTCCTTTTCATCATTTTTCAAGAGGTGCTCAAGGAGAAGACTCGGTAGGGAGCATAAAAATAAGTAGACAAGCGAACGACTATTGTTGTCAATAAAATTTTTCGCCTCATCCCTTCTTGTCTTGTGAATAATCATCGTTCTTATACTCAACAAATCATCGTCCTTAAACGAAATAACGATGACAGATATAAAAGAAAACTAACTCTGTATTTCGTGATGACGCACATTCTCGATAACAATTCCTTCAGTCAACAATAGTAGCCCACAGTCACTTAAAGCACGTGAATGAAGACGAATTTTTATTATTTTATTTTCTTTTTTTTAATGTCTTTTCAATTATCAGCAAAAGAGCTTAAATCATGACGAAGAAGTTTGAGTTCAACTGGCAAATTCCAGTTCCTCAGCCTCTACTTGATGGTGCCATTTTCGACCGATGGACAGAAGAAAAAGATAATTCAGAATTAGAACTCGCTTGTACATTTAAAGTTGATGAGTATGGATTTTTCATTTATTGGAAAAGTGAAGGAAAGGTTAGTATAATGTCTATGAATATAAATAAATTTTCTTTTCCTCAACTAATATGTAATTTCCGGAAATAACAGGAAGGAGATGTCATCGAGTTGTGTCAAGTGAGCGACATCCGTGCAGGCGGTCTTCCTAAAGATATGAAATTAGGTAATCAACTGTTAAATCGACACGGAGAACAATTAGAAGAAAAATCGTTAACAATATGCTCGGGAACTGATTACATTAACATTAACTATCAGCATGTGATTTGTCCGTCAGCGGAGATTGCTAAGGTAGGAAGAATTTAATCATCGCTACATATTTCTATGTTTATTTATTTTCTCATCGTTTGTCGATGAAATGTTTAAACTTTTAAGTGAGAAATTCTAACAAATTTCCATCAAAGATGTGTTGTAGGAGTTGTCAGAATGCGACTGACAAAACTTTCATTTTATTGACCTTGAAAATTAAAAATATCATTCAGCAATCGATGACGATAAAGTAGAAAGGAAATTTTATCTAATTCCGAGTAATTTAAACGCTACTGACAGATGACGCCTTCAAGCCAAACACATTTTCAGAATTGAAATGAAAAAAAACTTGATTAATTAATCTAAGTGAATTGAGTTTGATTTCTACCTTAAACATGAGAAATAAAAATCATTAATTAAAGAGAAAAACAAACTCTAATGGTTGTTACGATTTTACTATTAATTTTATTTATGGACGACAATAAAATAGATTATTAAATCAATCACGTGCACTGTCTGCTCAAAATTGTCGCGTTCGAATAGCCTCAAACTACTCGTGATAAAGTTGGATATGAAATTTCTTTTCTTACTTAATCAAAAAAGAAAAAGAATGAATAGAAACTTAATCGTCCATTGAATATTTTAAGCTTAATCAAATTTGAGGGACAGAGAGTAAGCTATCAATTTGTCAACTCATTAGATTAATAAATTAAATTTATTTCGTCACTGTCATTTAATAAAGAATTCTTTTTGACTTTTCATTCAATAAAAATCAAAGGATTAATATCATTTAACAATAAGTATCTAAATAAAAGAAGCAAGCAAATAACTAACAAGTGTAACTTGTACCTTAACAACCTCATTAACCTTTTCTCTGTGATATGTTTTATCGTGATACAAGAGAAACTATCAAAACGAAAACATTCTTTCATTAATCTTCAACAGATCTGGTTAGACGGCCTACGAAAGATAACACACAATGGCAAAGCCAATAATTTCTGTCCAATGACGTGCTTAAAGAAGCAGTAAGTAACATATGAACAACATTTGGAAACTCATCATACTTATTTATCTAATATTGGCTTATGCTTTTATAAACTACCTTCACGGGACGAAACATGAATCTTGTTTACCTTCAGTTTTATGTTTTAATCTTTTAAGTGTATCGATAGACGATTTTGCGATACATTTCTTCTTTTCATGTCATCTGCTCATCGTCACTTGCTTCTCAGATTATTTCTCTCTTCTGGTGTCAGTGTCATTGATTATTCTTTTCTTTGAAGAATTTATGTTTTACAAATGTAAATAACTCTTAGCCTTGCATGCAACAATCTTAAAGATTGTTGTTTTAATTTTATAGGTATTCAGATTCTCTTGTTTTAATTACAGTTTGTTTACTTTCTTCTGAGTTATTAACATTCTTTCTTTATGTTTTGTTACGTCATTGTGCTTTAGATTTGGAGGGCAGGTTTGCGCGAAATTACACATAATAATAAACAATATAATGCATGTCCGAGAACAATGTTACAGAAGCAGTAAGTTTCAAAAGAAAAATAATGAAAGTGTCGAGATCAGTTAGTTTGTGACTATATAATTAGAAGCGAAATGCTCACCCACATATTTACTTTCATTCCAGTAGAAAACAAAGTTGTTTGCTTTATGGTAATTTGAAGTTTTAATTAGGCGAGATAATAACAGCACTTCAATAGGCAATGCATATGTGTTGATAAAGTAAATTTTCGTTATCATAACTTCCTATCTATCCATTTTGTTCTGTTTTGCCAAAACCTTTTCTGTGGTACATTCAAATTTATTTAATTGATTTACCTTGTTTTCTCCATTCACAAATTCCACGAGCTTCGGTTGTTTATGACGTCTTTGAGTTCGTTATGCATTGAAATAGATTTATTAATTCTCCAGTTGGTATTCATTATTGAGTAACAACTTAAAAGCTCTTAAGAGACCATGAAAGCTTTTCTATTTATGCTTCCGTGACAATAAATTACATCAAAGTCACGAATTCAGTTGTGTAACCTGGAACTGAATCCATATTTTAACTCCTGACAAATTCTTTCTAAAACGTCATTTTACAGCGGTCACTTTTCTATTCATTTTTAGATTTTATTTTATGTTAAGTACAGTGAATGCTCTATGGATTGTAATTTATCGTAATTCGAGAATCTACTGTGAATATATGATTTATTTTCTACAACCAAAATTACTAAAACTTTCCATTTGCATAACACTCATTCAAGACAATAAAAACATTTTTTATTTATTTCCTATTTAGAATTTTTCTTTTCTATCCAAAAACATGCTTTTAGGCCATTAGCGTGACCAACCGAATTTCGCGAGAAATAATAATTAAAAACAATTCACGTTAATTCCCTTTGTCGTGTCTCATAAGCCATTAATAATTAAGCTCAGAATTTGAGTGAGTGAAAATATTTCTTTTCGCTTGCTTTGTGTTCTGAATCTTTTATGATTTTTTTAACTAACAAGCAACTTGATAATCATTATCAACAGTTCTAATTGAAATTTCTAATTGACATGAAAATCTGTTCATCAACAGTTGGATGCGTTTGGGTTTCACCGTTGATGTAAAAGGAAACGTTCCAGTCAAGGTTATTGCGAGAACTTTCGCTTCAGGTAATTTGCATTGAACACTTAACGTAAAACAAAGTTTTTGTCACATTATAAATCCCACACATATCGTATGACTAATCAAGCTTATAATTGGTGATACTAAAAAATTGCCACTGTAGATAAATCAATTATACATGCATGCAATCACTGAATTAATTAATAACTTTATTGCTACTAAGAAAATTGAATTTCTACTTATTTATGCTTTGATAATTAATTAATAATTTTCTCATCCTTGAAGCATTTAAGTACATATCAATTTATTAATTAAGCTTATTAAATATTAAGTTTCATAAACTGATAACTGAATTATCATAAACATGATGGAAAATTGATGTAATGACAATCTTTTAATTGACAGGTAAAACTGAGAAGCTTGTTTATCAAGGATTGTCGGAACTTGGTCTACCAAGTGGAAAGAATGAATCAATTCCTAAAGCTGACTTTACATTTGATAAGTTTTATGAGTTGTATCATAAAATCTGTCCAAGAAACGATATTGAAGAACTGTTTCGTTCAATGTGAGTAGAAATTTTCACGTTGTATTTTCACGTTTTTCCATATCTTATTTCAATAACAAAATCAAAAACAACTTACAGAACACAAGGAAAAGCAAATGAAATTAACATCGACCAATTTATAAACTTCTTGAATGAGAAACAACGAGATCCGCGTCTTAACGAGATTCTCTATCCACTTTATGATGAAAAACGTGCCGTTGAAATAATCAACACATACGAGCAGTCAGAAGATGCTCGAAATGCCAAACATTTGACAAAAGATGGCTTCATAAGATATTTAATGTCAGATGAAAATGCGCCAGTATTTTTAGATCGCTTGGACATTTACATGGAAATGGATCAGCCTTTGTCGCATTACTACATCAATTCATCCCATAACACTTATCTTTCCGGTCGTCAATTTGGTGGTAAAAGTTCTGTTGAGATGTATCGACAAGTGTTACTTGCTGGTTGTCGTTGTGTTGAATTAGATTGTTGGGATGGAAAAGGTGAAGACGAAGAACCAATAATTACACATGGCATGGCAATGTGCACAGATATTCTGTTCAAAGATGTCATTTATGCTATTCGCGACACAGCATTTGTCACTTCCGATTATCCTGTCATCCTTTCATTTGAGAATCATTGCTGCAAGTCACAACAATATAAATTAGCGAAATATTGTGATGAGATTTTTGGCGATTTATTATTGAAAGAAGCACTTCCAGAATATTCATTAGAACCTGGCATACCATTGCCACCACCATCATGTTTGAAACGAAAGATTTTAATAAAAAATAAACGTTTGAAGTCAGAAGTTGAGAAACAAGAATTGGAGCTTTTCCTTCAAGGGGAATTTGTGATTGAAGATGACATCAAAGAAGATGCCAGTGCTGTAAAACCTCCACCTGATGAACTTGCAGCAGCTGTAGCAGCAACTGCCAGTAATGCTCAATCACAAGACGGTGGTGATGCAGAGGCTATTCCAATTCAATACACTGGATCAACAACAAACGTTCATCCATGGTTGTCATCGATGGGGAATTACGCGCAACCAATAAAATTCCAAGGCTTTGATGTCGCTGAACAGAAAAATATTCATCACAATATGTCGTCGTTTGCTGAAACAACTGGAATGAGTTTGCTGAAAACACAAGCAATCGATTTTGTCAACTACAACAAACGTCAAATGTCGCGTATTTATCCAAAGGGCACGCGTGCTGACTCGTCAAATTACATGCCTCAGGTATTTTGGAATGCCGGTTGTCAAATGGTGTCGTTGAACTTTCAAACTTCTGATTTACCACAACAATTGAATCAAGGGAAGTTTGAATATAATGGAAATTGTGGATATCTTTTGAAGCCTGATTTCATGCGACGTTCTGATCGCTCTTTCGATCCATTTGCTGATGCACCTGTTGATGGTGTCATTGCTGCTCAATGTTCCGTAAGTGTGATTGCTGGTCAATTCTTATCTGATAAGAAAGTTGGAACTTATGTTGAGGTCGACATGTATGGTCTTCCTACCGACACAATTCGAAAAGAATTCAGAACGCGAATGGTGCCAACAAATGGATTGAAGTGAGTAAGATAAATTTTCATTTCGTTTATTGAATTCTTAAAAGTTTCATTTTCTTCACAGTCCCGTTTACAATGAAGAGCCATTTTTATTCCGTAAGATTGTGTTACCAGATCTCGCGGTTCTTCGATTTGGTGTGTATGATGAGAATGGCAAGTTGCTTGGTCAAAGAATTCTTCCACTTGATGGTCTTCAAGCTGGTTATCGTCACATCTCGTTGAGAACCGAAGCCAACTTTCCAATGTCATTACCGATGTTGTTCTGCAACATTGAGTTGAAAATTTATGTACCAGATGGTTTTGAAGATTTCATGGCGGCATTGTCGGATCCTCGTGCATTTATGGGAGCGGCAAAAGAGAGATCGGATAATATGAAAGCAATGGGAATTGAAGAATCTGCCACGGGTGGGCCTGGAGCGGCAACTCAAACAACCAAAAAAGAAGAAACTAAAGAAGAACCACCTCTGGTGTTTGAACCAATCACAATTGATTCACTTCGTCAGGAAAAAGGTTTCATTAAGACAGCAAGAAAGCAACAAAAGGAATTGGATGCACTGCGAAAGAAACAAGCAAAAGATCGAATGGCACTTCAGAAAGCCCAGAACGGCACGATTGAGCGATTGATTAAAGGTAAAAGTAAAGATGAAATTAAGAACGATGCATCGATAAGAAAAGTGATTCAAGAGCAGAATGCGCAGTGGAATGAAATGGTCGAGCGACATAAGAAGGAAGAATGGGAAATGCTTAAACAACAAATTTCCGATCAACAAGACACTCTTCGCAAGCTTATGGAGATTACACAAGCTTCTCAAATGAAGCAGCTGGAAGCCAAACACGAACGTGATGTCAAAGAATTAAATTCGAAGCAAGCGAAAATCTCGGTTGAAACATCAAAGGAAGTGGCGAATGATAAGACATTAAAAACCAAAGGTGAAAAGGATCGTCGACTTCGTGAGAAGAAGCAGAACAACATTAAAAGATTTATGGACGAGAAAAAGGTGAGAATTAAATTATTTGAATATTTATTAAATGTTTTTTATGAGATTTTAATTTGTATTTAGAGTGCTACAATAAAACAAGGACGTGAAAAGGAAAAGTTGAAGATGACTCATGACAAGCAACTTGAGAGTTTATCACACGACTTACAAAAGGTTGATTATTATTTATTTATAACAATGACATAAATAATGACTTTATCATTTTACAGCTAATTGATGTGATCAAAGTTGAAGAAGAAGAATATAAAATGATTCAGAAATTTGAATTCTTCGCCTAAACATCCATCTTAAGATTAAGAAATTTATAATGTTCTCGTCATTTTATCTTTCTTTATAATAAATAATCTTAAATCAATGGACTTTCGATAAAAGATATTTCGATAATTTCAAAGTCATCATTTTATTTCTCAAACAATTTACACTCGAAATGAGAAATCGTTCGATTATTTTGAATGTCTTTTATGGAGATTCCATTGAACATATTTTTTCCTATGAATTTCATGTTAATTAGATTAGATTTTTAATTGCATTTCAAAAAGGGAAAAATTAGCTCGCGTCAAGATCTTCGTTTGTAAGTTTAAATAAATAAAACGATTAATGAATAGAATTAAAAATATTCCACAAGTAAAACATGATGTGCCACTAAACATATTAGCACTGTAAGCGTCGCTCCATTTTATCAGGTCGTGTTTCTTTTCGCATTCAATGATGTAAGTGGATTAACTGAACCAAAAATAATGAAATGTAATAGTCCAAATCTTAAGTTTTAACAAGTAAAATGTCCACAAATGAAATATATTCAACCTGAAAATCTTTTTTTTCATTTTTAAAAGTAAAATTATACGAAAATCATCTCGAAAGAAGTTTGAGATAAATTTTGCAAGCCTTCAATTCATGTCAAAAATCTCTAATTCTTCGATTATTTCAAACAACAAATTGAATGTTTTTTGATTAGATATTCAACTTCCAAATTTAGAGAAATAGAATTAAAAGTAAAAAACATTTTAAGCTTTAAACATTTCCGTCAATTTACTAAAATTTAACAAATGCAGAGAAAAAAACTTTTATGATGATGAGAAGAAAGCAAGATAAGTTCATACATGATGATTTAAAAATATTTAATTAAAGTAACAGTTCCTGCTGAGAAACCAACAACTAATGAGCCTAACTACAAACGATAGTAATAAATATTAAATATCTACCATTTTTCGTCAAAGATTATTATTTTAATTGTTATGAACGTTCTTAGATTTGAAAGAATGGAAGAAAAATTCCACTTAAGCATGCAATAACAAAATATCGCCAGAATGATAAAGAATGAAGTCAACTTATTGATTTATTATTTAAGAAAAAAGTGTTAGGAGTTCAGCAAATAAGTTAAATTTACCTTAAAATAAATTTGTTATGGGAAAGTTTTAGTTAAAACTTTTTTATTTGGATTCAACAAAATTTAAATTTATTTTCTACTCCATGTGATGATGAAATGTTACAAAATAAGTTCTTAAGTGCACCAAGTTTTATGTCTGACAAGAAAACAAGAAAAACTTCTCTGTGTTAATTAAATAAAAGGAATCTGGAAAAAATTCAAAATAAAAGTAAAAAATTGAAAATAGAAAAAAAGTTTTTGTTTGAAGATTCAATTTTATTTATCATGAAGTTGTGGGTGGGGACAGTCAAGTTATTTTAACAATAACAGTAACAACAAATTAATATTTTATTTCTCAAGTAAATTTATTTCAGTTCTAAGCAGTTTTTAAATTTATAAATCGTACAAACAGTTTTGAATTTCCTGTGAAAGTTATTAGGCAAATGCTCCATGAAAATCTTGGAATATCGAGGATAAAAACAAATCGATTTCGATATCGACAGAAGAAAGTATTGAAGTGTAACCCATTTTTAATATGAGAAGGAATTGAAATACTTACAAATTACTTACAACTTACGAAGAGAATTTAAAAGAAAATTATTTTCGACGAACGACAATTTAAATCTTTTTTTGTTGTCGGAAAGTTGAGACGAAAAAAAATAAAATGAAGGAAGGGATTAAATCTACTTTACTAGTATTCTTGGCGATATTCGTAGCTCCCATTACCCTGTTCCGATGGTCGATATTTCTGTTCGTCGCCACTTTCATACTTAACTTGTCCAGCGTACTGTGAGTAATCTTGTTGACTATAATCGGGATAATCTAGGAAAAGAATGAAAATTGCGGAATATTAATTGAGTACCGAAACAATGGTTGAATGTCTGAAAGATTCTACAACCAAATGACCAAAACTTGAACATGTCAACGGCCCTGGTCCTTCAGTTAATTATTAATGTAGCAAAAGGAAAAACTTGATGATCCCAAAAGCATACACAAAATTTCAATACTTTGATCATGAATCGAAGTCTCTTTTGCAAAATTTTTCTGTTTATAAAAGTAAATTAAAATTCAACTCACCGTCAATTGGTTCTTCTTTAATTTTGATGTCAAATTCTGGTTTACGTTCCTTTCTCTCTTTGTCGCGTTTTCTTTCCCGATCTTTATCACGAGATCTTGAGCGATCACGTTTATCTCTCTTACGTTCCGAACGATCTCTGTTTAAAGAAGTTTTTATATAAATAAAGAATTGTCAACATTAATTACATTTAATGTCATTCACCTGTCTTTTGAACGAGATCGTCTGCGCTTTCTTTCTTTCTCACGAGACTTTCCGCGTCTTTCATAACGATCGAAATCTTCTTCAGGTGATTTTCGTCTTCTTCTTTCTTTAGAGCGTGATCGACGGGTACGGCTCTTACTCTTTTCTCTCGATCTTGTACGTCGTCTTTCAAATCCTAAATAAAATATTTAAATTTATTATTTTATTCCTTAATTTGGTATTAAAATTGAAACTTACGATCACCACGCCGCTCTTCAACACCACGACGATCTTCACGCTCTCGCTCCAAACGGTAACGTTCCTTTTCACGAACGTTGTCTTCACGTCCTGAATGTTTAATATTGACTTCCGGTCCACCACGACGTGTTCCACCTAATCCTCCCCCTAAACGTCTTGGCAACCAACCTTTTACCGTTCGAGCCCGCTCCACATCGACCAACACCCTTTTGCCATCTATTTTCTTACCATCAGCGTGTTTATAAGCAGCTGATTTTTGGTTTTTTGTTTGTTTGTGATTATTTATAAGGAAGAATAAAATAAATTCGTGAAAATTTGGAAAGTTCATGACTTTCAAGTTAGATGAGACACGAATATTTTCTTTCTTGAAACTAAGATGGGCTACTTTATCATTATTGGTGGAAGAAAATGAAGGAACTTTTTTATCAATTCTTTACCTTCAATGAAGTTCTTTTCGAAACCGGAATTTTTACTTTTGGTTGGGCATACAGTTGAAGAAATGTTTTTCACAAGTTTTAAATAATGTTTTGTCTTTTTTTATATCTTGGGATACCTACCCAACCTCATCAATAAAATACTTAATTTACCTACTCAATGAACTTTTCTTTTCTATGTATCTGATAAGACTCGAAGTAGAGTAATGCTTTCTTTTTCTGTGTTTTTGATCAATTGATTTAATCCCCGCGTATTTCCTTTCTTTACCTGGAGCGCTTTAATACTTACGTATAATGCGCTGACATTTACTTAAAGTTTAAGACTCAAATTTTTATGAAAATACATCATTTGAAATTAAAATCTGATGAAAAACTGACCTTGCGACTTCAAAAGACTATTTTGAAAATTGAAGTGCACAAAGTCATGACAGTCGCGGTTGACAAGAAGATATTTTAAAAAAAATTAAATTAAATTTCTTACTCAGCATTTCCTTCGCGAAACAAAAAGTTTGTCTCAATAAAGTTTGAAAAGTTCTTACCAAAAACACATACAAACCTAAAACAATAAAGTTTTGACTTTTTCATGTTTTTCATTTGTAGGAGGATATCCGATCAAATATTTTTCAGAGTTTGAAGAAGACTTTTAATTCTTTCAATAATGATATGAAGTCGTTTTTCATAACTTACGGAAAACCCCCATTTCTATCATGTCATACTCAACTCTTGTTACTTTTTTGTACATTTATCACCAAGACTCGTTATTTATCTTTTTTTTCTTTTAACGAAATCAAAAACTTGAAAGCAACCACAAGAAAGACTTGGAAGAATGACTAAGAAAATTTTGAGATGCTTTCCAAGGTTTTCATTGATGCAGTTTTTGTTTTTGAATTTTAATGCTGGACTGTTGGACTTAAGTCTGCTACACACTTATACATCACAAATACTTACAGTGCATGTCACGTTCATGTTCGTACTCAATAAATGCGTATCCTCTAGGCTTTCCTGAGTCGACATCCTGAATCATTATAATTTTTTTAATCGGTCCATACATCTCAAATTCACGACGAAGTTTTGATTCGGAGGTATCGTAATTCTATAAAAATATTTTTCTTTAGAAACATTACTAAATAAAAGCTTTTAATGTACTTACAAAGCGTGCAACAAATAACGTTTTGAATGGATCTTCAGTTAAGTTTTCAATACCATTTGGATCCCATAAAGCAATTTCACGTTCTAACTTGTAAGCTACTTGTTCCGCTTTTTCCCGACGTCGTCTTTCCAGACGCTCTTCTTTCGTTTCAACCCTTGTTGGAGGTGGTGTATCTTTAGGATCCTTAAAAAAATGAAAAAAACATAAATCAGGATTCGGAAGTTCCAGCAACAAAAATTAAATACCTCAAAACCACTGAGGAAGGCACCAACTCCAGTATATCCTCTAGTTTTTTTCTCATGTGGAAGCTTATCTGGTGGTGGAAGATAAGGAATTGGATCTCGAGCAGCAAATAAAGCGAGTAAATTTGGTGGCAGAAACTGCGTCATGGTTTTCTGTTTTTAAACTAAATTTCCGAAGTTATGACGAAAAGTTTATCAACTTACAATGGCACCTTGGCCAAAAATTCTTTTAAGTTTAATTATACTTCACTCAATAAATATCTAATTCTCTAATTTTTATATTTTCGTGCGATTATAAAATTTTTTATAAAATTTAGCGCATGTAGGAAGGCCCTGCTTGCAGGGTCGATAGAAAGTTGTCGTGCGCTATATTTCGAAATAAAGTTTGAATTCGAGTGTAAATTTGAGGAGATAAGTTAATTACTTTTAGATTTTATCACGTTCTCTAAGTAATTATCGATGTTAATTGATATTCTGACAAAGCTACAAACATTTATTATTTGAATTTCATCATCAATATCTTATATTTTTGTTAAGATTTCACTTGTAAGTTTGTCATCAATTTTCTAAATTTACAGTTTTCTTTGATTTTGTGTTTGTGTACATTTAAGAATCATCAAAAATGGCTTCTGAACAACCGAATGTTGAGGAAGAATTAAATAAGTCATTTCAAGATGATATTCTCATACCTCCTTTAAGAAATACTATGTCGCTTCAAATTTCACCGGATCAAACGAAGATCTGCGACATTGCAAGAAAGCAACTCGACAACTTATCAAGTGTTAAATCAAAACGAAAATTAACATCAAATTCTGATACAGAAGCTGCAATAAGTCCGACTACACCAATAAAAACTGATCTTGTTCACGATTCCAAGCAAATCATGCATAACTTATCAAGCGCTATCGTGTCCAAGGCCGAATTAGAAAATGAAATTCGAAAGAAAGTCGCAAAGCAAGAACCATTTCGTAAACCTGGCACTGGAACTATAGAAATTCCACAAGAAGTAATCTTATCTGGATTGAACTCAACGCCGATATCAAAGACAGAAAGTGAAGAAACTCAATTGCATGATCAAGAATTAATTGACATTCTCGAAGGAAAGTCTGAAGAAGGTGGAGAAATTTTTGAAGTTGTTGCTCAAGAAGGTAAAGTCATGGTGGTGAAAGAGAACAAAGATAATTCTTCAGAGACAACAAGTTATGAAATAGTGACTGGTGATTCTGAAGTATCACAAGCAAAAACGAAATTATTGGAAAGAGAAATTGCAATGCGCCAAATTGCCAGTTTACCAATGCGTAAAAATAAACGACGAGATACGTCAACAGGTTCTGCGAAAACAAGCTCAAATTCATCAATTGCACAAACATTAGCAGCTGAATGGGATGATGATGACAAAAATGAGATGATTCTGGAAGTTTTGAATGTTGAAGAAGACGGAAGTGAACCGAAAATTAAAATTCTCAACATGACAATTGTCAATGAACCAGAAGTTAAAACTAAAGTGCAATCACCAAAATCGGAGCCAAAAATCCTCAATAAGGAAGCTCCAAAGAATGCTCCAAAAATTTTAAACATAAATGCATCTTCAGCTGAAACTCCAGCATCGTTTAAACGAAGTCGTGTTGTTAAAAAGCGCGAAATTTGGGATCCTTCTCAGACAAAAACATCTCCAATTGCTGTTGAGAAGAAGCCAATCGAAAAGTTGCCTTTATCACTGCCTCCATCAATCACAATTAAGAAGCTCACAAAAGAGAATATCACCAAGGGACAATTGCCTACAGAACCGGACAAGAAGCCAGGAGCTAAGAAAGGAAAGAAACGGTCAAATGAAATTGATAAACTTTTACAAGATGAAGGAGCTGTAAACATGATTTACAGTCTTGAGAGAGAAAACAACAACGAAGATGTTCCAGAAATCGAAGTGAAATCTGATGAAGGTTTGATTGATAAATCACAAGAGAAATCGTCGCTTGTGACAAAAGCAAAAGCAATAAGAAATGTTGTAATCAAGCAAAGTTCATCACCTCAAGAAACCAAAGCTCCAGTACGTGTTCGAGTAAAACGAGATGCAACGCCAAGTAAGACTGTTGAGCAACAAGAGAGTCAAGTTGCAACAGTTAAAGCACAAAAAAGTTCAACAGCTGCGAATCGTAAAAAGAAAGCCGATAATACTTGGGATTATATCTTCTCACAAGCTCAAGCATCTTGTGATGACGCGATGATCATTCGACGACGTTCAAACAGTTCATATTCAAGTTCAGCAGCAAGTCCACGTCGTTTAAGTGTTGATATCAATGAAAGTTTCGATTCACCACCTTCAAGTGCAAAGAAAAGTAAGCAAGAAACATTTGAATTTACAAACCCACCACAAAAGATTGCAAAATCGCCAGCTGATAAAGTTTTCAGTAAAGATTTCGTTGAAGAATTACGTGGAAAGATTTCAAATGTTATCACGAAGAATAAAGAAAAGCCACAAACAACAGCACAAAGTGGTGGAGGTCGAGGACGTAAAAGAACTGCAACAACACAAAATGATTCAAATCCAACGAGTGCTAAACGTGCCAGTCGCTCAAATGGCGTTGAACATAAAGAAATTCGTTTAGAAAAACATGGAAAAGTTGCTCATGTGATTCTCAATCAGAATCCATTGACACTTTCACTCCTATCGGAAATGAAGACCGTACTGAATCAATTGGAGTCTGATGAAAGTCAAGTAGTGTTGATCACTTCGAGTGAAGGATTTTCTGAAGGAATCGATTATTCAACATTGGTACAAACAACAGTCGATAAGCGTAAACAAGCAGCAAGTGATTTGGTGACAGCTATTAAGTAATTTCATTGAATTTTTTCCATTTTAATTGAAATTTAATATTAATTTAATTTCACTAGGAATTTCTTCATATCACTCGCTGCTTTTCCAAAAATTCTCGTTTGTGGACTGAAAGGGGTAACGTCAGGTGCTGGTGTTTCCATGTTGCCACTCTTTGATCTCGTTTTTGCTGAACCTTCCTCAACATTTTCAATTCCACATGCTAGGATTGGCTCAAATCCGGAAGGAATTTCAATCTTACAATTTAGTGGAAAAGTCAAAAGCACAGCTGTAAGTGAAATTATTAATTTTATTTAAACAATCAGTTAATTAATTAAAATTTCCAATTAGATAAATGAAATGTTTTATTTGAATGCCACATTGGATGCTAATGAAGCTTGTAGTAATGGACTGATCACAAGGATCATCTCTAAAAATTTCGATAATGAATTGATGAGTCACTGTGAACGAATTGCTGAGTTCTCGAGTCAGGTAAGCCTCAAAACTTCATCACCAGAACTCTATTGTTTCATTCTTTATGCATCTTGACTTATACATGTGGCCGCTGTAAAAAAGTTCCGATTCGACATCTTCTTCGACTTCTGTTTCTTCTGGATAATAAAGACAATCGTGTATGGTGTCACATGAGCATCTTTGAAATAGAAAACCGTAATCAAGTCGTGCGAATCCACAAAATTCATTTGCATTGCACTTTCTTAGTTCTTAAAAAAGAAACAAAATTATTCTTGAATTGAACTTTTGTAAATGATTTTAAGTGACCAACCAATGCATTCAAAATTATCAACAATCTCGAATAAATCTTCATCTTCCGTGACAGTTTTACCAACACGAGATTGATATTTCCAATAGATAGGTTTTTGTTTATGTTCACAACTGCATAAAAGTTTCGCTGAAATATTTTTCACTTGATCAATGTGATAAATTGTTCGAACTTCAATTGCTGTATCGCCGCCGTCTTTACAAGGTTTAAGACCAGCATGAATATCATTGACATGAGAACAAAACTTCATTTGAGTTCTGACATTCACTTGTAAACTTTTTCCATCGTCGTTTGAGAATGTTGCAGGACAAAATGTTTCTTCTGGACATTTGCATAACTTTTCCACTGTATTTATGCCCCAATGTGGATTGTGAACGAGATTACAAATATCAAATTCACTACAAATTGATATTTCACTGTCTTCACTACGTTTCAAGTATCTGTCGGCAGATGCAGACGACAAAAAACTTGCAACTGCCACAAAGAATAAAATTTTTGACATTATTTGATCAAGTCGGTGATAGAAACTGAAATTGAAACTTTTCGACAAATGTTTTTCTACTTTTCAAAGGTGAAGAAAAAAGAATTTCTTAATGGAAAAGTAAAAATAGAAAATTCTCTCAATTTTATTCACGTTTATGTTTACTTTTAAATCGTGAGAAAATCTATTTTTAATAAACATGAAATGAAAATGTTCGTTTCAATTGACGCGACATTACCTGGACCTATGTTAACATTTCTCACTCATTTCTTATGTTGACAGACTTTGGAATCAACCAAAAGCATCTTGAATGAAGATTTTCTCAATTCAATTGACGGGTATTTGGCGACTGAAGTGAAAATTCTCCAACAACAATGGATCAGTGCTGAATGCCAAGAGAAATTTAAGAAACACAACGTTAAGGGTGAATGGTAAGAGGAAAATTCTTTGAACTGATTGATAACTTTTTTTCTTTTTATTTGCATAAATTGCAAATACTTTTTTTTCTCTTTACATTTCTTAATTTGATTAATTATTTAAGAATTTTGTCGTAGCTAAGAAATTTCTTATCTTAACTTTCATTTGTATCACTTTTTGGTCGTTGATTTGTATTCATAGTTATTTTGATTAGACAGATAGTTTTTTTTATTAAGATTATAAGTTGATGAAATTGCTGAATCAAAGATGAGTTGAAATTACGTATTTACTTGAATTAAAAAAAATTAACAAACTTTTCCGTTAAATATTTTCTTATATCTTTCAAGTTTACATCGTGAATTGGATGAGTCAGGAAAGTAATTTCTTTTTTTTATTAAATTACAGTGAAACTTGTAATTATATGCTCATTGTTAATTTACATTTAAAAGTTATGAATAATAAAACAAAATTAAATTCTTTATATTGAATTAAAACTCAAGATGTAATCACTTTGATCGAGAAGTTCTGGTGGGATGATCTCTTCTAGAATAATACGAGATATTCCTGTCACGTTGATTATTGTCTCCAACAAATCAATTCCATTAAGAATTTCAAGATTCAATTCATTTTTGGTGCTGTTTTCGGCAGAAAAGATTTTATAAAATTAAAAATTGTTGGATTAATAATTAATCCGGCTTTGCTTAATCTAGATTAAAGTAATCCAGATTAATATTCTAAATTTCATCAACTCACCTTAAATTGAATTCCATCATTTCTAAGACACAGGATCCAAACAACTCGATGAAATCTTGTAAGTAATTGTTCTCGTGAAATTGTTTCATCAATGTTATTAATCCAAGGGCAAAGACATGACCGTCAATATATCGACTGCTGTTAATTAAATCTAAAAGAATCTTTCGCTGTTTAGTGACAGCCGCTGCTGAATAATGTCCACTTGTTTTGTTGTATTTTAAAAGATTTTTTCCAAATGCAAGATGATTCAGATGTGTTAAACAGAAAATAACGAGATATGTAAGAAATTCATTTGAATTTTTTCCCATTTTAACATAAACTTTCTCGATTGGCTTGTACTGTCCAGTCACTTCCAAATATTTGTTAAGATCCAACAAAATTTGAGAGTTTGGTCTTGGCTTGTTGTTATCTAATTCAAAAGCTCTCAACTCTAACAATAATGCACTAGATGAAAAATATATTTAATTAATTTTAATAAGTATCATAATTAAATGTTTGAACTTACTCATTAAAAGCAGCGATCGAATCACTGAGATTACGACAGTTTAATCGTGAGGTTGTTGTCAATTCATGAGCAATGTGATTCCTCCAGATTTGTTTCTGTCCCAGACACATAATAAATTGGTAAATATTTGGCAATAATTTACTGCATTTGTTGATGAAAATTTGATAGTTTTTGTAAGGATTTTCAGGCTTCAAATTATTGTCTCGATTGCTTGTCTTCCGAACACCTAAATCGTTGCTGAACTTTTGAAAGAACTCAATCCACTGCTTTTCCTTCATTGTTTCTTTAAGCAACTGCCTATGAATTTTCTCCAAATGATCAGATATCATGAAGGAATAAAGTTTATCAAGTCCAACCAAACCATAAATCTCAATCGATTCGTTGATCTTTGCTGTGAATTTTTGATTGACAATTTCTTGATGCGATTTTACATCAAACCATGATGTGAGGAGATCGACATAAATTGTTGATTTTGGTTCAGTAATTCTTAACATTTCTCTTCCGAGTCTTCCAATAAAATTAATTGAAGAATCACCTTGCAATGGAGGATGAATTGGAATCGGAATTGCATCACTTTGATAACGACTAAACTGAATTTTTCTTCTCATAAAACTGTTGCATTCTTGTTCAACGTTAAAGTTGATGAGACGCATAACTTCTTCTTGCCATATCTTCAATCCATTTATGTTTAGATAATCTTGAATATACTCAAACGATCGTCGATAGCCGTCAATAATTTTCGAAAGTTTTGTCAGATTTTCCACGACAAGTAAATCTTTAGGATTCTTCGACTTGCCAATAAATTGAAGATTTTCATTAAACGCTAATGAAACTGAATTAATGAGTTCCATTCTGATGCCATCTTCAAGCAACTGCTTTGGATCTAATTCGATGACACCAACAAGAGTTTTTTTCATTGCCAAAATTCCATCAGTAAATACAGAAATGTTAAACGTAAGTTTAGCAATTTTAAATCGTTCATCAAGTTGTGCGAATTCACGAACTTTATCTTTTTCCAATCTTTCAGGAAGCTCTTTTAAATGATTCGTTTGTAGTTCAATGATCGATTTCAGAAGATTAAAGATCGAATGTGGAATGATTTGAACAATTTTTCTCACATATTTCACCAATTCATTGCTGTAGTAACGAGTGATGCTTACAAGCTCTTCAGCTCCACCACATTGATTGATTCGAAGTAATGGAATTTCCAAGGCACTTGACATCTTAATAAACAACGCTCGAAGACGAATAAGAATGCTTGGATGTTCTTGGAGACTTTTCTGCATTATCACAGTAAACTCATCGATCAAATACCAAGCATAACTGAAGTCACCGATTGCTTGAAGATCAACAAGAATTGAATCTTTTATATTGAGTAAATGAATCATGTTGCTTAAAAGCGATAGAACTTCATCAAGACGTTGCTTTGCCAGTGCATTTGATTGAATATTGTGATATTCTTGAACTTCAGCGACTGCTTGCATAAGTTGAATCAACTTTTTTTCAACAGCACGGGGCTTTTGTTGAAGATCAAGTGTTGCAATTTCTTTAATAATCTCCTCGAACCATGCTTTGAGATGATCATTCTTTTCAATCTTAATGACAGTCATTTCCCCAGAAAATAAAAGAATCAAACCTTGCAATCGTTCATTAACTTCTGTCTTGTAATTTGTCCATTTGCTTTCACGATTCTCAAGTAAATCTTTCACAATATCACGAATACAAAGCTCCAATTGACTGATGTTTAGAATTAATTCATATAATTTTTCTTCCTTGAAATTTCCAACTTCTTTCAGGAGATCGTGGAAAGGTTTTGACTTTTTTGTATAAATTTCGGAACTATTTAAAATCCACCATCGTACACAAAAGTTACATTCTCTAACAATTTTTATAATCTTTGGAAGATTTTTCATGAGGAAACTTTCATTCATGACTCCTTCTTTTAATAATCCTCCCGTCGATTCAATCATCTTCTTCATCATCAATTCATTATCAGTTGTGATTTCTCTAATCATCTGTGGTTGTAAAATATTAACCAAAGCAGATTTTGCTGCTTTGTATCCATCCCAAGCATCAAGTAAATTAACAGTTAATCCCATATAAAGTGAAATTATCCAATTATTATAAAAGAATTTATCACAAATCTCTCGCATTCTCGAATTTTGATTCATCAAAGTGTCGGTTTGAAAGTAGAGACAAGCAAATAGCATAGCAGATTGTGACGCAAGTGCGATAGTTCTATGTTCAGCTGCAGGAAATTTTTGCATTTGATGATAAATGTCTTCAGTTTTGAGTGTTTCAATTACCATGCTGACAAATGTTTTATCAAGTTGAACACGTGAGAAGAAATTCTCTGGATAGCCTTTACCAGCTGTATGTGGTTGGAAATGAACGATTGATGTGTGAGCGAGATTGGGTGGATTATATGACGTCGATCTACAGAACTTGCAAATATCATCAATGCTTGAATCGAAGTTTTCAGAGTGATACCGGTAATAAGCAACGAGTAGTCGTTCTCTTATCGGACCAGGAATGTGAATGTCAAGCACAATGAGCATCACAGCATACAGGTATAAAGACTCACAAATCAATTGACAGCCTTCAGGATCTTGAAAAATTGTTTCAAGTGATTCTTGGATCACTTCTCCTTCATTGAGATCATTGATAAGAGAATTTAAATTATTAGCGTATTCAAAGATACTTTCAAACGCCAAATAAAATCGAACAAGAATCCTTGAATAGTTGTCACGAATGAACTCATCGAGTTCAAGTAAATTTCCATCACTTTCGATCTTCTTATCAATTTTATCCATCAATTTGAAATATTGAAAATCCATTATAACTTCACTGAATTTCTTACTTTTTTCACTTATTTTGAATTCATCAGGAATTATCTCAGATATTTTCAATAATTCTGAGATAATAGCATTTCCAATGCTCGTAAATTCAAGCACTCTCTCCATTGTTATTAGATTTACTTAGGAGGCAATTTTGTAAACATTGAAAGAAAAGATTCTAACCCCGATACAGGTCATAACTTATCTACCCCTCATAGTTACTTCTTGAAGTTGTGCACCCCATTTTAAAAATATTTTTTAAATAAAATATAAAAATTCGTGTTAATTATATTTTAGTTTAAAAAAATGCTAGTCAAAGAAATTCAAGAAAAGTATCCGATCCATTATCTTGTTTGGAACAATGATTATCACGAATTGGAAAAGGTTTTGAAAGAAAACAAAGTAAGATAAAATTAATTTAATTAGGTTGACATATTTTTGTTTAATTAAGTTATCTTACAATGTAATGTTTTATTTGCATTAATTTCAGTATGATATTGAAGCCCTGGATCCTCGTAAAAGAACACCTTTGATGCTTGCTGTTTGCTTATCTCATCTTGATTGCGTGAAAGTAAGCAAACTTTTTTCTTATCAACATTGTGATGAATCATTTATTGATTTTCCCTGTTCACAGGTTCTTCTATCTTCAAAATCAAACACTTGTGCTGAAACAAATGGATGGACAATTGCTCAAGAAGCTGTATCATCAGGAGACCCGGAAATCCTTACTGCCATCATTTCATTTCGTGATTTATGGCGACAAAAGTCGCGCTCGATTCAAGTTCCTGAACTACTTACAAAGCTCAAGAACTCGCCAGATTTTTATGTGGAAATGAAATGGGAATTTTCTAGTTGGATTCCTCTGATGAGTAGAGTTTGTCCAAGTGATACTTATAAAGTGTTTAAGCGTGGATCGCATGTCCGAATCGACACGACTCTCATTGGATTTGACAACACTTCGTGGCAGCGAGGCAATCGCAGCTACTTGTTCAAAGGAAGTAACGATGAGGCACACTTTTATGAAATTGACCACGATGCAAAAGAATATTCCATGGAAATCATGAAAGATATTGATGTTGAGCTGTTTGAAAATGGTATTCCGCCCACAAAAGATTCAATTCAACTTCGTTTACAAACACCAATCATCAGCAATTCGATAGATATCGATAAGATAAGTTTCGAAAGAAATAAATCCGGTTGGTTTGCGTGGAAGAATGAGAAGAATGAAATGGTTAATGGCTATGAATGTCGAGTTTATAACGCGAGTAATGTTGAGTTTATCACAAGAACAAGAACAGAACATTTAAATGAAGGACAGAATCGTTCGAAAAATTCCAGAACTCCATTGCAACATTTCCTTGGAATTGCTGATGATGATATTGATCCAAATGCTGCCAGAAATGTGAGTTAAACTTTTCAATTAAATGATTTAAGTTCTTCAATTTTTTTTTTAATTTTACAGTCACCATCACCAGTTCAAGAATCAAGTGATGAAGGAGCGACAGCAGCGACATCATCACTCAATGAAAAGCAATCACATGAAGCTCCTTCAATTGAAGAATATTTTTCCGATAATGATCTCAACGGAAGTGACATCGGAAAACCAAAAAAAATATCAACAAAAGTTCAACGATTTAAAGCAAATTTATGGCTTAGCGATGAATTTCCAATTAAGCTTCAAGAGCAGATTCTTCCTATCTTAGATTTAATGAGCACGCTTGCATCCCCTCATGTGTCAAAACTTAAAGACTTTATAACAATGCAACTGCCATCAGGTTTTCCAGTTAAAGTCGAGATACCACTTTTTCATGTGCTCAATGCTCTTATAACATTTGGCAATGTGTTCTCTTTGGATGCACCAGTTGAACATGTGTCGAATATAAAAGAAGACGACGGACGGTTGACTTGCATCATTGACGATGAATGCTTTGAAGTACCGAAAAGTTATGAGAATCGTTCTGGTGATTATCATCGTCAAGGTTTAGGCTTTGAAGATGAAGATGAACTTTTGGAATATGCAATTCGTCAGAGTTTAGTTGATTCGGGAACTGAGAATGAAGAGGTTTGTTCATATAAATGTTAATTAACTTTTATCACTTTACACTTACTTCTTTATGTAGGTTGACATTTGGGAAGCTTTGAAATGCCAACGACCTTTGACGCCAAATTATGGAAATAATCTTTATCCGATAGATGATGAATCACAACAATTTCAACGGTAAGAGAAACTTTTTGTCTTCGTTTTTATACAAAAACGAAATTTAATTTGAACAAACAAACAAACAAACTAATGAGTGATTTTTGTTCTCATTTAAAATTCCCTTGACATGATGAATTTCACTGCTTTTTCCTTTTTGGTTTTTGTTAATTAACAACATTCATAGGAAAGCCACACCTCGTAGACATTCACTGAGTGTTCTTGTTCCACAAACCAGAGCCTTGAAAGCATACACTTTTAAAAAGTTTTTTAAATAACCATTGCTTCCTATTCCGTCTCTTTTACTTGTTATTCTGTATTTAACAATATTTATCCATCCATTATTGCTAGAGAAAGTAATATTAGTAAATGTTTCGCTCCGCAATTCTCTTTTAGGGCATTACAAGAATCTTTACTCTATTCTTGTGCGACTCGTGCATCACCTGACGAAGAAGAAAACTCACGAAGCGAAAGTATGGATGAAAACATTGAGTTAGCAATTCGTCTATCACGTGCTGAGAAGCTTAAAGAAAATGAACTTTTAATGGAAGAGAATCGAATGATTGAAATGGCAATTAAATTGTCATTAGAAGAAAGTTAACTATCTATGTTGAATTAAAAGCCTTTCATTGGCTTGAATACGCTGAAGAAAATTCTAAATCATCTTAAACTTATCCTCATTGTGCAAATAAATTAAAGAAAAAAGAAAGAACAAAAAAATTAAAGCAAAATCTATTTTCAACGAATGTAACCGAACAGTAAATTCTCTTAACTGTTGCTGTTCATGATATTTCGTTATAAATCAATCATTATTACTATCATCGTGTAACCATTTCTTAAAGACAATTTATTAATAAAAGAAATTGAGAACATTTTAATGGCTTTTGTTATTTATTTTATAAAAGTAGCAGAGTTGTCGAAATGTTGATTAAATTCAACTTATCAGAAGTAATTACCGACATCAAACCTATAAGACATTAAACAAAGTAAAACAAAGTTCATCTTTTTTCTGCAATAATTTTTTTATTCTTTTCGAATTTTATGTTTTACATAAGTAGAAAAGAAGAAACTCATGTGAAATTATTTCGCATGACGATTTCTTATCGCCGATGGCAGAATTTTTGTTATCACATATCAGTCTTATTTTCTTAAAATATGTTTCTAAAACATTTTCTATTTTCATTCTTTTACTCTAAATGATGTTTTCTATTTGATAAATATTTACCACGAATTATTCTGCTGCTGACATTATTTATGTACAAATGACCGATTCCGTAATTATTTCTCTCTCTTTTTCTTAATCTTTTCGATGATCATGATGATGATGAGGTCAATAGGCCTCGGTCTAAGAACTAATAATAATTACTAAAAGCTATTTAAAGAAAAGGGACCCCGTATTAATATAACTTTGCTATGTTTCATCATCAGATTTTGGTTCTCAGCTTTACACGAACGAAAACTATTTGCGAGTGACGTGAGAAATATTTTTTGCATGCTTTCAATGGCAAGAGTATCTCGATCAATAATTTACTGATTATATTCCATGTTCTTTAACAAATCTTGTTTATCTTCTTTGCTGCTACATTTCTTACTTGATGTCAACTTTACGCTGATATTTCCTTCATTGATTTCTTGTTGAAGAACTTTCGGATCGAAACATGGCTGATGTATGAAAAAAAAAAAATTTTCATTAGAAAATGACAATAAATGAGATAAAAATTTAAACTTACAGTTTCACAAATGTTCATGTTACAACAATCTTCGATGATGACTTCACATTGCTCTGTAGTCGGACGATAAGTGAGCGGCTCAATGTTCTTATGAACGACATACTTCTTTCGAATCTTTGGACGCGTTGGTCCATTGACTTTCTTGATGACGACAAGAATGATCAAGAAAAGTAGAAGTGAAATCGTTAAACAAACTCCAAGAATGACGTAAGTTATGTTGATCGAGTTTGGAGTACATGAAAGAATTTCGGGATGTTCTTCAGCTTCCAGAGAAAGAATTTCAGGAACACCTTCGTGAATGCTTAATGATTCAGGCACCTTTGTTGTTGTCGTTGTTGGTGATTTAATCAACACTGACGAACTATCATCTTGCAAGTTTTCACACCTTGAACCACTCGATTTTGCACCACAACTGCATTTTGGTTTCTTATTTAAATCGATGCTACATTTGCCATCATTAAGACAATAATTTGAACAAACATCGACTTCACAATGTTCACCTGTGTATCCTTTCTTACATGAACATTTCGCTTCAAAACGTTGACTGATTTCATTTCTATTCATTGAACATTCGCCGCCATTTAAGCAGAAGTTGTAACATAAATTTATCTCACAATAATCACCATCAAAGTTCTCCATGCACATACAATTTGATGTTGTCATATCAAGTGTTCCACCATGAAGACACATTTTGTTCAAATTCTCTTTCTGAGCTTGATTTTCGATTTCTTTCTTAACTTGTTCGATTTTCTTCTGTGAAACTTTACAGAGTTGTGGATCTAAGTCTGTGAAGAAATTACTTCTGATGATAATATCGCTGGGATCGAAAGGCAATTCCTTCAATTTCTCCGAAGCTTTCTTGTTTGAATCTTTAACAAATCGCCTTAATTCATGATCGTTGCCTTCAACATAATAAACATATTCACTGTCAACAGCAACACTTCGAGGCATTTTAAATTCCTTGCTTATTTCCGTACGAAAGTCGCTTCCGTCAGCTGCCATTGAGTCGATTGAGTAGCTGTTGTAATTTCTAACATCAGCTACATAAAGTCTTCTCTTTTGATGATCCATTGCAATTGCTGTTGGTTTGTAATGATCTTTGTTACCAAATGAAATTGGTTTTGCGACTTTCGTTGTATCAAGCGACACAACATTTATGCTTGGATTGTTTTCTGTCACTATCGTGTAATAAAGATTGCGTTGACAACTATCAAGTTCAAGACCAGCCAAATCTCCATCAACATTCAAGAAAGTTTCTTGATGAAACTTTAGATTTTTGCTTCGATCAAAAATTAATTTGACAATCTTTTTGTTTCCTGAATCACTCCAATAAAGCGCATCATCATGAAAATCATAAACTAAATCTTGAATGACTTCATTCTCGCTTCGTGCCACCAAAGGTGTCGTGAGAAATGTTGTGTCATTCTTTACTTTTAATGAGAAGATGCTGGTTTGTGGATGTTTACGATCGGTGAAATAAAAAACATCATTAACAGCGTCATAACTGATCGACTTAAGATGCTCGAGACCATCTTTTCTGACTGATGTCTCTAAAAGCGACCACTTGTCATCATAAAATATGATCTTCTCTTTCGTACACACTGCAAATTCTAAAATTGTAAACAAAATAAATAATTAAAATCTTTGTTGAATTAATTATCATTTTTTTTTATATTGCTTTGACAAACATTATGGTTTTCATTTCATCCACGCTTTCGTCATTGAAAAATCCGGTTAAGCTCTTACGTCAAGGGTAAGAACAATCAAAGAATCGATGAAGCGTAATAAGAAGGAAGGAAACAATAATTTTTAAGCAATTAATTTTTTAATAATCGTAGCAAGGCTTTAACTAATCGCAACTATATTCGAATAAAAATCTGTTTATTGCTCGTTTTAATTTCCAGACATCTGAAACCACATTCATTGGTTTCCAAAGGATTTTGAATATCTACGTGACATTCGTCTCGAACTGTTATAAGAAATATTTTTGCTCGAAGTAAATTTCCTGAAAATTTCAACGTAATCAACAACCTAAAACCCTAAATAGGTGTTGGAATTGGTTTTGTAATTCAAACTTTCGAAATTAATTTGGCTATCAAAAATCACGTTTCGGTGATTAAAATTTGTTTGACCTGCTTTAAGATAGTTCAGTGAATTCACTTTCAAGATGTCAACCTTGAACCGTCTTAATTGGTTGACGTATATTTATTTAATTTGTGTTTACTTTCATAACAACGAGGCACGTTTAAGACATTAAAAAAATATAATAAGTAATTCAAAAAGTTCATTTGAGTTTATTACAAATTTTTATTAAAAATAAACTTTTGATGTTCAAATTTAAAATAATCGAGTTCAGCTAAAAATTATGCTATCAATTGATATTAAAAAGCGAGACAAGACTCTGTGACGTTTTATTGCTTTTTAAAACGGCAATTCATTTCAATTGTAAGTTTCAATAACGATTAATTAACTAGATTCGCAGTTTAATTTATTGATTTGTGGAATGCGTGCAATTCTACACTCATAGATATCTACACACTACTAACACAAAAATATTTTCCTTATCATTTTTAATTAACCGACTTGATAGTAACGTCAATTTTGATAACAAATCTATGAAGCATCCAAATGTGGCTACAATGTAGATATGCTTATACCCTCTGCCATTTAAGGCCATAAAACTATGATAACATTTCAAAGGTGAATTGCGTAATTCTGAAGAAATCAAACATAAAAAAACAAACAAAGATGAACTTGAAAATAACAAGAAAAAACCCAAATCGAAATCACTGAGCATTTTCTCAAGGATTTTTTGTATGATAAATATTTATGAAAAGCTGCGATTCCAATTCATTACTTTTGAAACAGATTTTTAATAAGAAAGATTTTTGAATCAGACTGATGAAAATGTCACTTGCACGTGTCATGAATGATTATGTATATTAGAATGGAAATTATACAAATAAATCATTGATTCCGGTACACCGGTGCATATATTTTTCTACTATTATCTTTAAAGGTTAACGTAGTTGATTGTTGACATCTGATGAATGAATAAATATTCTGTATTAAACAAAATTAGAAAAAAAGAGACTCAAGTGCATTGAATATAATGAACAAACGTTCGATCGCGTGAGAAATTTGCTTCCAGACAACCATGACGTTACCGTCAGGTTTTGTAAGAATTTAAAAGTCATGAGAGGTAATTATTTCGCTAATAAATGCAAGACATTCATTTGATATTAAAAAAATATGCCGAAGTGCCTACGTGATTATTTCAAGTTACTAACACTACCGCATTTACATTGATACATATTCCAGGAAATATGCTGAAAATTACTTTAACATAAGTTTTGCTGAAGCAGTGGTAATAAGCTTCAATTTTCTTGCCAAAACCATAAAATTTTCATTTAAAATATTTCAAATCAATGACGATATGGTTATATAATTAAATATTTTTGACGCCGCGTGTAATACATTTTGAATGTGTTGGTGCATTTATTCTTGAAAAGTTTTTCGCAGATTTTCTTAAAGAAAATTTTTACTTACCCCAAAATGACGTAACTTTTTGGATGCATAACAATACCAGCAAAACCAAAATCTTTTTATTAAACACTAGATTATTTGTCATTTTATCTATAAATAAGTAAAATGATGCGAAATTCTAAGTATCAATTTCTCTTTATAAACAAATCCTTCTCGCTACTTCAAATCACATAAAATTTCATTCTTTGTAAGATAAATTAAAAAATTAGATAACAAAAGCAAGACTACACACTTTTAAACCTTCAGCAAAGAGTTTGAAAATTAAAATGAATTTTTTAAAAACTCCCAAACTCTTATGTAGACTGCTGAGTGTTGAATGAAAAGAAATTTTTTTCTATTCAGTATAATCCTTACATGTATCAGCGTAATCCCGTTTTTTGGCGTAGAGTAAATTCACGTGGAATCAAGCGTTACGTTACGTGATAGTACAAATTGAATTCAAAAAAATATTGGCGGTTTAAATTTAATTTAAAGAAATCTAAAAAAAATTTAGCCGCACATGCTATTTTATGAAAAAATACCTACATATTCAGATTCAAACAATGCAAATGTAAAACTTATTTATGTTTATTTGACTTCTGGTCAAAAAAATTGTTTATCTAAATACAATCTAATATGTTCAGCGATAAGCTTTCAATTGTACGAAATTCAAACAAAAAACCTTTTTTGTAGATAATTATTGTACATATAGTCAGGAAGCATTTTTGATATTACTTTTCTCAGATAAAAAAGTTTTTGCTATGTCATAATTTACTTATATTTAAAATAAGCTAGACAAGTAATTTATTTAACAAAAAAAAATTATATCGATGTTCCTTATCATAAAATATCAATAGACATCCAAACAAACTCTCACTTCTGTCAATAGGTAATCACCTAGATTATTAGTCTTTTTTTATCACTCACTTTAAACAGCTTAATGTCCGATAAGAGATACTTATGTGTAGAGAAATTTGAGTATGATTAGGTCGACGTAAATTTTAGTCTTATAAAATCCATTCAACGAGAATCATCGATTGTTCTTACGCTTAAAATAATAAATTAGATTAAGTGGATAGTTGACCTCTTTATTTCATTATCAAGAATAATGGATCAGAATAAGGAAAATGAAGACAATGAAGTTCAAGAGAAAAAGGAAACAGAAATGTCAAATCTTAAAGGAGATTATGGCAATGTTATAATTCTTTTATTTCTCTATATGCTTCAAGGTTGATAACGATAAGCTTAAAAATAAAAACGAATTAACGTTTGTGGCATTTTTCAGGTATTCCATTGGGAATTTCAAGCGCAGTTCCTATTCTTCTTCAAAATCGGGGTGTTTCTTATGCAGAACAAGCTGGATTTACATTTGCATTCTATCCATTTACAAGTGAGATTTCATTTTTTATCGGAAATAATCATTTAGAGTCAATTATCAATTTTGCCTTCTCATCATTTACTTACTGATAGTGAAAATCTTGTGGGCACCGATTGTCGATTCAGTATATATCAAAGCTTTTGGAAGAAGGAAAAGTTGGTTGGTACCAACACAAATACTTATAGGAATTTTCATGATTTTTCTGTCACAAAATGTGAATGATTGGCTTGGAGATGGAAGCACTAAGGGACCTCAAATGTTTTTATTAACAGCAGTATTTTTTGTACTTTGGTTTTTAACTGCTACACAAGATGTTGCTGTGGATGGTTGGGCATTGACAATGCTTCGACGAGAAAACGTCGGACATGCTGCTACATGTAACGCTGTTGGTCAAACAGCTGGTGGATTCATTGGCTATGTTGTATTCTTAATATTGGAATCAACTGAGTTTTGCAACAAATATGTTTTTAGTGAACCTAGAGATCAAGGATTAGTGACATTGTCAGGATTTCTGAGATTTTGGGGAGTTGTTTTCCTAGGCACGACGATTTTAATTGCAATCTTCAAACGTGAAAGTTCACATGCAGAAAGAGAACTTGAGGCAAATCCAGATTATGGAGTGAAGAAAGCTTATCCCTTATTATGGAAAATCATGACACTAAAGCCAATTATTCGTTTTTCGCTAGTTTTGTTAACTGCCAAAGCAAGTTTTGCTGCTGTTGATGCGATAACAACATTGAAGTTAATTGACTACGGGATGCCTAAAGATAAAATTGCGTTGCTTTCCATCCCACTCGTTCCTCTTCAAATATTACTTCCATTCATCATCAGTAGATATACCACTGGACCTTATCCGATGACGTTTTATATCAAAGCATTTCCTTATCGACTTCTTATGACGGTAGTCATAGCAATTTTTGTCTATGCAACACCTTCAATGATCAGTGGACGACTCAATGATATACCGGTTTATTATTATGTTGCTATTGTGTCACTTTATATGATTTATCAGGTCCCACTACGTGCGATGTATGTCGCAGATATGGCGTTCATGGCAAGAATCTCAGATCCATTGGTGAGAAATGAAAACCAAGTAAATAAAAATATAAACAAACAAACAAATATATATATATTCTAGGTTGGCGGAACATACATGACATTGCTAAACACAATTAGGTAAATTTTTATCAACATGATAATGAAAATGTGATTGCAAATTTTTCATGTTTATACATTTTAGTAATCTTGGTGGTCGTTGGGTAAAAACATTTTTCCTGTGGTTCGTAGACATCATAACATGGAAATCGTGTATTTTTGATGAAGCGAGCTTAAGTAATTCAACAATGCTTTTGACTGATAATAAATGCGAGAATAAAGATGCTAAATTAGAATGCACGAACAATGGAGGAAAATGTAGAATTGATATCGACGGTTACTACATTGAAGTTGCACTCAATGTTGTGTATGGAATCATTTGGTATCAGTGGGGAAAACGTGTATTGCATCATCTACAAAATTTAGAACGCCATGAATGGCATATCTTATCAAACCGAAAGAGAACAGAAGACATCGATGGTACTCCAATTGAAGAAATAAGTTTAAAAGCTTGAACCATTCTTTCTTCAAAGGATACTTAACTTCAAACAATGTTTATTTTTATACATTATGATTAATTGTACTACACAATTTTTTTCTTATTAAAAGTATTAAGACTGTTACAACCTTATCAATTATCGAAATGTTCATGATAGATGAAAGCTTTATGTGACCCAGCTTTCGAAAGCTTTAGGGGTGTAAAAGAACTCACCTGATATATCATAACCGAGCAGACCGAATTCGGGTTTTCATGTACGTTGTCTTTTCAAAACAAAGACACGTCTAATATTAGATAAATTCCAGGATTATTTCGCAATTATTTCTAAATTGAGAAAGTTAAATAGATTAAAATATTCAAAATGTCGCTCAGAAAGCGGTCAGATAGCAAAGAACGTAAAAGTTTATTAAATAATCATCAGAGCGATGATAATCATCATGAAGTTCACGAAAAATCAGATTTGACAGGCGATTGGGGCAACATAGCAATTCTATTTTTCCTTTATCTACTCCAAGGAATACCTTTAGGAGTCGGACAAGCAATTCCAATGCTTTTACAAAATAGAGGTGCATCTTACAAACAACAAGCAGAGTTTTCATTTGCCTATTGGCCATTCTCAAGTAGATGAAAAATTTATTTTTATCTAAACTTTAAAGAAATACTAAAATTTGTCATTTTTCAGTCAAACTTCTTTGGGCACCAATAGTAGATAGTCTTTACATAAAAGCTATTGGAAGGAGGAAAAGTTGGATGGTTCCAACACAATATTTAATTGGATTCTTTATGCTTATTCTGTCAGGACACGTCTCAGATTGGCTCGGAGATGGTGGAGAACTTCCAAGAGTGTCAGTCATCACTTTAATTTTCTTCTCACTAAATTTTCTCGCTGCAACACAAGACATTGCTGTAGATGGATGGGCTTTGACAATGTTGAAAAGATGCAATGTTGGTCATGCATCGACATGCAACTCTGTAGGACAAACTGCTGGATATTTCTTAGGATATATTGTCTTCATGGCACTTGAATCGAAAGAATTCTGCAACACATACATTTTTAGTGAGCCACAAAATGAAGGACTTGTGAATTTATCAGGATTTCTTTGGTTTTGGGGAATAACGTTTCTAGTCACAACAACGCTTGTTGGAATTTTCAAAAGAGAAAAGGAAGAATCGCAAGAATACATTGAAGAACATCCCGACTATGATATTAAAGAAAGTTATGGAATGTTATGGAAAATAATCACAATGAAACCGGTGATGATGTTAGCAGCAGTTCTATTGACAGTGAAAGTAAGTTTTGCTGCATGTGATGCAGTGACAACTTTGAAATTCATCGATCATGGAATTCCTAAGGAGAAACTTGCATTGCTTGCAATTCCTATGGTGCCTCTGCAAATTCTTCTGCCATTAATAATCAGTAAACATACAACGGGAAAATATCCAATGAACCTTTACATTAAAGCAATTCCATTTCGTCTTTTGTTGACACTTGGTATTGCAATGCTTGTGTGGGCTACGCCCCTTATTCTTAAAGGGAGAACACATGACATTCCGCTTTACTATTATGGAATGATTTTGATAATATTTTCACTTTATCAAATCTTTCTTTATGCCATGTTTTGTGCTGCTATGGCGTTCTTTGCTAAAATTTCTGATCCACGTGTGGGAGGCACCTACATGACACTTTTAAATACTTTATGTAATCTGGGTGGAAATTGGCCTAATACTTTGTTCCTTTGGCTTGTGGAAATCATAACATGGAAGTCTTGCGTTGAAACAGGAGCTGATAATGATTTTAGTGCTCCCATGATGAATAACAACACTTGCAGCGATAAATCAGAGCAAGAAAGTTGCGTGAAAATTGGCGGCAGCTGCAGAGTCGACATTGATGGATATTACATTGAAGTCATTCTTTGTCTAATTTATGGTATTATTTGGTATAAGTGGAGCAAACCGAAAATCAATCATCTACAAAAACTTCCAATTAAAAATTGGCATGTTCAACATTTGAAAACAAAGACAAGTTAGCAATTAGTTTAGTTGAAGTTCGGATTTGGTTTTGGAACAAAACATTATTTAAAATAACACAAATCACTTTTTTTATTAGTTAAAGTTAGGAAATTGCAATTGTTTGTTAAACTTCAAAACATTCAAACCTTATTTGTGAGTCACATTTCAATGAAATGTTAAGAAAAATAAAATTTTAGTTTTTTTTAATTTATAATAAGAAGTCAAAAGTTTTATTTACCAACACCTTCGTTTTATTTTCTTTATTGCATTTAGGAAAATAAAAAAGAAAATTAAAGCTTTGATTCAGTTAACCAACTGAAATTTTGTGGTTTTCGATCAGCTTGTGGACTGATAATGACGTTGATGATTGATGGATGATCAGATGGAATCAACGATTCTTTTACAGCCTCTTCAAGTTCTGGAATGGTTCTAACAAAATGTCCTTCCTTTCCAAACATACTCATCATTTGTTCGTATCGTGTTTCGACGTTTAAAGCTGTGACTGGAGTGACTAATGATGGATCGCCAGCACTTTGAATACTTTCAAAGTCGTCTTTAGTAAATCCACTGTAAATTCCACCATTATTTACAATGACAATAATAATCGGCAATTGATAACGAATCATCGTTTCAATTTCCATCCCACTAAATCCAAACGCAGAGTCACCTTCAACACAGATGACACGCTTGCCAGGATGATAATCACGACAATAAAGACCTGCAGCAATAGCAAACCCTAGACCAACTCCCATAGTACCAAAAGTTCCAGCATCTAAGCGATGACGGGGTAGATTGTTTAGTAACATTGCACGTCCAATGTCCATCGTATTTGCACCTTCACTAACAATTATCGAATCAGACGGAATTTTCATTCTTAAATGATGAAACACTGCGTAGTAATTTAAAGGAACTGAAACATCCATTGACATTCTATTGACTGTTTCACGATTCTTATCGCATTTTTCAAATAATTCCTGCCACCATTCACCACTTTTTGCTAAGCGGAATTTACGTTTTGCAAGTTCATCAACGAACATTTCCGAAAATGGCAACAAATCAGATTGAATTGCGCACGATGTTGGAATGCTGTTGTGCATTTCTTCTGGTTGGATGTCAACTTGAATAACTTTGACGTTTTCATTAAATCGTGGTGCTCGTCCAAAGTGAAGAATCCAATTAAGTCTTGCACCAAGTAAAAGTACAACATCGGCTCTTTGCAATGCCAATGTTCGAGCTGGTGCAACACATTGACGAGCTGTGTCGGGAACGACTCCTTTGCCCATTGGTGTTGCGATGAATGGGAGATTTGTTTGTTGAATTAATTGACGAAGTGCAACTTCAGCTCTTGCATAAGCGGCACCTTTGCCAATAATAACGAGAGGACGTTTTGCTTTCATCAACATTTCAGCAGCTTCTATCATTGACTTTGGATTGGGGAATGTTAAAGGAGGTTCAGGGTGAATGTAAGACTTCACAATATTATTGCTTTCAACACGACCCTGAAGAATATTTCCAGGAAAGTCGAGATAACAAGCACCAGGTCGACCGTAAGTAGCTAAACGAACTGCTTTTTCAACATGAGTTGGGATAAGAAGTGCACTTGGTGGACGTGCTGCATACTTGCAATAAGGTCGGCTCATTTCAACTTGAGGATATTCTTGAAAGCCTCCAATAGCTTCATGATCTTCCGAACATGATCCACCAATCACAAGTAAAGGCCAACAATTAACTTGAGCATTTGCCATCCCACCGCAAACGTGAAGTAATCCAGGCCCTGAAACAACTAAACAAACACCCGGCTTCTTAGTCAAGTAGCCAATGGCTTGTGCTGCATAACAAGCTGCTTGTTCATTTCTCATCCCAATGAACTTGAGTCCAGCCTGTTGCATGGCCATTCCCAGCTCAATGACAGGAAACCCGACAATCCCAAAGACATATTCAACACCCTAAGTAAGTATAAAGAAAAGAAGAAAACAAAATAAACAATTCGGATTGAACTTTGGTACATATTTAGCTAAATAAGATAAGAAGTTTTATGATATCTTGCACAACAACCGTTCTCTTACCTGCTCTTTAAGTGATTGAGCTAATATTGTGTTACCGTCAATTTCATCTGACATTTTATAAAATTTAATGTTATTTACTAAGTAAAAAAATATTGAAAACTTTAAAAAGAGCGATAGATGTATGAATGAAAAAATATTTAATGATAAATCATCAAGAAATGAAACAATCATTGAAATCATGATTGAATATTTTTTAGCGCGAAACTTTCAAATCCGAGCTTGTATTTTACATCGAAAGCTTTGAGTTCAAATTATAAGAAACAGCGTGGCGCACTAACACTTATAAGCGTGAGAAAACTGAAAATTTTCCGAGAGTGGAAAACTCTTTCATTTTCAACAGTCTCGTCTCGCTATTGTCAATGTGAAGACACGTAAGTTATCACTTTCATTTGGTATTTGAAAAAAAAAGCGTCTGAAGGAAATTATTTTATTCAGTGAAAACTTTGAAAGCTGTAAAGTTTATAAAACGATCAATTTCAACAAGGTCCTTTGTTTGGAAATATAAAAACAATTTCAATTGTTTATTTTTAATCTTTACGACAGAATAAGAAGATGAAAAGTTTTTTTTGCGAATTTTCATACACGAAAATCTGCGCATGAATTTCGCGTTGGAAATTATTTTTAACAATTGTTATAATGTGGTTTACTCTATTTGATGATTATTAGAATGTTTTCGATTACAAAAATTAATTACATTACGTTTTCCGTGACACTCAACATATAAAAAATTTGTATTGAGAATTTTAATGAAATGTCTAATTGGAAAATTCGTTTTCGATTAAATATTTGTGGGGATACCATAACTTGTATTTAATTTTCTTCCACTTAAAACAAGATGTTCAACTTATTTTTATTTATGAAACGCCCAAAACTAAAGTGTTGAAATGCTTCGGTCTCATGAAATTCCGATAAGGAAAATATCGGATGGAATAATTAAAGAAAAACAACTTCAATGTTTTTATTATCGTCCTGAAAAAATAAAACTTCTCGATATTCTTCTGTGCTCTCGAAGTAAATGTTTTTTTTTATAAGGTTGCCACTGTTTTTTCGCATTTCAATGACATTGAAGAGAAAATGTAGGAAAAGTTTTTTTGTCTCTACGTCGTCGAAACACTTGCATGTGTGCGCGATTTTTCTCTCAACTTTTAAAAAGTTTTTGTTATTTTTTGCCGGCTCTTTTTTTCACTTACGATCTTAATAAATATTTTCCCATGTGCCTTTATTTCATTCACCAAGGAAAAAGAGAAAAAATATTTATTTTGCCGGATAATTGGGTCAATAAAATATTTGTTGTGAATTTTAAATGTATGGAAATGAAATTTCCACAATAAATAATTGAATGCATCATGATCACGACACAAATTTCGATTAAAATCAAATGAAAAACTATTTTAAGAAAATAAAATTTTGCATCATTCGAAATGATTCTCTTTTCTCGCAGATTCGTTTACAAATGAAATCGGACGAAGTAAATTTTTAAGTGATGGCAATTAACTTCCCAGCTGCAGCGTTCCTGGCAGGATTAAAGGTTCCAAGTCAAATCATGTATTGTATTTCACAAGATAGTGGAGCACCAGTTGTAGTTTACAAAGACTCTCAGAATATTCAGCAACCAATAAATGTGCCACCATGGTCAGGTGCAATTCAGGAGTCAAATTATAATCAACAGAAAGATTTGCATCCAACAACTATTGCAACAAGTTTACCTTCGAATTCAATTCAATCAGCAATAAGACTGGATGGCGGAAATCAGGTGAAAAATATTAAATTATCTCGTTAAAAAATGAATTTTTTAACCCTGGTTGAAACAATTAAAAATCCACAGATTACTGTTACATCGCATTCTTCTGAGGCATATCCCAACCAATCAACATCTTATTATTCTCCACGTTCAATTATTCAAGCGCCTCCTGCTTACATTCATGTTCCTGGACAAGTATACGCTATTACATCACAACAATCAAGCAAAGAAAAAACAAATCAAACGATTGAAAACAATGTCAACATTCAGAACGATTTTAATGAGAACGATAATCGAAATGGAAATCATTCTGATGATGTGAAAAACTTTTCATGTTCATTATGCAAGAAATCATTTCGACTTAAATCAACATTGATTCAGCACGAACGAATCCATCTTGATTCCAGACCTTTTATGTGCACATTTGGCGACACATGTCGTAAAACTTTTCGACAGAAATCTCATCTAATACAACATTCTCGAATTCATTACGATAGCAAACCCTTTCCTTGCACATTTCAAGGGTGTGGAAAAACTTTTAGACAACGTGCAATTTTGTCACAACATGAAAGAATTCATTGCGATGCATCTTCTCACTTGCTGTATAAAAATCTTGGTGAAAACGGAACACTTTGGCCACATGATCTTCCATATCCTAACGAAATTCAATCGAAGACTGGTGAATTGAGTAGTAGTCCACAGAAAGAATCAGTTTATCCAGCATTCACACATTCAGTTTTTGGAAATTTAACTGACATCAACTATCAAAAGACTGAAACAAAATCAGAAATATCAGACCAACAAACATCGATACCACTTTATGTTCGATGTCCAATCTGTCAAGTGTCGTACAAACAGAAATCTACTCTTCTTCAGCACGGTTGTATTCACATCGAATCAAGACCGTATCCATGTTTATTCCTAAAATGTGGCAAGAGATTTCGACAACAAAGTCACTTAGCTCAACATATTCGCATCCACAAAAATGAAAAACCTTATCGATGTCCTTTTACGGAATGTCACGGACGATGCTTTAGGCAGAAAACAATTTTAAATCAACACATTCGCATTCACACAAACTCTAAACCATATCGGTGTAGTACGTGTGGTAAAGATTTTCGACAACAAGCAATTTTATCACAACATGAGAAAACTCATCAAAGTCATCGCCCTTTCTCATGTCCGTTATCTAATTGCAAACGAAGATTTATTAATGAACATGTAAGATATTTGATTATATCTGCTCAAGACATGATTTATAATTTTTTTTCTTCTTTCTTTAGGATCTCAAGAAGCACATTGAAAGTCACATGAATCTATCAAAACCTAAGAAGCAATCATCATCAAGATCAAATCAAGAAGTGAAACCTGAAACAACTTACTTTCCACCATACATGCAACCTCCAACTCCTTTTAATCATCACATCGTTCCAAACCAAAATCCTATGATTCACACATCGCAAAATTCTTCAGTATAAATACAGGGATTTAATTTTATACTATAAACATTATGTAAAACATTCATTTCCTTAAGACATGGTGCTATGGAACATAAAACTCATTTCCTTATTCGATTCAAATTTAAAAATCTTTTTTTTAATTAATAATTTTTATGGCAAAAAGAAAACAAAAAGAAAATCCATGTTAAAATTTATCTTTAAATAAAGTTTTGTTTTGTCATTTATTAAGAACTAATCAGTCACTTTTTTTAATTATTTTGAGTACAAAAATTCTGTTTCCCTGATGTATGTGGTGAGTACTTCTCTGATTTTATTAACTCGATCTGTATGATTTTGTTTTTCGATAAATTGTTCGCAATTTTCCAATGAGAGAAATGCGTTGAAGTTTTTTATTGGGTCATTGATCGTAGGTATTTGTGACTGAAACGAAAGAGGATTAAAATATTGGAGAACTTTTGACAGATATTCAACTAACGTCTCCATATTTTCTTGTATGTGCATGAAGTTCTTTATCACCCATATTCCAGATATTTGTCAAGTTTTAAAACAATCAGGATAATATTAATCTAGCAGTTTTTTATATATTTAAACGAAACTTTAGGAATAAAGGAAATAGGTAGTTTTAATTTGTCGTAATTTTTGTTAGTGGGCCTTGTCACTAGCATAAACAAAAGGAAAATTAGCATCCCCTCAGATAGAATTGACTCATCTCAGTAATCCTCAAAATTTCCCTTTTCATCACATTTTAAATCAAGTTTCACATATTTTCTCTGGTTAATAACGAAAGATATAAATCTATTTAATAGCAATGGAATCTATGGAGGTTCTCCTCAATAATCTACTCCTTGCCGAAAACGTTCAGAAGGTAAATGAAGTGATATTTCAAAATAAAAATTACACGAAGATAAAAAATGTGATTTTGTTCATTGCCAGCACATTTTTTCACGATCTACTTCATCTTATTCTTTGTTTAACCTTTTATAACATTTCTTTTTAAGGCAACCGAGGAGTTGAATGAAGCTCTTAAACGTCCAGAAACTATTCAGATTTTATGTGAAATCGTTGTGAGATCCGCAAATCCTCAACTTCGACAATATGCAGCTGTCATTCTCCGCAAGAGACTAGTGAAGTTAAGATTTTGGAATATGGTGCCAAAAGACCAACAGCAGCTCATTAAAACAGGTTTTCTTCAAGCTATCACTACAGAGCAAGATAAATCAGCTCGTGCTGCAATTACACAAGTTGTCGGTGCGCTTGTAAATCACGAATTTCCCAAGAAGGATCCATGGGCCAATGACGTTCTAAAGTTTGTTTTTGAAAGTTCTCAATCAAGCGATCCCGCAATAAGTCTTTTGGGTGCTGAAACATTCGCTACATTAACAGAAGCTGCTCCTGACCAATTCATACCGCATCTAGAAACTATCGGAATGTTCTGTTCACAAGCAATGATCGTATCGGAACAAACAAACAATTTGGGAAATCCTGTTGTTTTCAATCTTCTTATGGCTATGTCGCATTTAGTTCCTTTCATAATTGGGCATAATGTGGCCGAACATGTTTTCACATCATCTGTTCCTTACGTTGTTAAAGCACTTCACGCATTTTCAGCTCAAAATGATGAAGAAAAATTCATCGATGCCTTTGATATTCTTGAAAACCTTGCTGATCACGCACCAAAACTTCTCACAAATCATATCACATTGTTAATTGAATTTTGTTTGGAATTAGCACGAAGAAAAGAAGTCGATGAAGGAATTCGAGTGAAAGTCATCACTTACATTGCCTTGATTGTTCGACTTAAAAAGAAGTTGATTTTAAAGTTGAAACTTGTCGAGCCAATCATTGCAGTGTTGTTTCAATTAATGGCAGCACCAAGTGATGATAGTGGTGATGATACTGAAGAATACTTTGGAAGCAATGAAGTCACAACTCCTATGAATTGTGCAACACAAACACTTGACACATTAGCTCTGAGTATACCGCCAAAAAATTTGATTCCACCTCTCTTAGCGATTCTCGAGCCAGCACTTCAATCATCGAACGATCCATTACAAAAGAAGGCCGCATATTTATCAATTGCTGTGATTGCTGAAGGATGCAGTTCAGCAATTTGTAAGAAATATTTACGTCCATTGTTGGATTGTATCAAGACTGGTATCACCGATCAAAATCCAATCATCAGAAACAGCGCATTGTTTGCTTTAGGACAATTCTCTGAACACTTACAACCCGACATTTCTCAATTCTCAGAAGAAGTTCTTCCAATTCTCTTCGACTATTTGTTAATGCTTTCAAATCAGATTCGGGCTGGTGGTAAAGAACCTCAACATATCGATCGTGTCTTTTATGCTGTTGAGACATTCTGTGAGAATCTTGAAGATGCTTTAGTTCCACATTTACCGGTATTGATGGAACGATTGTTTGATTGTATGGCACCAACGAATTCTGTTCATTTACGTGAATTGGCATTGAGTGCAATTAGTGCAACATCAACAGCAGCAAAATCTAATCTCATGCCGTATTTCCCACAACTTATTGAAGGACTTAAAATGTATTTGCAAAAGACCGAAGATGAAGATATTTGTACACTTAGACCAGCAGCAATTGACACATTGGCAGCTCTTGCAAGAACAATCGGAAAGGAAAATTTCCTCCCACTCGCTATTGACACGATGAACTTGGGATTAACTTTGATCGAAGATGGAAGCGATCCTGACTTGAAACGTTCTTGCTACAATTTATTTGCATCAATGGCATCGATTCTCAATGAACAAATGGGATCGGCGTTGGAGAAAATCGTTTCATCAATGATTGACAGTGTCAAAAGCACAGACAGCATCATAAGCATGAAGAAGGAAAGTGAAGAGAATGCTTTGGAAGATAACAACGCTGAGAATGATGATCAAGAATTTGATATTGAGACTTCTGATGGTGAGGAAGAAGACGAAGAAGACATGATTGGTGTTGAGAATAGTTACATGGAGGAGAAGGAAGAAGCTGTCATTGCATTGAAAGAAATTGCTGAACATACTGGAACATCATTTGCGCCATACATTCGAACATCATTCGAAGAAATTTACAAGCTTTTAAACTACCCAAATGAAGATATTCGTCAATCATCAGTTGAAGCTTTATGTCAATTTGTCATTTCTCTTTATAAATTGAATGACATTGAAGGTGTTAAGCACACATTATTGATTCTTGTTCCAAAATTAAGTGAAATTATTCACATGGATGAAGAAAGGATTGTTGTAATGGCTGCTTTAGAATCATTTAATTCCATTCTTGAAGAGTTGGGAAAAGCTGCACTTGAAGTTGATGGTCATAAAGATGCAATTTATTCATGTGTTGTTGATGTACTAAATGGAAAAGCAACGTGTCAATATGAAGAGCCTGAAGAAGACGATGAGGATGAAAGCGAATACGACATTGCAATAATGGAATCAGCTGGCGAAATTCTTCCAAAGTTTGGAAAAGCAATGACATCGCAAGAGTTCTTCACTTACTTTAGTCGAATCTTTCCGTTCTTTATTGGAAAAATTGTAAGTAAAATTTGATGAATTTTTGATTAAAATTAATTTTGTTTTTATGAATAGCAAAAAACGAAAAACAAAGACGAAATGTCACAATCACAACGTGCAATGGCTGTTGGTGTTGTATCTGAGTGTTTTGAACCACTTGGTGAATTTACAGCACAATATTTTGATAATCTTCTACCATTGTTTATTGATTTGTTGAATGATCGAAGCGATGAAGAGGTTCGTAACAACGCTGTCTATGCTATTGGTGAAATGGTCGTGCATGGTGGACAAACAAGCTTCAAGTGAGTTTAATTAAATGTGTTCTTATTGAAATTTATTGATTGTCTCATTTTTTATTTAGATGTTTCCCACAAATTCTTGAAGCTCTCTCGACACTTGTCGCTAAGGAGAGTCACGGTGGAATCTTGGATAACATTTGTGGTACTCTCGGTCGATTGATTTTTATCAACAGCAGTTTAGTTCCATTGAAAGATGTTCTGCCTGTGTTCATCTCTTATCTTCCACTACGACAAGATTATGTTGAGAACGAGTACGTGTTTCGAGCTCTCGACCTCATCTATCGACAAGGAAATGAAGTTCTCTTACAATTCCTCGAACGTGTCATTCTTACAGCACTCACCGTACTTAGCAAGAAGCAGTACAGTAAGGATGAAGTTCGTGATCATGTTTTTACATTTGTTAAGCAAGTTCGGAATGATTTTCCTGAAAAGTTTAACAACGTTGTCAATGCTGATTCCGAAATTTCAAGTTTTGTTCAAAGCTTATCATAATCGTTAACACAAACTTGAATTATAATTTCTTTCCTCCAAAAATATTTCTGATATTATTTTATATTCAACATGAAAAATCATATTTTACTTGCGAAAATATTTAATTCCAGTTTACCATTTGTAAAACTCATTAAAAAACATATTCTTATTAAAAACAGGAATTTTCTTTTGTACTTTGAAGTTTTAGATGAAAATGAAGTTTTAAATAAAAATGAAATTTTAATTAATTGCTTGGGATTTTTATTACTTCAGTTCGAATACCATCTTAATTACTCACATAGTTAAATTTATTAGCATTTCGTTCATTGACGGTTTTAAAGTTTTGCATGTTAGCTCGAATGTAACTGCTTATGTCGATTGTTTCAATCTTTGGTGTAATGAAGCCACCAAATCCACGTTGTCCTTTGTATAAGAGTCCAACACCTTGAAGTGGAGTCGCAGGTGATGATGTAACATCTTGTGAGTCTAAGAAAGGAACTGTTGTTTGTGCTGCATCTTTATAGATATCAGAAAAAGTGAACTTGATGAAAGTGTTTGAAGATGACTTCGGAACAGATTTAAATCTTGTTTTAGTTGGAACGTCGGGTAGATACATTGAGATTTCCTTTCGCTTTTCTTTTCCTTGTGAAAATTGTGTGTTGTCATTTGATATCCAAAAACTCTTCTCAGGTTCCATCACCAATCCAGAACTGAAAAATTCAATCAAAATTTTTTCATCCCAATTTAACATTTTCATTACCTGAAATCAATTTCTGAAACACGAATTTCGAGATTCAAATGATTTCCAAGTCTTCGTAGTTTAACTCCAGTCTGTTGATATTTAATAAATATATTTAATTTAGAAATAAATAAGGTTGTTCGACTCACCACAACATGACCAATTGGTGCAATAAGATCGTCAAGATCAACTTCACGACGATCATAAGCTAAAGTGTGATAATCGATTCCATCACGAATTCCTTTATCAAAAATTCCAAATTCTTGTATTGGCACCCATCTGGTGTTAATACTGCTAACTTTTCCATATTTCATTAGTTGACTTTCTTGTATTTGAAGATGAATGATTCGATTTGATTTAACAAAACGTATGCCGGTGACAACCCTAGGAGATTTCTTTTGAATAAATTCATGTGAAATTGAATTAATCTTTTTCTTACATGTTGTTCCTTGTGTCAGAGACTGCTGGTCGAAGACTAAAGAATCGATCGGAAAGTTTTCCTTGCTCGTCACAAATGCAAAAGCAATGATCACATCGGTAAATAATCATGTAAAGCCACCATCGGTCGAGCTTTTTATAATTTTGAAATTAGAATAAAAAACTTTTAAATTGATAAATTAAATTTACCTTAAACCCTTGATTTGGACAGAAACCTTTCTTGCCTAAAACTTCTCCATCATCATACTCAATAAATTCATATCTTCGTAATGATTTCTTGTCACCAGGACAAACCCACATATCGTCACTTAATGTTTTACAAAACAATAATTTTCCCTTGCACTTTGGTTGACGATTACAAATTGATTTCTCTGAACAACCAAACTCTTCAGTGAACTGATATGTTTCACATTCATCAACACATGTTCGACCTTGGTTTAAATCCTTCTCATTTTCAAGATGACCTTGCAAGAGTCTGGTGATTTGATGAAATGTTGTAGATTCCTCAAATTTATCAGGATCACATCGCCATAAAGCTCGACTTGATTCGATGGAAATTTCAAAAGCGGATTCCAACGATTGAACAGTTTTCATCTCGAAATTTGTTCGTAATCGACTTGAAATTTTGAAGAAATCACCTGAAATAAATTAATTATCGTTTTTTCTTTGATTATTTGTCAGAATCTTCATCACCTTTCTTATAAACATTCAGAAGCATATAAGAAAACTGCATCATCATATATGCTTGTAATTGAGTCGCGACAATCACATTGTACATCTGATGAATGACTTGTTGGGGTGAACGTTGTAGTATGCAGGAAGTTTTGGTTAGATTCTTCAATGTTATAAGATTAATAAATAAACAAATTATGAATCATAAAGCAATCAAAAACAAATTACTAAAATGTCCGAGTAAAAGAGTCGATGTTTTGTAAACGCTTCATGAAGATTGTCGAGAGCTTCCATCAATGGCCAATTTGAGTCATCCAAAACATGTTCCACTAAATCGAGACTAATTTCATCATTAAATGTTCCATTTGCAATGAATTTTGTTTCACGAGTTAAGTGTTGTTGGAATCGTATGAACATGCGATTTACGCTGACACTTTCTGTGTTCAATGATTGCCATCCATAAAGTTTGATTAAAGTTTTGAGATCGTCGACGTCGAGAAAGTTTCTCAAATAATTATTCACGAAGTCATTGTGACCATTGAAAATAGTCATCAATTGATCATCCCGTGTTATCATTGGATTATTTACTGTTGACTCCCATAACGATCTTTCTAAACGAAAATAAATGTTTCTAATCACATCTACCTCAAGAATAATTCGTTCTCGATAATTGTCTGATGAACAATAAATAACTTTGAAAAATAATAAGGAAACCAACAACGCCACTTCCTTAATTCTTATCATTGTTCACAATTTTATCACTTTCACGTTATTGAAAAAGAGATTACAGACTGAAACACTTCTTTTTTTGTCAAACGTTTGAGTCGCAATGAACAAATAAATTCTCTTGTTTGGAGCCTTCTCTTTAGCTCTGAGATGAATTCTTTTATTATTCAATAAACATAGCATGTTGAACTAAAAAGGAATTGAGAGAGATTAAATTACTGAGCATTCATACATTTGATGTTCTTATCAACATCACAATGTTTATTATGTTTCATGACTCATACACAGAGTTTCACTTTAATGATACTCTGATGGAATTTTCACTCTTAAATGGCATCAACCTTTCAGTTATTATTGGTTAATAGCTTTTAAAGCAAACACAACAAAGCAACGCCCCTTTTTTATTTAAAGAAATTGTAAATTAAAAATATTTGTGAAAATATGTCAAATAAATTCTTCAAACAACAAAACACGTTTTATTTATATTTACTTAATTTCAAGGACAAAGAAAATCTGCAACTTTATGTCTAATAATACGATGAAAAATAAATCCAACATCAAAAAATGAAAAGTGATCACCACACAAACGTCATTGGTTCAACTTAAATGAATATGCGACACTTGGCTTGAATAGGAACAGTTGGAAAACCTTCCATTTTCACAACTGCGTTGGATTGGAGTATCGGATGGAACTTTAAATGATCCAAATGAACGTTTTACAAGTTCTCTCAACAAAGCTGATGTCTTTGCTTGTGTTTTTGATTCTTGAACAAATCGTTGTCGTTGTTCGTTGAATTTTCTTAATTTCATTTCACGATCTTTGATTCTTTCACGAAGTTGATCACGTTTTTGTATTTCTTCACGAATTGCTTGATCATAGTTTTGAGCGTGAATTTGTTGATGAAGTTGATTGTCGGTTTGGACTCTGATCCGATAAACATCGAGATTCTTACATCGAATGTTCTCAGCTTTGTTGATTCTTTCTTCAAGTCGATCGATGATAGTTTCACGCCAAATCTGTTCATCGAGTTTGCTTTCTTCGCAGTTCGTTTGAATTGCTTCAATTCGTTGATATTCGCGTTGTCGTTTACGACATTCCATCATTTCTCGTTCCATTTCAATGTTCTTCAAGATGTTTTCAGCTTTTATTGATTTCGCTGCAATGTCATTTTGAACTCGCTCGCAATATTCTTTCTGCTTCTCTTCAATTAATTGCTTTCGTCGCATTAACTCGCCTTGTTCTTGTCGACGTTTTTCATTAACCATTTTCAAATATCTCGCATGCTGTTCATTTTTAAGACGTTCACGTTCAGATTTTTCTGACTCCCAATATTTTCTCGCCATCATTGCATTCTCAACCAACGCAAGTTCTTTCAAATTCTTCATTGACATACGATCAAGAATCTTTTTATCATGATCTGATAAGTGAACAATGTTTTTCAAAGTTGCTTCGTTTCTCGATATCGGAAGGAGATTTGATAAACTTGAACTTTTGAAACGATTGCAAAGATTCTGAAAACTTGCAGGTGCCTCAGACTTCAAAGTGTTGCAAAGTTTTGTAGATTTTTTATTACCTTTTGGCTTCTTCATTTTCAAATTTGTTGAGCCTTTGAAACCAGGAAGGTCACTGGTTGAAAATGACCGATTTGAATGTTTAAGTTGATCAGAAATTGGGTCCAAATTAAAGCTCTTAGGTGAAAGTGCTTTGGATGGTAATTCAATTTTCCTTTGGGACCCGAAGTCAGTATTTGTCTCCACAGGAATTGGCGATGGTGTTCCATTTTTCTTCTTCAACTTTTTCTTCTTTTTTGGTTTCTTATCTGTCGAAGAATTTCTCGACGAGAAGTTGCAACATAAATTATCCAATGAAAAGTTTATCTTCCCATGAAACTGTGCAAAATCGACGTTCGTACAATCGAAACAGCAGCAGTCAAAAAATTCCATTGAAAGTGCTTCATCAAAGTCATTATCATCATCGATTGGACATGATAAGAAGAAATCATCGGATGTTGAAATCAATTTCTTGTCTTTCGATCCTTTTCTGCTTTTTCGTGACATTCTCTTAAAGAATTTATAAACAATTAAATAATTTTAAAGACTTTTCAACTCTTTCTCACCATTAAAAATTCCAGCGTTGAAAGAAAATTTGTTTGAAATCTATGAAAATTTATCGATCAAGCTTCACATACACAAATAAAAATAACCAAGCGACCAAAAACTATCATGTGGAAGCATGCGAGTAAATTTAAATGCTTAATAAATAAAGGGGAAAAATTTTCATTCATAAAGCAAAAGAAAACTTTTCTTTAATATTTGCAGCCTTCAAGAAGAAAACTTAAAAACTTTTGTCGTTTCTTCAATTGTTTTGTAGACTAGAAAGTGACGTGGTTTGTACGATTATGATAATTTCCTGATTAAGTTGCTAATATTGTTTTTGATTATAAAGCTACAATGTAAACATTTACCTAAATCGATTCAATTTTTTAAAGATTAATAGATAGATAAGAATTATTTACCAACATATGACAAATGCATGAAAAGTGAAACAAAGAATTTATCAAGGTTTTCTAGCTTATCGCGATTGCGATATTTCTATCAACCGCAATGAATGAAAATTCTAAGTCGCACAATTTTATTTCAAAACTATCTGAGAGACAAAGGAAAATTTGATTTCATAATAATGACCTGAAAATGAAAGAGGAATTAATAAAAGAAGTTTTTAAAGTTTTAAAAAAATATTTCTTTATTCTTAAATTTATAAACATTTACACAAAACAAATAAAATTTCGATTCTTGAACATAAAATGAATTGAAGAATAAAAATAAATTTCATATCTACCAAGAAGATCTTCTTAAGAACTGATAAGTTTTATTCGTATTTTGAAATATTCCTACAGCAAGGTTTGTTAAAGGTTTTTGATATTCTATCAAGAGATTGTCTATTTAAGTTAGAAAACTTTAAGAATTAGAAGATGTGAAAAATTACGAGAAAATGTCTTGAAATACTTAATTAGGTAGTTATAATTGGGTTGGTAGATAAAAACTTTTCTCACAATCACATTGAGCAAGAAATATGAAAATTCAGAAGTTCGAGAATTTCAAAATGTCCAGAAAATATCTCCAAAATGTTCAGAATCTTAGTAAAAGCAGTCGAGAAGAGTTTCCACTCTAAAGAGAGATAAATCAAATGGATGGAATCTTAATTTCTTACAAAATTTTTCGTGATATTTTTAAATTTGTTCTGGCACTTTTGATAACTTTTAATTTCTAATGTTGTTCATGTTGAACCATAAAAAATATTATTAAATATCTAAATTTTAGATAATTTCAAGATAATTAAGATGAGTTAAGAAATTCTAATTAATTATGTAGTTATGGCGTCGCTCTTAAGTATCCAATGTCATGTTGCCTATCAGTAATCTAAAAGCATTTAACAACCTTCTCACTAACAAATTGAGCTCTAAATAAATCATGACATGATTTAATCAAATTATAATCTTCTATATCTAACGTTTCACTGTATCATCAGTGAAATAAAAATTAAAACTAAAAAAAGTTTTGGACTAAAATTTTAAAAAGTAGGAAATAATAAAGTAAAATAAAGAAAAGTTGAAAAAATTTTATAAAAAGTCTCAACCGTCATTGATAATGTTGAATGGGATTCTCATTGAAGTCAATTGAGATGTCCGAGTCTGAATTCTCTTGTATCATACGAAGGTGATAAATGTTCCCTTCGTTGTCGATTGTTACAAAGCGTGTAAAGTCATCGCTATGTACAATTCGTTTAGCACTTTTTGCTACAAGTTTAATGCACGATAACAGTTCGGGTTTAGCGGAAGGACCAGTTTTGTAACGCCAAGGATTCTTTTCAACAAGTGATAATTTTTCAGTTGCATTTAATAACTGACTACTCGTATCAACTGCTGTTGAAACTTTCAAAGCTTGTTTAAATCTTTGACTTACTCTTAATCGTCCAGGCGAAGCTTTTCGTTTCATCTCAAGTTGATTGTTGACAATTGACCGAATATTCCAGAAGATTATCGATTCCGAAACACTAAGAAGAATCAAAGGATCGTTGGGACTGCTCCATGGTGAGAATCTCAGTCTCATAATTGGACGTTTATGAGATTCTAGTCTTTTAATTGGCGTCATGTGGATTAAGTCTATAATCTATTGAAATTCAAAAAATAAATATTTAAGTCAAGAATAAAGCAAAAAAATTAAAAACTCACTTCAATGTATCCATTGGAACATCCAATCGCTAAGAAGTTTTTATCTCTAGAAACAGCCAAAGCTGTTATCATCTTGTCGACTTCAAATTTCCTTGTATCTTCATCATCATCAAACTCATTAACTTTCCAAATGTGAACAAAATTCATTTCAGTCCCAATAATTACTAAATTATCGTAATAAGCTTGAGCCGAACAAAAATCGTTTGTCAAAACTTTTGTCATCACAATGTTGCCATTTGTCGTGTCAACAACTTCAATTGCACAATTTTTCTTTACTAAAAGAAGTTGATTGACGTTGTAATGATAAGCTTTGGTGACTTCTCCATCATATTCTGTTTCTCTTTCACTTAACTTGATGATTTTGTATGATAAATTACAACTTGCAATGATGACATCTTCAAAACATTGTAAGTAAGTTATTTCACTCAAAAGACTTGTCAACGAATTTATTTCGTTCATTTGATTTGTGATATAAACGGAACCATTTGTACAGCCAACAATTACTCGTTCACCATACCAACAAATTTTCTTCACTTGATATGGAAATGGAAATTGGTCATCAGATTGTGAAAAGTCATCGCCGCTTGAACGATAATGAATGTTTCTCTTTGCGTCGATAGCAACCATTTTCCATTCATCCATCGAATGTGATTGTTTGACATCAAATAAGTCATCGCCAACAAGGAAATTCATTTCGTGGTTCATCAATGCTAAGTCATCGCGATTGTCATTAAAAGCATAAAGACTGATAATTTGCCCAGCATCTTTGAAAATCGAACTTAAAATGTAAAGTGCATCATCTGGATCGTAATAAAGATCCAAACTTAATACTTGATCACTGACATTTCTTCTAAACACGACTTGCTTGTCAAATCTGTCAATGACGATGATCCCTTTAGTCGTTCCCAGCACTAAATATTCAGCATTACTTGACATTGTACTTGATAATATTCGATTGTCGTCATTCTCATTTTGTGCGACGAAAATCTCATCAATTTGCATAAACACAACAGCATTGACATGCGGCGTTTTCAATTCATGAGCGATTTGGACAACTTTCTTTGTCGACACACACAAACTTATCGGTTGATTCTTGTATTTGCATATGCCTTGATGAAGATTAAGTGGTGACTCGAGACCTTCCCATTTACAATTTGTCGGAATCAACCCAGAATTGATTAAATTAATGAACCTTAAGTCTCCTTGAGCATTTAAAAGCATCACATATTTATCGAGAATGTGAGCCATTCGAAAGAGATCTGAGAATCTTGATTTAATCATTTTCCCACGCTTTTCTTCAAACTTATTCAACTTCCATTGATAGAACTTGATATTGCCGTTTATTGTCCCCACAATTAAATCAATTTCAGAGTTCACGGAGTCAGAATGATGCTCGAAAACATTAAAACATGTGAACTTATCTTGACCGCCGTCTAAACGTTGGAGAAGTTTATTATTTTGACTGTCAACACTTTTCACTGTTGATACTTTTTGTGGACCAAATCTTCGCGTTGGACTGTTCTTGAGAGTGTAAGCTGACAACTTTCCCAAGTCGTTTAATGCTAGGAATGTATTGTTACGAAAAACTTGTAAATCTATGATGACACTTTTCGGTGTTTCACTGTAATAAAGTACAGGAGTGTCCAAGTATCCTTGAGATATATCATGAAGTAAGATGTTATTGTCTTGTAATGTTATTAAACAAACAAGATTATCTGTTGGCTTAACAAATCTAACCAATTGTGGTTGAGAATTGCAAGCGAGTTGAACGATTTGTGTTTGATTTTCAGCATGATTATAATCGTTCATCCAAACACGATCTATAAACTTCTTCGATTGAATTTCTGCTGTCTTTCTAACATTTCCAACACTAGCCAAAGCACATTGTAGTAGATTGACATCATCTGATGCAAAAATTGAATGTTCACTTTTGGTCAGGAAATCGATGAGAGCGTCAAGTTCAAGTTCGCAATTATCGCCAACAAAAATATATTTTTTGAATCTTATCAAATCACCGACAGTGTTTGGAAGTTTCGTGATTTTCATTTTCTTCTCAAGAAACCCAAAATCCAAATAAACTTTGAACAAATGTTCCATCTTGCTACCTTCCAAATGATATGGAATATAATAGTAAAAGTATCCGTCATCAGGGAAATCTAATTCGAATTCTTTTCGCTCATGAAATATTCTCTCAACTTCATACTTCTCCACCAAAAGTCGATGATAAGCTTCACGTGTTTGTTTAGAGACTTGATTTTCGAGAAAATGAAAGTGTAAGTAATGTAATGAACACGATTTGTCAATGTCTTTCATGTCAGAATATTCAATCAAAGAATATTTGTATAACTTTAAAACAATTTCTTCAGTTTCCGCTGCATCAGTTTCCCAAATCTTCTCAAGAACTTTTAATGGAATTTCAGAATTATCAGCAAATATGACCATTTTATCATAACAAATTCTTTGTTTATCAGAAAGAAACTTCAAAGATTCTTCCATGGACAATTGAAAATATTCGCCTGTTGGTTTGTACTCTTCAAGATTTTTCAACCAATTTTCACATCTGGTTTTTCGTGCATTTTGTGATTCCTCGAAATTTTGAAATGATTTGGCAATTTGTGACATAATAAATGGATGGCCCTGCGTTTTGGTGTGAAAATTTTCAATATAGTCTTCCATATATCCCGGAAGTTCACCATTGAAGGCATTATGGAACAATTCTATGCTTTCGTCAGTTGTGAAGCCTTGCTTGATATCAATCGTTGTCTTTGAGTCTTTCGAGATCCAATCTAATTTCTCAATATGTCTTGTTGTTATGAAGATCTTACATTTCAAATTGAAAGCTTTAATTATGTCCACGTCTTGAACATTGCTTAATACAAGCAAACAATCTTTATATTCTGGTTGCTCGAGAATCTTTCTCAAATAATATTTCATATGAATGATTTCGTTCTTTGTATTACCGCTGTATGTGTTGTATTTGATGCTGGAATTATCGGCATTAAGAATAACTTTGAGTCGATGCATCTTTTCAAGGATAAGTTCTTGTGTTGAACATTTGCTGACATTGAGCCAAAATATTTTGAAGCTCATTTTTTGAATAACACTGAAGTCACGGCATGCGTCACTGTTGAAGAAAAGAAAAGAATTTAAAAAATGTTGTTTTGCTTCAATTAACGTCATCAATAACTTACGCGGCCAACCACCTTTTCCCGAATCCAAGCTTCCCAAACAAAATCAAATAATTTCCACGTTGCATTATTTTTAAATGTTGTTGGATTTTCCACAGATATTCTACTCGATGAATATTCCAGTCTTGATTGTTGGGAATATCTTGAATTGCTCTTTTGTAGTCTGATATCCATTGATCACCTTTGGACTTGCAAATTTTTTCATAAATCCAATCGTAAGGATCTCGCAAAATATTTATAAAAGGTCTGACATCTTTTTTGTTGTAGATGAGATAGAAAAATAATTTTTCAATCTTTTCTTTTTCTTTCTGCATGTTACAGATTTCTCTAAAAATATTTTGGCTGACAAATTTTTCAAGTTCATGTCGTAAATCCCGAATAGAAAAGTCCTTCTCGAAGTCCTCTTGCCAACGGCGTAAACCATCGACTCGATCTAAATGAGTTAATTGATCAGGCATACTGAACTTTTTATTATTATCTTATCTTTGCAAAATTAATTTATTATTGTGCTTTTAACAGTCTTTTATGCGATGACTAATAAATGTGCTAATCGATGGAAATCACTACCATCATCATGTATTTTATCTACGATCGAATAAGTTCAACGACCACATATGATCAAGGCCAATATAAACAAAAAGAAGATTTGTGTTAGATGAATCTTTTCTTACAGATTAACAATCAAAATGGATTGTTTAGTATACACACAAAGCACTTTATTAGTCACAATGTTGCGGTGTCATCACAAAAGTGATTTAATATATCAGTGCAAATTGAATGTTTTTATTGCTTCTTTATTAATTATTATGATGAAGAATTTTTTCTCTTTGTTAAACCGTTTTCTTATCACACTAACTTTCGATATTTCATGTTTTTTAAAAACTTTCACGCTCACAATTAGAATTATCACATAATAGGATTTTTTATTGTTCTACCTTCTAATTGGAAACCGATTAAAATAATTAAATTTCGAGTATAAAAACTTTGATATACACGCTTTGTTTTTCAGCGATCACCTAATGATGGGGCATCATTTTCTACGTAAATTAGGTTTCTTGGAAGCGAAATGAATTCACATCGAAGAAAACATGGAGACATCATTTACAAAATTATGAAATATTCGAAATTCATACTCAATTCGAAGCGACGATTCACATAAAATAGTTTTTTTTCAAATACGAAAAATATCAGTTTTATTAAGTGAAACATATTTCCTGTTTGCTTTGAATGACGCTTCTCATGTCTTTCTGTCTAATTTCATTCTTAAAAAGAAAATTTTTATGTAATATTAAACACTTTTTGAAATTTTGTTTTCATCTTTTTAACGGTTGAGATTTCGAAAATTTGTATTTTCGAACATCAATTCTTCTTTCGATCAACCGTGGTACAACTTTCGTGTTTTTCACATCGACAAAAATTACAGTCCCATGTTTTAATTAAATTTCGTGTGATTTAGTGCTTATTAATTAAAAAAAAATAGATAAAAATGATAATAAGATCATTATAAAACTGATTAAATAAGATTTTTTCTATTACTCATTCATTTCAACGATTTATTTGTGTCCAAATTATGACGAAGGAATTTTCAACTCTAGATTTTTATTAATTTTCGCTTTATTTGTTTTAATTTACATCGCGTTATAAGTTTGTCCAGCTGCAATCCAAACAAAGCAGGTGTTTCATAACATGTCGATGTCGGAACTTATTGAGGAATTTCTATCATCACCATTGATTTGTTGGGTACGTAACTAACTACTTACTTACATTTCTATTTAAAGTGTTGGAGTTAAAAATAAACTTTTGATGGATTATACCAGGTCTTAAAGATTCAGTTGATCAGTTGAGACGAAAAGTCTTCTCTTCATCGTCATTCACTTCTCACAAAAGCAACGACCTCGTTCAAACCTTTCTTTATTCGCTCTATCATACTCGTCTATTTATTTCTTTCCGTTCGTTGTCTCCCAAGTTCTTGTCTGTTTCAAGTTCCAAATTTTAATTAGAGATTATCCGATAATTGGATTCAAAATTTATTTTACCTAAATTCGTCTTAATTTGCTTCATACCATCTTGAAACATTGATTTTTTTTCTATTCATTCATATCTATTTCGGTTTTAAGTCCTTGATGATTCACTTTCGTTCGATATCGTGTTTAATGTGAGCACATAAAATTCCCGCCTCATCACATTTGCATACAATCCCATGATTGACCACCGAAAAGAAAAAAACAAAGGAAATGTTTCATTGAATCCATTAACTTGCTTATAGTCACCGAAGAAATAATAATACATTAAAAGTTGTCGTTTAATATATCAAGAAAACAGCGTTTATTGTTCACATTGAAAGGGAATCATTCGTGGTGTCCGTTTATCTAAAAGAGTTTCAAGGAAAACCCGTCACTTGTCTTTTGAGACAAACAAACAATAAACAACTACGTAGACAAAATATAAAAAAAGCGAAATAAAAAACTGTCGCATGAGACACTAACCAGGAAACGATCCATTTTATAAATTCACCGATGCATAACAATCATACATAGAAAAGTGCTTGGTGCTTGAGTTTTTGTTGTTTCTTCTCTCTTTTTCGCATTGAATTCTAGGTCTGTTCCATTCGCTTTGTCTTATACATTTGCTCTTTTGAACTTGCTTTACATCTAACGATCTAACAAGAAGTGAGGTTTTAATCTAAATATTCATGCGAGAAATGAAGCATAATCGCATAAGTATTATCCATTCTTTTTCTCTCTGTTATGTACATGTAATTTGACCTTAAACCATATTCTAATTGATCATTGTTCACACTACCAGCCAGCAAAATAACTGCAGCATCGAAAGCAGATCATGGGATTGTCTGGTGTTTCTTAATGGGTTAAGACAATGGAATTTACTTTGACTCATTATTACCATCCCGAAATAAAAGAAAAGAATGAGATTATTATCGCAGACGGTTGCAGAAAAATATCAAATTAGTTAACCCATTGTTGAATTAGCGAAAATTTCATCTCACTGTGAGATGATCACGATGGAAATTTATTCCGTAAAATATGCCGCCGTGTTTCATTGTTTCTTGTTTTTCTTGTAACTTTGTAAAGAAATTAATTGCAAATTACCAAAGTTCGTGCCTTTCTTAGAACTGGCGATTGTCGAGCTCATAATAAACATGATCATCATAATAAGTAATTTTCTTTTGCCGTAAGTTGAATTCTACGTCTTCGCTTAATTCAAAAGTAAATGAAATGTGAGTCTGTTTGTAGAAGTAAATATTTATTCGTAAAGTTGCAAGTCTTAGGGCAGTTTTACATTACATTTTTTTATGTTTGTGTTACTTTTCTTTGGTCACCATCTGTTACCGTTTTCTGTTATGCGAGTTTCTTCTATGCTTCGATTAATGGATAAATAAAATGAAATTATGAATTCACGAGAGAACGTCGTCATAAACAATAAACGTAGCTTATGATTAAGTGAGAAATTGTGAATTAATCTTCTTTACACTTTTTTTAAAGCTCGAATCATGTCTGCCAAGGCCAGAGCAACTATCTGGTTATCAATCATTACTCGACGGTCATCTCATTCATTCTGTGTGGCTTCAAATCGATCCCGAACCAGTTCATCATCTTACCAAGATTGTCGACGAAGAAGGCATTCAACTTATGAATGCAAGAAGTCGAAATATTGATGCAATTGTCAAAAATTTAAAGAGTTTATATGAAGAAGAACTTTGTCAGACAGTTTTAATTCTTCCAGACTGTTATGTCATCGGTCAGAATCCAGGTATGCTAATAACAATTTTATATCCTCTTGTGAAGAAATTAACTAATTTCTCCTACAGAATCAAAGCAAGGATTAGAACAAATGAAACTTCTTCTGACACTTTTACTTGGTGCTGCTGTTCAATGTCCTAATAAACAAGTATTTATCGGTCGAATAAAGGAACTTAATTTTGAAATTCAACATGGAATTGTTGAAGTTATCAAACTCGTGACTGACAGTCAAACACTCGTTTTAACTCCTGAGTTTGTTGACAACGTTTCACCTGATAAAATGATCGATCATATTGTAAGACTCGCAAGAGAACGTGACAGATATCACTCGAATTGGATAAGTAGCTTAAACACTGAATCGGAAACAATAACAAATCAAAGTCAGAAAGGAAGTGCAATTAGTTCAAATGTCACATCACCAACAATATCAACTGCTTCAGCTTCGACAACTGAAAGTCAACATTTAGCCGTTGAACTTGCTGATTTGAAATCAAAGATGAGAAAAATTCGACAGGAATTTGAAGAGAAGTCGGAAGGATTAATGGAAGCGAGAGAAGAACTTGAACATACCAGAAATCAATATGAAAAGTTGAAGATGGAAAGTCAAGAATGGTACACGGAAGCGAGACAAGCAGCGACATATCGTGATGAGGTTGACGTTCTCCGTGAAAAAGCAGATCGAGTTGAACGTCTTGAGGTGGAAATTCAAAGATTTCGGGAAAAACTTACAGACGTTGAATTTTATAAATCTCGCTGTGAAGAGTTGCGAGAAGATAATCGAATGCTCTCTGAAATGAAAGAGAATCTTGATGAACAGTTGGAACATGCTAGGAAGCGTTGCGATCAAGTGATGGCACTTGAAAGTGAAATAATCAAATATAAACAAAAGCTTAATGATCTTGCATTGGAACGAGATGTTGATAAGACAAAAATGCAAGATTTATTGGAAGAAAATACTCAACTTCAGTTGACAACGAAGAATCTCATTTCAGGTGCTGAAAAGCAATTAAAATCTGATACTGAAGAAGAAATTCCTTCTGGTGATAACAGTTTATCTGAACAGTTAACAAACAACGCTCAAACCAGAGCATTGAAATTAGAACTTGAGAATCGACGACTTCATGCTGAACTCGACGCATTAAAAGAAACAAATTTCCATGAAAGCTCACAGAAGATCCTCGAACTTGAAAAGGAGAAGAAGAAACTTCAGTTAAAATGTGACCAGCTTCAGGATAACGCTGATCGAATGTGTCAACAAAATCTTGAACTTGAAAGTGTTTTTAAAAATGCTTTGACAGAAAATAAAAAACTTCAAGACATCATCGATTCTAAACAACAACAAATTGAGAAATCGTCGCAAGATAAAGAAATTGAAAGGTTGAAACTTCAAGATTTGGAAACACAAATCGATTCATTAACGAAGGAAAAACAAAGAATTCAAAATCTCAGCGATAGCATACAACGACGTGCAAATGATCTCGAAAAGTCATTGCAAGTGAAAACAAAAGATTTTGATTCGTTGAAGGAACGAACATCTGATTTTGAATCTTTCAAGAAGGAATTAAATGAAATTAGATCAAAATTGGGTTTGGTGGAGAAAGAAAATATCGCACTTAACAAAGAAGTAATCAAAACGAAAGAGAATCTCGAAAAGAAAGAATTAGAAGTTGATGAAAATATTGATGTGATTAAAAAACAAGATTTGAAGCTTAAGCAATTATTTAAAGAGTTGGAAGAAGCTCAACAAAATTTCGAAAAGATTCAAGAACTCGAAAAGAAGAATCAAGAGCTTATTTCACAAAATAAAATTGATATTGAAACCATCAAGACATTACAATCGCAGATGGTGACTGACACAATTGTAGCTGAGAAATTCCAACAGAATCTTGAGAAAATTGGAATTGATAAGTCGGAATTGGATAAAAATGAGTTTAATGTTGAATTTCTTGTTGATAAGTTGGTAAAGAATCCTGAATCTTTTAAAACTGTTCGTGAAATTATGCTCAGCTACAACAAGGAAGTTTCATCAGCTGACATTTGTGTTTTGTGCCACCAGAAGGAAATTTATACAGTCGAGAAAGATATTCAATTTACGCGACTTGAAGAGCTTGATGATAGTAAGGAGAAGATCAAAGAACAATTAGAACACCTTCAAATTGAATATCAAACACTTCAAGAGACATTCGAAGGAATACAAGCGGAAAATGCTCGAAAGAAGGTTGAAGTATCGACAATGGGATCACAAATTTCATCATTGAACGATCAACAAGTTGCACTTCAACTTGCCAATTCACAGTTAGCAGCTGAGAAAGATTGTTTTGTTAAGAAGTTGGAAGGTTTGAAAACACAGCATGATGCGACACTTCAAGATCAAGTGACATTGCAATGTCTGCACGAACAACTCAGTTCTGAATATGATTCTCTTAACAAAGAAAAAGAAATTCTTAAAGTGACGATTCGTGATTTGAAGTTAGAAATGAGAAATCTTAAGGAGCGAACAATGTCGGATGAAAAAATCATCGAAGAACTTCGTTTGGAATTGAAATCACTAAAAGAAGTTTCAGTGAGTTTGAATAATCTTCGAGCTGAACATTCGAAACTTAAAGTTGACTTCCGAAACCTCTTCACAACCAATGAAAGAATGAAACATGAATATAAAAATATTCAAGAACAATATAGAATTATAAGAGGTGAAAATAGTCGCTTGAAAGTTCAAGCAACAGAACAATCTGGTGAAATTAATAATAAACTCGATCACATGACAGCCTTAGAGATTGAATTAACGAAGAGTAAGCAACAGTGTGAAGTAAGTTGACAAAATATTCTCCAATTTGTCCCAATCAATCAATTTTTCTTCCATTTTTAATTCAGATGTTACTACAAATGAATCAATCCCTTGATGCTGATCGACGGACATTAATGGATCATGTATCTCAACTCTTATCTCAATATCATGAACTTTTGACACATTCACTTGAAGATAAACAACATTACCATTCAGAAGAGAAACTTTTTACTGACAAAGTGAATGATTTGAGACGACAGAAGGAAAAACTTGAAGAAAAAATTATGGAACATTATAGGAAACTTGACAATTGTTCGCCAAAAAAGAAACCTATTGTTGCTAACATTGTCAAGAAGGTTCGTAAAGCTGGGTCAGATTTTATGAATAAAACAAAGAATCGACGTTCATGGGTGGAAGATTCACGATTAACACAGTCGCAATTCATTCTTGGCTCAGAATCTGGTGGGAATGAATCTGATAACAGCCTGGAAGAACCAAATTCTGTCGCTTCTGATAATACTCATTTAAGAAGGAATTCACCAATTCGTCAGAGTCTTCCACGAAAGACAAGCGAACAAATTCAAAATGTTCTTATGCGTGGAGGTGTTCGCGGTAGTCTTCAAGCTATCAGGAAAACAGAAGAACAACAAGCCAATCGCAATAGCTTTCAAGGGTAAGAAGAAATGTTAATTATTAGGTAATAGAATTTTATTTAAAAATGTTTATAATTTGTACAGCTTTGAATCACCACCCGATGTGACTTCAAACCTAAGTCTTGGCACAGCTGGATCGCGACGAACAGTTTATTTAGGTCTTACTGAAGAAAACAAATCAGGTGAAGAACCATCAACAAGCAATGGAAATGTTGAAACCTCAGCAGCTGGCGCACCAACATTCTTAATGTATAATAAAATATCAACAACAATAGGTGAAAAGGAGTCACCAACTCCAGGAAGTGCAACAAATGGAACGAATGGGAATGAAAATCAAAAAGCGAAGAGTGATAAGAAGAAAACTGATCAAAAGAATCGTGATGGAACTAATCGCGAAAGTGCGATTTGGTATGAATATGGATGTGTTTAATAATAGTATTAAGGAGAAAAAGAAGAAAAAAACATGCTTTCTAGCTAACTAGTAGTATTAATACTTCAAGAAAAAAAAGTTGCTTGCGAAACGATTGGCCTTCGAATTTTAATATTGACTTTTTAAAGTGCAGCTTGAGATGTAAAAAAACCTGTTTATGGTTTTACTTTATGAAAAATCAAATTGAACTTAAATATGTAGATTATGTACTTAATTAATCTAGGAAATTTAAGCTTTCTTTGCCCAATTGCCCTCGAGTTGTTTTCACACTCAAGTCAAACATGAACAATTGATGAAAAAACAAAAAATAATGCTTTAAATTAGATATGACTTGGAATTTGAATTTTAAATTATTACATTAAAGATTAACAAAGAAGAATTATAAGATTCATTTCGCTTAACGACAGATTAATAAAGGAGATATCATTTTGAATAAAGTGTTTGTTTTTCTCTCATTTATGCATCGAAGTTTTGAACATTTTTTAACGTCTAAAAATTTATTTTAAAAAATTCAATCAGCACCACCTAGCGGGAAATTTATTTGTTGTTATTTGTCGGTAAAAATCGCAAGCAAATTTAATTTCCTGCTTAAAAGTTGATTAAAAGGAAAGTAATATTTCTTGATGGAGCCTTCAGTGGAAGTCGCAATCGTTATCTTTTTTGTCGTTCTTTGTCACCTTCTCATCTTCTACTTTGTCACCAGAAAGAAGAAAAACATTGAAGGTAAACATTATAAAATCACTGGAAAGTAACATTTTCAATAATTTTAAATCATTTAAAGGAAAACATGTTGTTGTGACTGGCGGATCATCAGGCATTGGATTATGGATTGCAATATATGCAGCTCGTTTAGGAGCTGATGTCACAATTGTCGCAAGAAATGTCGAAACATTAAGTAGGTTTGAATTATCGCGGTCTCCACCCAAACAATTCTTATCAGTAAATTACATTCTTATCGCATTTGTAATTTAGAGAAAGCAGTCGCTGTCATCAAAGAAAACTCTGATAAGGAACAAAGTATAGAATATTACTCTTTGGATGTTTCGAAAGGCCAAAAAGAGATCAACGAAGCTTTCACAAAAATTGAAGAGAAATCTGGTGAAATCTACATGCTCGTGAATTGTGCTGGAAAAGCTATATGTGGAATAATTGAAGATACAAAACCAGAAGATGTAAAATTTATGATGGATCTCAATTATTTTGGAACTTTCTATCCAATCCAGTATGTTTTACCAAAGATGAAAGCACAAAAAGATGGAATAATCGTCATCACATCGTCACAAGCAGCTCTCCTAGGAATCTATGGCCTTGGAGCATATTCTGCTTCGAAATTTGCTCTTCGTGGTCTTGCTGAAACTCTCTCAATGGAAACAAAGCATCTTGGAGTAAATGTAACGCTTGCTTTGCCAGCAGACACTGACACGCCAGGATTTGAAGAAGAACAAAAATCGAAACCTCAAGAAACCAAAGAAATATGTGGATCTGGTGGACTTTTCAAACCAGAGGTTGTTGCTGAAGGAATCGTAAGAGATGCTCTAAAAGGAAACTTTTTCTCAATTAAAGGATTTGAAAGTTGGATTTTATCATTGGTCTGTTGTGGCATGTCACCGTGGAAGAATCCATTGCTTGGACTTCTTCAATTCTACACGATGGGTCCATTACGCTTAATAGGATTCATTATTCAATGGAACTTTGCTCGTATCGTAAAGAAGTGTCACAATGTCAAGGAAAAATCAAAATAATCTGTTCATTAGATAACAATAATAAGAATTTGAAACTTATAAAAATAAAAACACAATTTCAGTCATTTATTGTCTAATCACTTACATTTTGATAAGAAAAAGAAAAGTATTTCAACATTTGTTCAAATAAAGCTTAAAATGATTATATTTCCTAACAGTTGCATGTTCATTATCATTGTTTAAGGTTTGTTTTCTTCATCAATGGATTCATTTCAACATCTCTTATCACAGTTGTTGCACCTGGTTTTAAAGGAAGACTCTTTGAGTCATTACTCGTCTTTGAAGTGAAAAATGATTTAAAATAATGAAATGATATCATAAATATTCCCAAAGCAAATATAATAACTCCAATGATTTGTCCTATAAATGGAATATTAAGCGCAAGTTTTATTTGGCTAGCTTTGTCATCATCCATTATGAATTTCTGTTCCACATAAAAGATTGGCATGAAGACTCTTGGAACGTCTTGGTAGAGATTAATATATTCTCCATAATCACGAAGCAAAAGATTTGTTTGAAAGCGTGCCGTCACCTCTAACGTTATTCCTGTCTTTTGATCTAATGTAATAAAATTTTCATGTTTTTCTTTAACTGGATTCATTCCATCAACAGCGTCAATATAAAATTGGTCAGCATTGTAAAAATGTGGTAATGACATGTAAATTGGAAAGTCGTAATTGCATGTTGTTATATTGAATTGCCCCGAGGGCATCACGTCATCTTGATTTGCATAACATTTATTTTCAGGATGAATTGTTCCATTGTCAAGAGCTTTCGATCCAACAGAAAATCGTCTTCCAATTAAACCATGAAGTGTTACTTCTTTTTCATATTCATATGGAATTGACCGACACATTTCCGGTAAGAAAAGATAAATCGATTCGTTTGATGAAGAATTTGGTGGAAAGAATTCTCCAGCAGATCCTTTAAGATTCCTGCATTCGTCTTTGAATTTGGGAAACTCTGACAAATGATTAAAACGTTTTATGCTTCCCAACTCGCTTATATTTTCAGCACCTGTGTTAACATTATAAAGTCCACTCAAATGATTTGTGCGATTTTTCGTTATAAGATATCCAACACGAGTAAAAGGCGTATCATTAGTAAAAATTGTTGATAACTTCACCATGTCATCTTCGTATCCATCAAACAAAAGCTCTTGAATTGTTTTTGTAATGTGAACTTCCTCTTTATAAGTGGAAAATGCCATCGATACAGCTTTCTGACGAAAATATCCCCAATTCTCGGCTTTTTTACCAGCTCCCAATGGTACCATATTTATAGTCGTCCAAATATCAGACAACGAGCCATTGCTTCCATCTGGTTCGAAGAAATACTTGCTAAACATATTATAGCTTACAGTAGAGTTGTGTTCGAAAAATTTGATATTTAATTTATCTGGATGTACACGAAACCGATAAGGTCCAAGTTGTTGGAAATTCGGCTTCGTCGATTTATTTTTAATTTCATGTGGATTTGTCCAATTGAAAACATAAACATCCATATAAAGTGGAATTGTTGGCTTTTTCCATTCTGAATAGGATCGCGATTCTGGCGTTAACACAAAATTCTATTTATAAGAAATATGCCAAATTTAAAATAAATTTTCTTGTCAATAATTAATTCATTTCTAATCATCTACCTTTGTCAGTTGATGTTGGAAGAGTTCTGGGAAAAATAAGAAAATAACTGTTGCCAGTATGATTAAGATGACACCAAACACATGCCAACTGAACCAACAACACTTCGCGCTTGACTCAATTTTATTATTTGTTTTCATTTTGCTTCCAGAATATATTTGCTTATTTATAATTATCGAATAACGTCTGATTCTTTCACTTGAAGTTAACACTTTAAAAGTTCATTTTCAACTTTGAGCTTATAAAAATTACGCTCAATCGTTAAATCACTCAAGTTGAAGTAACTATCGATGTGGGATGATTACAAGTTAAGATTTGTTTGTCCTTTGTTGCACTTTATTTAATTTTTTACTATTGATTATTGAAAGTTACAACATTTTCAAATGAGCTTCTTATTTATCACCATAAAAATTTGTAACTGATAAGATACATTCACAAGTGTTTCAATTTAGTATTTGTCAGAAAGCGATTTGGGTTTAAATTTATTGAAGAACATCTGGCAATGCTTATCAATTTTATCACTTGAAGCTGGATGTTGTAGATGTCAACCTTGATGACATCAAATTATTAATTTCGAATTTTTTTATTTTTTTTATAAGAAACTTCTGAGAAATTTTCACATACATGTGCACACTTTGAAAACTGTTTCACAATGACTCGTCAACATGCATGATTTTCACGATTATTGTTTTTTTTCTACGTAAATTTACCTAATAGCCTTGAGAAGGCTACGGTTTGTTTTGATTAAATATTTTGACGTCTTAACAAATTTTCTGCGATGTTACTCTGACGACTTCCCATAATCAAATGCAAATTTTTATGCTTATTTTTGTCTTTAATACATTTATAGCTATGATTTTATTTTCAAAAAGTTTGTTTCGAGTTTAGAAAATTGTCTGCGTCACTCCTCGATTGAAAACATCGTACGACTAATCACATTTCTTTCAAAAATCATATCTGTGCTCACTTCGTTTAATATTTTTGACCCACAACACAAAATGAGAAGGAAAGAAATGAACAATTCTATTAAGACTCTAATAAGTCATCAATTTTCGAACAAAGAGATTTGCAAGCAATTAAAAAAGAGCAAAGTGTTTCAGTTTTTGAATATTAATGACACGATTAGAGAAATGTGCAAAATAAATGCGAATATATTTACTTGCTTCTCTATAATCACACTTCTCACTTACTTATAAGACAATTTAACCGATCATTATTTACTCAAAATGCTGATCAACAGCTTTTCATACCGATCGAGTTAAATTACATGAACAAGTTCATTTCGTTTATTTTTCTTCTACATGCACACAACTATTGGTTATCAATTAATAATGCATTACTTAGATAGATAGCAGAATGTAACCTTTGACTGTCTACAAAATAGATTTACTGTTGCGTTACAAAGAAATTAAGTATTTTGAAAAATGAAAATCTCTTTATGTATTCACAGACTACACAGACTTCCTTATTGATTCATTGAGAAATCAAATTTTATTACATTTATCGTCGCCCTTTAAAAGATGTTTTGGTCAAGTCAAGAAGAATTTAACGTTTGATAATAGAGAAAACCTTGATTTAGTTGAATACATCTGCTTTATTAGTCTCAAGTTTATCATAAATCAGCTATTGTCACATGTTATATATGTCTTGTATAAAAGCATGGACTCTCCTCATATAATCAAGCTTTTGTTTCATTATTAGGTATTTGTAACTTGATCAAAAATTGGTAAATAAAGATTCAGTAGAAAACATTTTTCATTTTGTAAAGGAGATTTACCGGATTAATTAATATGAAAATTTTTAAAGCCACTTGTGATAACAAAAACCAAATATTGTTATTATAAATTGAACTTATCATCAGTAAAATCATTTTCCAATATTCAACACATAAAGAAAATAAATTAATCTGACATTTTGAGTGGAACTGTTGTGTCAACCCAAACCAGAACACTATGCTGTAATGGAAACATATCAATGAGTTTCAAGTAATATCCTTTCTCTTGTAGATCACTCGATGAATATAAACCCAATATTTCTGTTGGCTCTAGAAACGTTTCTGATTTATAAACTGATGTCAGAAAATTTGTAAAGGCTGCTGTGTTGTTACCGATTTGAGAAAATGCTGAAGGCGTTTGTGGCGTTGGTGGGATTTCATTGAAATGGAATTCTGGAATCCCATATCGAGTTCCCCAAGCAAGAATCACGTTACAATCAGTAAATGCGATTGTATAAGTTGAACCTAACTTCACTTTCTGATAAAATAACAAACGCTAGAAATGAACAGGAAGTTAACAGACTTAATTTACTTACCTGAATGAATTTATCAGCAACATTTTTGACAAATGAAGGTTCTTTTGAGATATCCTTTGTATGGCCCAAACCAAGTTGGCCTTCTTTGTTGTCTCCCATTGTTAACACATAACCACCCGCAATTACAAATGCAGAGTTATTTTGAGACACACTCAAATCGACAACTTTCTTCTTAAGACAAGAAATTTTTTTCTTAAATTTAAAGTTGAAGATAAAAGAATTTTTCTTTTAAAGAATTTTTCATGATAAACTTACAAAAGAATCAATTTTCTCAGTATTCCTTCCAAAACCAAAACGATTGCAATTATTTCTTCCGCAAGCATAAACCGTGCCATCATGAAGTAAAATCAAAGAACAATCAGGTCCACAGAAAATCTTCTTAATTTCCTTAACATTTGATGACAAATTCACTTTCAAAGGTATGGATGAAGAGTTCAATTTTCCTTGACCTAACGCTCCAAAATCATTGTGGCCCCATGAAAATAAAATTTCATTTTCATCGAGAGCCAACACATGTGATGTGTCACTTGATATTTGCGTGATCATAATATCATAAAACTTTTCTGAAAAATTTCATAAAAATTGTGTTATAAGATATCCAATTATTTAGATTATTAATACAATCCATTATACCTATCGCTTTTGGAACCATATATGAGCCATAATTTTTATTTCCAAGACATCCTCTGCTATTATCACCGCAACTTAAAACGACTCCATAGTTTGATATGAAAATAGAAAATCCCTCCCCAGCACATGATTCAACAATTTTATAACGATTTAAGGAATCGATTTTCGTTGCAAAATGTTTCCATGATGTTTCAATATTTTGTCCAAGTTGTCCTTTAGTGTTGTCACCCCAACAGTAAACGCTTCCCTCTTACATTAGAATTATTTTTAAAATAAAATTCAATTGAATTCAAATAATTAAGAAAATCATAAAATGTCAACGTTACCTTCAGTTACAACTATAAAGTGTGAGCCACTGCTTGAAACTTGTCTAATTTTGCATGTCGATGGCAATTGAATTGGATCAAGTGAGAAATTATTTCCAAACGACTTCATCTGATACAAAACCGATCGTTCACTAAGAATTAAATCTTTCATCGTTGCTGTTGATGTTTCAAGATACTCGCAACTAGAAGTCGGTCCAAAGATTTGCATCGATTTCAATGTGTTCTCGAGTTCTTCGTCATTTGCTGGATATGAATATCCTTCGAGCTTTCCAAGGTTCTGATACACAAGTGGGATGTAAAACTTCAATACGTCACTTGATGTAGGACGATCTTGGGGATTGATTTGCAGTAAAATCTTTAGCAAATATTTCAGATCTTTTGAATATCCTTCAGGCAATGGAAGATATTGTGCGTTCATAATTTTCTTAACTAATTCAGATAAGTTTGAAGCACTGAATGTTTTCTGTTTGCAACACATCTCCCCCAAAACACATCCTAGCGCCCACACATCCGACTTCTCATCATATTCTTTTCCTTCACACATTTCTGGTGAAAAGTAATATGGAGTTCCCAAAATAGTTTGAGCGTGAACTTTGGTATTCATTATCTTCGATATTCCGAAGTCACCAATTTTGACAATGCCACGTTTTAGAAAAACATTTGCCGTCTTCAAATCTCGATGGAGAATGTTTTCGTTGTGCATGTAGGTAATGGCGCTAACTGTTTGTTCAAAGACATTCAGTATGTAACGTTCAGGTAAAAACTCAGTGGTTTCGTTAATGACTTGTGCGAGATTTCCCTCATCTGCATATTCCATTTCTATAAAAAGAATTTCCCCTCGAATGAAACTTCCATAGTATGAAATTATGTTTGGATGATGAAGCTTAGAAAAGACGTCAACTTCATTCATGGCAAGTTCTCTTTCACCACCCGTCAAGTCCATTAAATTAATTTGTTTCAAGACTACTAAGATGCCATCATTTATTCGTTTATAAAGACATGCAACTCCAAAACTTCCTCTTCCAACTGTTTTGATGTACTTGAACGATCGTTCATATTCTGGTAACTCGACGCTCACAAGGTCCAATTCAATGTCAGAAATTTTCCGACTTTTCCTAGAATTTAAGCTACTGTGGGTTTCCAAATAATCTTTAAATCTTGACAATGTCGAAAGATTCGATGATTGGCTTGTTGAACTGCTTTCATCGCTGAGTGAAAATGGTTTCTTTGTAATAAGAGTTTCACGAGACATTCTCAACTTTAACTATTAAAGATTTTTTCGAAAAGCTTTCAATGCAAAGATGTGAAACAAAATCAATCAGAAAAGGATTTGTGATGGAATTTATTATTGCCATGGAATCGAACGTTATGTCCACGCATGATTAGATTCATTATGAATATTGACACTCTACATGAAGTAATCATAAATCATAAAATATTCATTCACCTGTTGCTTCAAGTAATTAGTTTCATACTCCGTTTCAGGATTGAAGTCATACTGCATTTCATCATCATACTGCATGATAAGTTTCATGCTCAACTACAAATACAAACCTATAAACGATCTTCTTACTTTCTTTCATTGCCATGTACGCTATACGATGAATTCAAGTTCATTTTCTTTTAAAATTGGTGTGTTAGTTCTACCTGAGATGCGAGATAGTTCGGAAGACGATTTTAAAAATCAGCTGAGAAATAAAAATATTTAAGAAGATATTTTAATAAATTTAAGTGTTAAATCTCGAAAGTTTATCCAAGAAGTCAACGTTTATCCAAGAAAAGTTTGAATTGTATAAAAAGTTAGTAGAATGTCTGAAACTATTTAGCACATTACTTGCCTATAACAAATCCAAAGAAGAAAGTTAACGGTTGTTGTTCATTTCTTTACGTCATCATTCTCAACAAGAAAATCCGAGAAAGAATTGAGAGAGAGATCAACATCGAGACCATGTAATTGTGTCACTAGTCAACAGAAATTGGGACATGTGTAGAAATAAAGATTCAAAATCTCTTTTCCAACTTGTTGACTTTCAGTGATTCATTTATTATTTCGATCACCTTAAATTTTATTTTCGCTGAATAAGATTACGTGTAGTAACTTTTGATTAAAAACTTTCTTTCAAATTCTCTTTTTAGTTTATAAAAATGGGTGAAAAATTGTCACCAACTACAACTGCAAACAATTCCAAATCGAAGGACAATAAATCCAACAAAAAGAATGGAACAAAGAATATTACCAGTGTGTATGATTCACGAGGCTTTGAATTCTCCCGACCAGTAACAAAACATGAAAATATTTATCCACAATTACCGGAACAGAAGTCACTACTTGTAGCTTATCTGCTTTGGTTCTTTGGTGGATTTTTTGGACTTCATCACATTTATCTTCATCGTGATCGACATGCATTCGTATGGTGGTGTACATTAGGAGGATATTTCGGTTTAGGATGGCTTTTTGAAGTGTTTAAAATTCCCGAATATGTACGAGATGCAAATGAAGATCCCGAATTCATCAGTAAGTTTGTTACAAAAATGAGAATGTACAGGAAACCCGAATTTTCTACAACAAGATTTCTCGGTGAAATTATGATGAGTTACTTATTTGGCCAACTCGTAATGATTGCAATTCCTGAGGATGAGTTTATGGGAATAAATTTTAGATTTTTGCTTTGGACAATTCCTTTCTTCTCAGCATTGGGTGTGTGGATTGTTGGAAATATTGGACGAGAGAGAGGAGTTTTCTGGCATTGTTTAATCGTTGCCTATATTGTTTATCCTCTACGATATTTTGTGTACGATGAAACCTATTGGTTCACTGCCATGGTGTTTGCATCTGCACTTTCATTTGAACAATTTTCGAAGCAATGGCGACGTGAACCTCCGAAACGACATGGAGCTTTACGAAGAACTATTGTCTTGTCTACTTGTGTGATGCTTTACCTCTCATTGTGGACTGGATATTTTTACTTCAATGGAAAAATCACCGACAGTGAAGGAGACGAAGTGCCGGTACATGAAGCAATTAAAAACTTTTTGAAGTCACCTTGGTGGACGGATCTTAAGCAGACGTTCATCGACACATGGAGGTTCGCGAAGCACAATGGGTGGTATGAAACGTGGAAACAAATTGTTGATTCGATAGATGCTGATGGAGAGCAGAACGCTTACAAAGTTCTTGGCGTAGATCCAACATCAACGCAAAGTGAAATTACAAGCATCTGGCGAAAAATGTCACGAGAATTTCACCCAGATAAGGTGAAAGATGAGAAATTACAACGAGCAGCACAAGAAAAGTTTATGGAGATTCAACAAGCTTATGAGATAATTTCAAAGATCAAATCAAAACGTAGATCGCGTAATAAGAAGTTTGATGATGATCAAGATGTCAAAATTGAACTCTGAAAGTCATAAAAAATATGTTTTATTAAAGTCATGTCTCGTTTTTGTTTTTCTCTCCATTACATTTCTTTATTTATTTTCAAATGTTTTAAGACATATTTTGATTGAAGTTTGTCAAAAGATCTTTGCAATTATAAGTTTATTTTCATCTTTATAAATGAAGAATAAAGGTTTGTTAAAAAACAAAATCTATTCAGATATCGCTTGGCAATAACGACGAAAATATCTTATGTAATTTAACTTTAATAGATATTAAATATTTAGTAATCATAAAAGGTAAAAATACTGAAGGAAGAAGAGTTTTCCTAAATATTAAAAGAAAAGTTAAATAAATAACATGAATGCATGAAATGTCTAGACTCATTTGAATGAAGCTTTAATCAATGAATTGCAGAGCTTTTCATAATTTCCATCCGTTCCAAAAATAATTCATGATATTTTCAGCTACTCAATAGAAAAAAAGGTTTGACGTTACAGTGCTTATAAAGATTCGAAGACGTTGAAAATATTTCATAAATTTCATGAAGTGGTGTCTCAGTCTTGAGCTCAGAAACAGAAGAATGTGTGATGTTATTTAGTTCAACTTTAAATCTGTAACTTTCAACAGATCTGAATTGATATTAATTTTAAATTTCTTCCAAATAAATTATAAGCTTTTAAGTCTAGACTACCTACATTGAATTTTTAAGGTAAATAATTTTCTATCAAACTATTTTTTCGTTTAAATATTTCGTTTCAACATTTGGAAAGTTTTACTTTGACTATAATCAGTAATTCAAAATTGTAGAGAGTTTTTCTTTTAAAACTAATTTAATTAAATGTAGGACGATGATGACAAAAATTGTGATTTCTTATGAAACTAGAAAAATGATTAAAGATTTAACTAATAAGAATACGACTCAGTGTTGACCACATCTTTAACTTTTCCCCCACTCATCAGTCCTTTTGACTTCTCAGCTAGAACTTTCTTTAAACCCATCGACTTTTTGGTGACTTTCTTGCCATTCTCGGGTACAGGCTCAGGTGTTGGTAAATTTTCAAGTTTCTTAATTAAATTGTTGTTGTTTGCGTACGTGACTTCAAGTCTAATTGAAAATTGATGTTTTTCGTGTAAAAAATAATACAAATAAAAAGAAAATAAGAATAACTAAATATCTAAATAAATCTTTAATGATAAAATAGAATAAAATCAATCAAAGAATTTGTTTATAAAAATAAGATGTGAACATATTCCTATAGTATTAAAATATTCTTTGATCCTCACTTTGGCACTTCAAGAGGCCGACAAAAGCTTTTGATGATTTGTTTACTTGATGCATTGACGGCAGGTCCACTTCCCACACATAAAGCTGCAGCAGTCAAGTAATTAACGATATCACCATTAAATTTTTCATCGCCTTTGTTATCAGCAACATTTACAAATCCATTGTGAGGTTTGGCATCCTTTTGCTTATCTTTGAGAGAAAAGCCGAAAGGGAAAACTTTTCGGAATTTCGATCGAAATCCTAGAGTGAAAGTATGATAATTACAAAACGAAGTTTTTTCAATTAAATAAACTACCTCCTGAATGACTAGTCTGTTGTTGATGTTGATGATTAATTATATTTCCATTTTGCTGTGAGACTGAAGAAGTCGTCTTACTTCTCGGAATCGAATCGTGATTCCATTTATTCGAAGCTGTTTTTTCCAAGAGTTTTGAGCGTGCTGATGTTTCTATCATTTCAGCTGTCTGGTGTCGTCCACAATAGCGGGCCCACTGATCAGCTCTGAAGCCTCTTGATGGATCAGTTAATGTTGCTGACGCTCCTATCATTGTGTAATTAATCCACAATAAAAAAAAATAAAGGAAAAATGAAGTAATGGATAAAAAAGTATTTGACATTCACAGCGATACCAAAAATAGGAAGTTGACATAGAAGGAAATTGTTTAAGTTTATTTACCAGCGAAAAGTAAAAGTTTTGCCGATTTTGTTCGTCCCTGTAGTGCTGCCTTCATCAAGGGCGTGAATCCCAAATTATTTTTTGCGTCAATATTAATTCCTTTGGACTTGGTCAACAGCATATTTACGATTTCTGTTTGACCTGAAAATGGATTTATGAGCATAGATGTTTAATGATTTTAATAAAGCTATTGAGTTTCTTGTTGCTCCTTCGTCACGTTTTGCCAGTTATTAAATATCATTTAAATTAAATCTGTTAACAAATGAATCAAACAGAATATTTGACAGAACAATTTCAATTCTCAATAAATTTCTTCTATTCAAATTGATTTAGAAAACTAATCAATATTATTGTAATTAAATAGTTCAATATGCCTTTGAGCTGACAACTCAATAATTATATTGCTCTGATTGAATCTCTACAACTTGTACCTTATTAACATTGCTTTCATTAAAAATTCATTACTTAAATGCACATTTTGTTTATTTAAAAGTTTTTCCAAGTAATTGTGGAAAGTTTCGTATTCAAATTTTAATTACCTGCTTGAGCTGCAAAATGTAGCGGAGTATTTCCTTCATTGTCTGCTTTATTTACGTCAACTCCAGGTAAATGCAAGAAGAGTTCAAGAAAGTTGGTTAAATTTGTTGAGCAAATGTAGGACAAAGCAGTCTAAAAAAATTATTTTCAACAATTAATCTTTTAATGCTGTATAAGTTGTAACTTTAAAACTTTAGGTATTCTTAAAAAATTTAACTCGATTTCAGAATGAGAGTTCTTTATCTGTCTGTTTTCTTTTATATCATAGCATCATTTGAATGAAGATAAAAAATTTTCACAAGAGAATAAAAACGTTTGAAATGGAAAAGTCTTTGAGCCTTCCCCTTCTGACTAAAAAATAAAACAAAAACAATGGGAAACGGTCAGAAAGTTTTCGTGGCTATGTAGTAGGAAAAATGGAATTAAAAAACGAATAAGAAGCTAATCTAACAATGTAAAAGCTGTTTTCATATGTTTAAACATGTATGGTGCCACAAGTCAGGTTTCAGTTTTTCACTTTTTTTTCTTTAAAACTGTGGTGTAAATTTTCAATATAACTTCGAAAAAAAATAAACAAAAGATTTGCTTACGCATCTGTTTCGAGATAATTTTATGGTTTTGTGTGCGATGTTTGTATGTACATGAGTTGTTGATTCAACAACCTTGAATTTCTGAATTTTCTATTACTCAACAATTTTTGGCGCCTGCAGACGAATGATTAACTTACCCTTCCACTTTTATCAGTTGAATTAAGTTCCTTTCCTGTGATTCCATTTTCCAAAATATCTTTAAAACAGTCTTTTAGTTGTAATTCGTTACAGCTTCGAGAAGCTCGAAGAAGCTTTGACACTACTTCCACCTGATCCAGACTCATTTTGAATGCTTTAAGGCGAGCGGACAGGAGAGAACTGCTGCTTGTGAAAATAATTGAAAATAAAATTTTATTGTAAGTTTATTTTAGGATAAATTTCTAAGAATAAAACTAAAGGAAAGCTGGCTATAACGGAAGAAAAACAAAATATTTTTGGTAAACTTTAACCATTTCTTTCGAATAAGTCAAAATATCATAGCCGAGGCGGAAAATATAAACATAAGAAGTTCATTTTCTGTTTCTACAATTTGGTCATTTTGCTTTTGATCTTTTTAAACTTTTTTTCCTACATTTTTTTTAAGGCTAAATAGAATTTTACTATTGAATCATTCGGCAAAAATTCTTCCTATTTTAAGTACAAAATTATGAATTGAATAATTTCATTGAACTTTGAAATTTAAAGCCATACGATTCATAAGAAAACGATACTTTTTATAAATTCTGATACAATTTTTGCTGTCAATACGAAAATCTATCATAAACAAATAATTTTATTCAAGATATATTAACCGGAATTTGCAAATTCATTGATACAATTTGTATATCATTTTTTCTTAATTTAGATCTGAATCAATTTTTTTGCAAATCTTACTTCATAATCATTGATTAGATGTTTTCTTCTGATTGGAATAAGTTAGATTAACTAATATTCTATATTTTCGAAACTAAATTTCAATTTATTATAATTTAAATGGAGACATTGTTGAAATGTTCTTTGTTTGATATTTTTTAGTGATAATAAGTAATGGACGTTAAAAATAATTTGACGCTCATAGTCTTCTCAAATTCACACCTTTTCAAATTTTCGCCTCCGCGTTTCGCAGATTTTATTCACATAATTATTTCAAATTTTCCACTCGAAGTGTCTATAAGAAAAGATTTTTCCATTGTTTTAAACTTAATTGAGAAATATTATATTGCTGGCAATCTTTCAAAGTGAAATGAGAATTTATTAATAATAAAACTAAATTTACTTATTTTCATCTCTTTTCATTGTCTATCAAATTACATTTAACATTTGCGCAACTTTCTTTGGATTCTGTTTCATCATTTTTCGCTCTGTTTGAGTCTGATTTTTCTTTTAAATGTCTTTTGAAGAAGAAAGATAAATATATTTAGATACTTATGATTGACAGAAATATTCTTCCTGGAAGTGAAATATCAACATAATTATTTATGCTCAATTAATTCACATTTGCGTCTGATCAAATTCTGAAGCATTCAATGAACTTTTCCCAGGTGAATTATATTTGACATACTTAATCGACTGACGAATCGATAATTGAAACATCGATAAATAATAACTATTTAATCCCAATTGGCAAGAAATCGTATAAAACACGAATAATAAAAAATCGAAAGATAAAAATAGCTTTGACAGAAATGGGGTGAATGGGTTAATACTTTATCGCATAAAAAAATTAGGTCATATGTTTATGATTTGATTATTGAACACTTTTCTGATAAAAAAGCTTTCATAATATTTTTCATCCACGTGTTTAACTTATTAAGAATTATTCATCATAAACAATGCTGTGAGCACGAGTTTCTTGTGGCTTGTGACGCAACACTGTCTAATATTGAAGCTTTCATTATCTATTTCATACTTAAGTCTACATTTTCCTCACACGCTTGAGAATATATTATGCTGTCTTGAGTCTTGTTTAAAAATAGAATATGTTTACAAAACTTTGACGGAATGTTCGATGATCTCAATCTCAAGAAAGAACTAAAGAAATTAGCTTGTAAACTAAGTGATCTCGATATATACTGTCATTGTTATTCTCATGGTGCAATAGGTCATTAACCGCAAATACAACCAATCGACAAGTCACATTTTTAAGCCTTTGAAAAATAAAATTCCATTTAAATCCTAGAAATTCTATCAACTTTTCGATGAACGTATGCAAGCTTATTTTTCCACATTCTTTTTTTTGTTCTCACTGTTTATTATTATTATTTTTATTTTACAGTATTCACATACAATAAAATTGAAAGCAAATAAATTTCTAGCTTGTCATCGCTGCCACATTTCAAAGAATTACAAGATGTGCTTGTGAATTGAAAATGGGTCGGTGACTTTTTATTATAAGTTATTTATTTGACAGTCATTTGAGACAGAAGGATCGTTATAATTGAAAGTATCCATGATACGTAAGTTTAAATAGGAAGTTGAAAAAAATATACTTACACACACGAAAGTCACAATTGCATTTTCTAAACATTTTTGTGTTCGTTAATCTTTTTGTTTTGAAATTTGAAATTATTTTAGAGACATTTAATGGATGAAACTTTGTAAGAATGCCTCCTGATGCGTGATAAATATTGGCTAAGTATCACTTCGCTCATGCCAACAACTAACCAAAATGCATCTTTATAGCTAGATATTTATATAAATGCCAATCAATTTAATTTCGCATAAAATTTCAAGACGAAAAACTTATTTTTAAATCTAATGGACCATTAACAAAAAGCTTTAAAAATTTTATTTTTTCTTTTTGAAACTTTCCAGATTTATCCCTGAATCGATTACGACTTGAAGAAAAACAAGAAAATCAATTATAAACTATGGTGAAAAACATACATTTCAAATAAAAAGGTGTTGAAATCAATTGACAAATTAACTTGACTTGAAAAGCATTACAAGTAAGGGAAATTCTCATGAATTGGTGAGATATCTTTGGAAAACTATCTGTCTATAAATTAAACACTTTTACATTTCCTATTGTGAAGAAATAATAATAATAGCTTAAATAATTAAAACATGCTCGACTTTAATTAATTCATTTTATTGTACCTAGACTAATAAAAAACGAAAGTTAATAAAAAAAAACATCCGTAATTAATGACTTTACTCGTTTTCAAAGACTAACTCATGGATAAAGTTGCATGTTTAATTAAAAAAAAAGCATAGGGGTTACAACTGTTTAACACCTTCACATTGAGAATCGATTATTAAATAAGCATAGAGTTGAAATTTTCCACATGGAAAAGTTTATTACTATTTTTGTTTTTCAGCTTCTAGTTGATGCTAAGTAAAATATTGAAAACTCTCTTATGTTGTTGACTCTTTTGACCAGTTTCGACCTCATAAAATTCACCACATCAATGTTTCATCGGAAAGCAATTTATTATAGAACGAAAATAAGCGCAATACATTTATTTTTCAAATTATATATGAGGGAAGAATCGGTAACGACATGAAAGTCTTTTTGCAAGTCAGTTACACGATTTATTGATCATCCAAGGTTTTTTTATTCGACATCACGGTAGGCTTATCAAACGATACTGTCATATTGTTAAACATTTAAAATGCTTTGTGCCTTGTGATCAGTGTTAAAGTAACATTGAAATTTATAATAACTTACACTTCACTGAGTTCACATTTAAATTTCATAACACGTTCTAAATATTTTTCCATAACATGCCTTCCATTTTTTTTTATTATTTGTTTACTAAAAATAACTAAAGAAACGTATGATTGGCATCTTAATTGTCGCATTTTGCACATTGTGGTTTAATGTGCCAAGAAACGTTTCAAAGACACAAAGAGCGTTGATTTCTTTTATTGTTAAAAGAGAATTTGCGGAAGTTTCCTTTAAAGTTATTTGACACGTATCTGCATTTTGAAATTTCATTAATCTTTTAAGCAATTATCTAAAGAATTCGACGTGGAATTAAATTTAATATTGTCAAGATGTCATGTATGTAAAGCGCACATCCTTATTTCATAATAACCTAATCAGACTTCAATTAAGTGAAGTAAATTCCATTATTCTGATTATTACATGCTCATAACTTAATCACATTAATCAATGCTCAATAAAGCAGACACAAAATATTAAATAATATCATTTTATACTTGATATTATTTATTGTCTCAGTAATTTGTAATTTAAAGAAAAGTTTTATTAAAACTTTTAAAAAAGTTTTCAATGTTGAATCGCAACAAATTACCTACTTCTGGTGAGATTGACTTGATAACAAACAGTAATGTCAAAGTTTTTCTCTCATAATTTTATTTCTTCAGTCGGTTGTTTTGAAATGAGGTCACTATATTGTGCAATCCTTCCTTGAAGTACTTAGTTATGTAAATTGAAAACATTTTTGAAAAATTAAAGTTATGTTGGTTGTTAGGATTTTCAAGTTGTTTGGAGAAAAACACAAATTAAACACGCACAAAGATTAACAATAAGTTACAATTTATAGTAACAAGGAAGTAAATGTTCATTCATATGCGGTTGTATGTTTAGATATTTCTACATGAACTACATTAAGATTAATTAAATTATTACGATTTCTTGAGAAAAGAACACGTTTTATGCATGCTGTGACTGCCAAAAGAATTCTGATAGTAAATATCAATTCAATGTTTCATTTTGTTGTACATTCATGTCTTCCATCACAATTTATATCACAGGAATTAATTAACGATATCATGGTGGCCGCACTTTTTTAAATAATATTAAGTGAGGTGACAGGATGAAAAAGAAAATTATCACATGTTGCTGATTGTAACATAAATCACCACCCGCGTGCATTCTCATAGTTTTATTTGATAATTAGGTAATTAATCTCGGTCAAGAAATTAAACAGAGCGAGAATCTCTTAACGACAACTTATTTTTTCTGTTTATTATGTACTCGATCTGATAAACTTTGTTGTTTTTCCTACAAGATTATTTTCCTCGTTCACTGTTTTCTTTAGAAAACTTTTAAATAAATCATTTTCTTGTATCTTTTCTTTTTCTGATCTCAATATATATCTTTTGTTATTGAAATGCGAGTCTGATCGCAAAAACGTTTTTTTTTGGCTTTCAAACGCATAAAAAGAAAATTTCCTCTCGTCCATTCTACCCGAGAGTTTTTTTATTCTTCATTCGAGAGTTTTCGCGTATTTTTAGAAGATGATCTTTCGAAAGATCAAAAGTTAACATGAAAATCTTTGAAAAAGATTAAATTACCTTGCAATTGCGTAAATGAACTTCGATAATCAATGATAATAGTCGATAATTAATATTCTTAGCTTATCCGGCTCACTTTTAAATTTTTCAATTTGTATACAGATCAAAATTCAAACAAAAGCCAAAGTGACTTATTTTTAAGAATTGTGTAATAAATCTTATGAAAAATTTTCCACTTCAATTTTCACTGTTTGAATTTTCTTTCTTTTCCACACTTTTCTTCTCTTATTCTCAATAAATTATTAATTAAGATAGTTTTATCAGCAAATTTATTTGTTCACTTTCAAACCAACGGTTGAACTTTGACTACAATCAATCCTTGCTCTATGGGGGTTTTTAAGCGACTAACCTTTTCGAGTCCGAATTTTTGAATGAGCATCGGCTTGGAACTGCGAATAAGAAGACAAATTTGTTAAAAACAGAGAATGAGAATGAAAGTGTCGGCGAGAGTGTAAATATTATTCAAATCAAGGGGTGACTCATGATAAATTTTTATGAACTTTTAAAATGTATTGAAGGAAACATTTTTCTAATTTTCTATTTTAAATAAAATTCTTTTACAAAGTTTAATAAATGAGTAAAACACATTTTTAGTTGCATGAATCACCCCTTGATCGAAATGTTAGCAAGAGAATATTGAGAAACAATCGAAGGAGAGTGAAACGTGTTTACTTCTCTGTTTCCTTAATATTCTTGGTAAGCATGAAGTAATGTAATCCTAAATATTATGAATAAAAATAAAGATAGATTTGGTTACATCACATGGATGAAAATCTAATATGTGTAGCTTTAAATAGTGGAAAAGTTATCTATGCAATGATAACCTCGTTAAAGTAGGGCCAAATTGTTTAATAAATCACTCAATAATTAAACATTACAATATTTCTTTCTAACTTGAAAATTGATTGCTTCTATTGATTGATTTCCCTTGACATTTGATACAAGTTTGAAGCATTAGCTAAATTTTATAATTGAGATTGAAAACAATTTGAATTCTTAAAAAGGAGCTCGCTTTCTTTGGTTTCTAGATTCTCAATTAAATCTTCTCATACATATTTTTTAGGTATGCATACCTATGAATTCTTTGAGGATTGGGAGGGAAAATCATGTAAATTTATTAGATTTTAACTCAAAACGGATTTGATTTTTAAAATAAATGATAGATAAACAATAATTTCTCGTTCATAAATCGCACTCTCAATTGACCTTTAAAAAAGAAACTTGATTTACATGATGAATTTCGGAAAATTTCATCAATTTTCCTATTGCCTGCTATTCGACTAGCTCTCCACTTGTTGACAAATTCAAGAAATTCCTCAAGATTTCCACTATTGTTTGGTGCAGTTTTTAATCTATCCTCGCATGTATCGGCAACGTTTCTCAATTTCTTACGATTCATTTCTGAACTTTCCAAAGATGGCGCTAGTTTAACAAAAGAGAAATTTCGTTAAAGAAATTAAATTCGGAGCTTTTAAAGCAAGAATTTCTTACCTAATGTGGCTGTGTAATCTGGAATTTTCAAAGAATTTGAGGTTGTCGTCTTCTTCTTAGTTGAACTTTTTCCATTTGGCGACTCTGCATGTTTCAGAACAGTGGTTTTGATTTTAAAGCTATTTGGATCTCTCAAATCTTCACTTGATTTAAATTGCTTAAACTTTCTAATCGGTTTTCCTTTATTTTCTATATGGGCACTTTCTTGACATTCAACATCAAATTCTTCAAGACTTGAAGATTTTCTTTCGATTATCGGTGATGTATTTGAAGGTCTTCCATAATTGCTTCTAAGTGTTTTATTTTGTCGTTGTCTGCTGTTCACTTCACTTGACGCTGTTGATACTGGCGTTAAATTTTGAACAGAATCCTTAATGTCTGTCATTGAAACTGGTCTGTTGTTTAAAGATACTTTGTGTTGTGATGATTCCTGCAGTGGAAAGGAACATCCATTTGTTTTTAAATTCGATTTAACTGCACCATTTGTCTCATTTTTGTCATTTATTTTTACTGCGTCATTTGTGGAATGAATAGAAGAAGTCACATTTATTAAAGTTCCATTGACATATTTTGACGTGCCATGAAGAGTTCTTCTGTCTTGAGTGTTAAACGTCAATTTAGCTTCTGGTAGTGAAAAGCGAACACGTCGAGAACTTTTTTCAGACGATGACGTCAAATTCATCTTTAATTACATCAAAAGTTTCCTTAAACGAAAGAAAAGGAAAAAAGCATAAAAATGAAGTATTGAGATTGATCCATATTCCATGGTAATCAAGAACAGTCCACTATTTGACGTACACATGGAATACATCACAGCTCATATCTTTAACTTTATATTGAATCATGGAATAAGAATAAAAGAAGGAAACTTTTCCATTTTCATTTTCGCAATAAAAGCAGACAATCAACAAGTGCTTCTTGTCTTTGACTTCTATTCATAGAGTGTCACAAAAACTTATGAAGTGTAAAGAAAGGGGAGTCGGCTGAATGGCGTGACTTGGCATAATAAAAATAGAATACAATAACAAAGTTGAGAGGAAGTTTATCTTTCCCGTCATAAAATACAACTTCGCAGTATAGATTGAAAGCATTTTAATACAAGAAAAATGTGTTTTCTTTTTTTTGGCATTTTCTTAGTAAAGCATTTGGTAGTAACGTCAGCAGAGCAACGAAATATTTATCTACGGGATATTACGAAAACAAACAGAAGAATGACTTTTTGAACAAAAGATTGAATAAGTGACATTTTTTCAAGATTTTTCTCTCTTTTTCCGTCTATGAAAACATTAAAAAGTTTCAGAGTTTTTTCTCGATTTCACGCGTCGAAAGTGGGTTAAGCATCCTATAACTTTCATCATTTATAACGAGGCTCTTGTGTCAAGATGTTTTTCTTTTATCAATCAATCTACACAAAATATCTTTCAACTTTTTTTCTCTCTAAAGATCATAACTACACTGTCAGGTGTCGAATTAAGCAATAATTTTGAAAAGGGATGACGTTAAATGCGGACATTTAGTAAAATTTTCCACTTCAATGACAATTCACGATGCTACTTTTTTGTTTGAATTTAAAGATCTTCTGACTTTCGCAACAAATTATCGCTGTGGGATATAAAAAAACATTAACTGTGGGAAAATAACCGTTCGACATTATTAAATCAATAGTTCAAAAATACTTTTTCACCTATCAAAGAAAACAGAAAATCTTCTAACATTTATTGTAAAAATCAATGGTGAAGTGAGGGATGACTTGTTACTTGTTTTTTAAGTGCGGAGAAATTTATTTGATGATTTCCCATTTTTAAAAACCTCGACTTTTGTGCACAGGTGTATATAAATAAATAAGCTCAAGACCAGACAGATGTCTTTAATAATGAAGTTTCAAGGATGAGATCATGAAAACAAGTGTTGGTTATAACGTATTGATTTATAACAAGGTAGAAATCATTGATGGATGAAAAAAATCGATAAGAATTTAATATTATAAATAGAACTAGATAAATGACATCACTGAACTTTTAAGGCATGAAAATTTTCTAGATGAATGATAAAAGAAAGCTTTTAAGTGTAACGATAATTGAAGCGTTATGAAATTTTGTAAATATCATCTCAGCATTCTCCTGACAGCGTATGATGGGACAAGAAATTTTGTTTAAGATTTAAAATGTCGTAAAATATCCCTTGAACGACATAATATCTGAGAATAACCGCATGAGTATGAACACATTTTATTACTTTTCAAAACCGGAATTTACGATGTGCAAAATAAAAAACGACTCACGATGATACATTTTATTGAATTTTGATAAATAAAATATTTGTATTTTATAGGATTTTTTTACGCTATTGCTCAAGGCATTGAAGTATTGTTCGCATTGCCTTTATAATGCTCACGAATATGGTTCTCTCACCTACTTTTCAAGAATAAGTCATAATGCGGTGTTTGACACCGCATGGCACCGATTTGTTCTGGATATGTAAATAAATGCCGCTGTTAGACATAATTGAAGAGTGTTAACACTCACTTGAAGCTCAGCATTTTGTTCATCATGAATTTATTTTTGTGCTTAAACTTTTTTATGTCACGTCATCGCGAAATTATCACAGATTGTTACGGAAATGTTCAGGTTACATAAACACTCATAAAAAGGAATTTAATTTGTTTTTTCTTTGGATTTGAATCCACACTAGAAGTGTTGTTTACTGCATAAGCATATTTCCATGTTCATATCTAATCCTTCAATGAAAGGACTACCCACAAGATATTTGTGAGGCTAATGAACTTTCTAACTTTTATTTTTTATTCAACATATTTCAAGCATTTTGTAAAATAGAAATTAGATGAAATGCTTTCTGAATTGTATGAGTTTTAACTTTTTGTCTGTTATGCAGAAACTCGTGAAATTTATAATTTCCTTAAAGTTTCGTCAGTTTAAGGTTACTGAAATACATCACGCTCTTGAACTTAAATATCTATACAAATTTAAAAATAATTATTCTCCGTGAACAAGAATGAATTCTATTTCTATGCTTGTTTATTTATATCTGCATGAAATATAAATCACAAGAAATGTCTATTTTTGAATTGTGCGACGTTTTTCACATTATCTTGAGCATAAATTAAATAATGTAATCTTTGCTTCTGATGTCGACTGGTGTTTTTCGCGTCGCAATTTCTTTCTGAACTACTCCAAGATTAGATATTTATATTTTTGTTGCAACATTTCAAAACGAGCGTAAATAAATAACTTGGAATTTGTAAACAGCAATTTAGGAAACAAAAACATCTTCAGTAATATTTGGAAACAAAAATATGACAGCTCAATGTTATAAATCATGCTGAGTCAAGATTGTAAGCAAGAAGATACATATGTTGTTGCATTTATAAATTCATTTTGGGATAATTTTGTTATCAATTTCAATTCTGAAACCTTACTTTTGGTGTGTAGCAGAACTGGAATTTCACTTTTCCAGGTCAATTCAATAAAATTAATGTTCACTTCATTGGTTTTTACTGACCCTCAGCAATATTAAATTATTTGTCAACTTTTTAATGAACTTGTTAATTTTCTATTTAAGTAAACAACACAAATAATTATAAGCTTCAACTTTGAAATTCAATGTTTCTTCATGAAAATTATGCGGCCAACTGAAAATAAATATCCGATGAGTATATTTTGATTTTCACTTTCCTAAAAAATGTTTTCTTCTTTTCCCAGCTACTCTCAGAAAAAAATGCGAGAAACGCGATATACATTTGCGTGTTCATTTATTGTGTATCTGAGAATTTTTCTTTTCACTCAAAAATTCAAAGGAATAAAATAAACTCAAAAATGTTCATTTTGATGCGATGTTTGGGTGTGAACATTTTATGCTGAGCTTGGCTTGAAATCAATTGAGAAATATTGTGGCTACACTGTATTTAACGCAAGTATTGTTTATTGATTTCACTCTGGTGAAAACAAAGTCTCGAGTAAACACTGTAAGTATTCATATGTGGGGGTGGCATCCAAATATGGTTTCTCTAACTTTGATAAAGTCAAATTTTAGATTCGTCCTATACATTAAAATGCTTTAATAAATAAATTAAATCTTTTCTAGCCATTTCACAAGGAGTTCTTATTTACATATAAGGAATTTCTCTTTAATGAAAGTTTTATGCAACTATGTTTTGTGCAAGATAGAAACTCAGCTTACTGTAGATTGTGAATAAATATTTTACTGGTTGAACTGTAAATATTGTTTTTATTTTTTTAATAATAATAATAATAATAATGAGCGTTGACGTTGGCATAGATTAAGAAAAACTTTCCATGAGCTGAAAAGGAATTTAAACAAAGTCAAAATAAATAGATTGGTTCATAAAATTTAAACACGAATTGTACTTTTAGTAGTTGCACAAATTTTTAATGTCTCATTACTATTTGGTGTCAGATTTTTAATTTCCTATTTAAAAAGAATTCGTGATTCACGATTTTCATACGTTAAATATTGTTTTTAAATTAGTGTTTGTATATATAACGGAGTGGAAAATTGAATTGCAAGTTAGATGCTTGTTAAAGTTTCTTTTGAAGAATAACCTACGTAAAATGGCACGAAAAGTCTTGTTGAAGGTCTTTATTCTAATCGCAATGTGTGGATTTATTGATGGAGGTGGTGACAGTTCTCCAGAAAGTTCATCAGAATCAGTACCATCTTCACCTGAATCAGTTTTTGATTCATCTCCTGAAGCAGAGCCTGAATCGGAACCGGAATCAGAACCTCAAACGGAACCGGAATCAGAACCTCAGTCGGAATCGGAATCAGAACCTGAATCAGAGCCTGAATCGGAACCTGAATCTTCACAAGGTATTTCATTATAAGAAGACGATGATGTTCATTATTTTCTAGTAATTCTTTTTTAATAGATGTGTCAAGGCCATGCCCAAACTGTATTCAAGGACAAAAAAATAAAATGACTTATATAGAATGGAAACAGATGAATTGGGATCGACCTGGAAGATCTGATGGAACATGTCCAGGAAACAGAAGGAAGCGTATAATTGCTGGCGCATTCTTAGATCCACCACAAGAGGGAAATAAATGCTGCTGTGAACCAATCAACAGCCCCAACTACCCAGAAGTTAACGTCCCCACTGGTCAGCCAGAATAAATCTCTGCATAAAGTGCCTACATGTAGTAAAATGAAAAATAGTAAATTCGGAACATTTTGTAGAAGTAAAAATTAATGCGACTAAACCAAATTATTTTAAAATAAAAAATAAACTTTGAGTATTTAGGCACGAAACCCATAATAAAGCTTTAAAACTGAAATATCACAATTGAATACGCCAACGTTAAAGAAATGGGATTGGTGCTGAAAGCTTCACACTGAAAGCAATTTGGATAAATTAGCATATCATTGCTATTCTCCCTTCAAATTGCCTGTTAAGTGAAGAATGAAAAAAATCCGTGGGAGCTCTAAGGCAGCGAATCTATCTTAGATTCCTTTTTTAATATTGAATTATGCTAGAAACAGCAATTTTCTGTTTCTTTATGGACGCGTTGCTAATGTTAATTTGTCATTCTATATAAACTCTGTCTATGTTAACAATGAAGTGATAGGTAAAACGACTTGATTTACTCACACAATAAATTTCCATAAATTTCAATTTTTTCTTCTACTTCATCCTAAAATTTGAGATTTATTTCTTCTTTGATGCGTTAACAGATTTATGATGACAAATAAATTAGAATTAAATTGTGAGATTGAAAAGAGATAAAAAAGTTTTGAATCAAATGCCTTTCAATTTCTGAATTGGGTTCAGCAAATATTTTTATTGCATTATAAGATTCAAACCTTAATCAAAAAAATTCTTCATTTTTCAGAATTCTGAAACGTTTAATTAAATAACACCTTCGACGTTCAAGAAAAGAAGAAATTGTTCATTTATGTAATTTAATTAACTCCAAGAAGAAAGTCCCATGTGACCTTTTTAATCATTCAACGAATGAACATACTTTTCCTTCTCTTTTAATAAAATTGAGTCAAATTGTCAGGAAAGCAACAGTAAACGAACCTTTGTGTGTTGAAAGAAAATTAATTTCCAATTATGCTTATGGTTCATTGTCATTTAAAAGGTTTATGGACTTTGTGCTTAAACTCAATCGAGTGCTTTCAAAGCAACCAAAAGGAACATATTGAGTGTTTTTTAAAAATATTTATTTATGCTTTCACGATAGATCTTATTAAACATTATGCTTTTAAAGAAACCTCATTGAGTGTTCCTATAACGGCATTCGTATCACGCTTTCTACCCACTCTTGATACCATCATAAATTTTCGTAAACAGAATAAGAAAACATGAACGTAAAATTATTTACATTCGAAATTATGCAAATTGATGCAGATGCCAACAACCTCGTCAAAGAAAAGCTCTATAATTACAAATTTGTATGTTTATTGTTGCAGATTGAATTCTCATAAAACTGAAGACTTTTCATCTGCTGATTTGAAATACTCAAAATACGATTAAATATGGATGAAAGCTATAAAACTGTTTATTCAAGAGATGTGCTTACGAGAATAATTATTTATCTTTGAAATTTTAATTAACAAAACTTCAACGCTTAAACTCATTTAGCTAAGTATTACATATACAATTTGGAAATTTTTAAGCTTCTTTTGAAAATATTCAACATTCAGATGAATGCTTAATCAAATTTTATGTTTTATGAACTTAAAATACAAAGCATAGAAGATGTTCACAAAAAATTTGACGACATTTTCATAACAGAATGTCGTGAATCATATTCATAAAAATAGGATCACAGTGAAGATTTTCAAGTTCATTTTTATTATAAAGAAATTCCTGAACATTGATAATGTCTGTCGACCTAATATCTAGAATTAAACTGACAGTTAAGATATCTTTTTTTATTTGAAAAATATTTACACATAACAAACGATACATATCTTCATTTATTCCTTCTTATCCTTTTCCTTCTATTTAACGCTTGGGAAAACAATGAGTCATTGAGCGAATAATGGATAAATAAAAATTGAAATCGCTTGAAAGCCATCCTAAGTAAACAGTTTAGAAAAAGATTTGAAGGACTCCTGTGAACCATATGAAAAAGTTACTTGAAAAGTTTTGTTATCTTAATGTTGGTTTGACATCAAAACTTATCTTTCAGAGTGAGACTTAAATTAAGAAAAATGGTCAAACCGCCATTATTTATTATATATAAATATTTTATAAAGGAAAAACGTAAAATTTTGTACAATTTCTTAAGGCAAAACACGTACATAGCTGACAAAAACTTTCCATCAAATTTCTTCGAGAATTAAATTATTTACAGTTGATTTGTTATTTACTTTGGGTTCGTATAGAAATTTTTGGTCGAAATGGAAAATAATGTAAATGTTTTGTTTGTATGGGTATGCTTGAAATGTTTAGGGAATATTCACTAATTGCGTCTGAATCATGCTTGCCTAGGATGTAGAAAAGGACACATTGTTCTCAAACAATATTAATGTTGTTATTGTTATTTACATAAATAAGCTTGGCGAGGAATTAATTACTATGGAAAAAAAACAATAAAACGAATTCTTTTGGGAAAAGAAAGTTCTATTAAACAATTGTTACATGATTCCATTTGGTAATATTACATAAACACCTGCTCATTGTAATCAAATATAAAAAAAATCGTCATGTAAATTGCCACGTAATTTAAAAATATTTGTAATTGCTACGCGTAACTAAAAGTTCAACTGATAACGAGCCACATTGTAGAAGAATATTTTATCAATTATTTTTTTATTTATTGTAAAAATGGGTTGAGGAATTGCATACTTACGTAAGACTCAAATCAGGAGATTTGTTGTTCAAACGATTTATGTTTATAAATAGCACAATCAAGGGATTCAATAACACTTACATGCAAAGCGTAGGTTATGCTAGAGAAGGGTAAAACAATTTTTCATGTTCATTTTCATTTTTAAGAGAAAAGTCAGTTCGAATTTTGACCCTTTGCTTATCTATTGCGAAGGATAAAGCAAGAAAATACATATAAAAAGTAGATATAAAACAATATATAAAAATAAAATGACTTGTCTTGATGTCTACAAAAATTCCACAATATTAAAGCTGTCATAGTGTTTAACAAAATAATTTAATTTTTGTTCGTAATTAGATGATCCGAGACAAAGAATTTCCTAATCTCTCTTGATCGTTTCTTTCATTTATAACGTCAAATATAAATAATGTAAATTCAGACTAAAACACATTTTGTCGTCACATTTTCATCAAAGTTGCTTATGAAATTTATTCAGGATTGAAGCACTATAAAAGAACCTGTTGGAGCTCAAAGCTTCAAATGCTGCAATGCGCATGATTCCTGAAAGCATTTAAAGCATTAAAAGTGAAAACATGGAAACATCGAGAAGGATGATTGTGTACAACTGGAAGTGTAAGCTTGCACTTGAGAACATACAGAAAAGGAAGCTTTAATGTAACATTACATAAATCTTTAAAAAGTTTCCTAAACATATGAAAAAGTACCAGATATCGATATGATGTGGGAAGATGACTGTGATCAAGGAAATGTTTTATTAACTTCCTAGAATAAATATTCCTCGGAAATTCTACAAGGAACTTTATGTGATCTGAAAATTGTACGCAGAAACTCAGTGGGAAATTAAATTACAACACAATTTTCCTGACCATGCTGTGGTTACTGTAGATTTCAGCACATTGTTAAGACGTATAAAGCAAATGAATGTCGTTACCTGTTATGAGAAACTTACTAGTTGGATATTCCTGAGGTTTCCTTCCAGGATACAAAAAGAGCTTTGTTTACGTAACTTTCATTTTATAGAAAATGAACTTTGTGAATTTCCAATGCCTTTGATTATGAACTCTATTTTTAAAGTGCTTAACAGCTTTGCAATTTGGAGAATTGTAATTTAAATTTTTTTCTAACCACAGAAACTCTTCCAGGAGAAAAGAATGAAGTCCTCTACTGTAAGAGATAATGAAAATGCTTAATGGGCTAAATAACATTTATTGCGGTCAATATTTAATTCTTAATGCTCTTCCATTCCCATAAAAAAATCTTTTATTAGCATGAACTCGGAAAGGCGAACTACTTGCAGATTGAATTCTATTAGATGTTTAAGTATCAAGCAGTAAAAACTTGAAATTTTCAATCTACATTATCTATGATGAAACAATAAATTTTCCAGCAAATTAAACAAAATCAACAAATCCTCACATAATTCAAGAAAAAAAAATGTTCAAAGACAAGATTGAAGAAAAAATTGTGACTCGAAGCTGTTCATTAATGAACTAAGATGTTACGTTAATAGATGTCTATAAATCTTTTCTTCGTTTGGCCTCTCATTCTTAAAGAAGAAAGAACGAGCACCTTCCTTGACATTTTAGTGTAAATTTCATGCTATTAAATTTAATTGGTGGCAAAAGCTTGCAGGCATTTTAACAGCGATGTTAATATCCCCACACCAGGTGCTATTTGACTGCATGCAATTAACTTTTTGAATACTTTATTAAATAAAAAATGCTTTTACTCGTGTTCACCATTTATCATAAAGTTGGGACTGATATAGACGATTGAAGTTAAGGATAAAAGTAAATATTTCAATGTAAATATAGATTATTTTGCTAGAGCTTATAAAACATAATTTTTCCACCACTTTAGTAGTTTTTTTTATCTCAAAGTTCATTGTAATGAAGGATTCACGTGTTGCTTTATCAATGACATGACTTTTCATTATTTTCAACATTAATCACATTCATTAAATATCTAATTATTACTTTAAGCCATTAATAATGTTCAACATTCGTTAAAATGACAAATTTTGTAACAATTTGGCACCATTAATATACACGTGGTTTAAACCAACATTATCGTTAACATAATTGTAATTAAATAATTTCACTCCATAATATTTTGGCATTATTAAATTATTGTGTCGTTAACATTTCAGAATGCTTTAAATTTTGAAGTCAATATGTTGGTTGGCAATGGACTTGTTTTTAGAGAACTTGAATATTCAAATTTATTTATCGAAACATTTGCATTTCTAGGCACGAGCGAATTAATCAAAGGTCAATTATGGTTGCTTTTATTCATTTTATAATTGATTAAAAATTATTTCAATCATTTTGAGATTATCCTTGACCAAGTTTTGATTATTCATGATGCATAAAATAAATCCAAGCAAAACATTTTAAATTCTCCAACTTTCTACAAGTCCCTGTGGAAAGTTTCAATTTGATTATAGCTTAGATATGATTGCCGCAGGTTCATGAAATCCCAGAAGACATTATCGTTGGAAGAAAAAAGTCTCTTATGGATTTTTATGATAATTTGATATGGAAGAGACTTTACTAAGTCCTGAAATCATTTATGCTAAAGGCTCTAAATATATTAGAAGTTTATTGACGTCATCGTCTTCATTGTCGAGGATTCTTTAGGAAAATTTGCTATCTAGATCTTATAATTCAACTGCTCTAGGGTTGAATGTCGACATTTAATATCAACATTCTTTGAGATAAAGCTTTATGGAACTTCATACAAAATTTGTTTAAATAATGTTTCCTACCCCAAAACTCTTTTAAAAGTAACTCAACAAAATTTTCCTTTTTTTCTTGTGTAACTTTGTCACATGAGATATCCATTCTCAAATCTAAAACACACAACATTTTAAAATGTAAACATGTCAGTCACATAAAGTATATTTTGATTTACTACGGTTCAATTATTCTTCTAATTACCCATGACCCAAATGTATTGTTTCAAGTAGAATAAAGCGCCATAGTTCCCAAAGCAAATATTTTCGTCGATTGTTTCTTCATAATCACTACAAAGAACATGGATTGCTGGAATTGTTTACAAAATAAGCATCATGAAATTTAAAACCAAAATAGAAAAATCATGACAGATTTAATATTATTAAAAGTGTCAAACCAGGGAAAAACATTTCATGAAAGTTTTACCATGGAAACAGCGTTTCATGTCTTATGAATACAAATTTAATAGTTGAATAATTGAATGAAATTGAAAAAGATATGTATTTAAAACGAATATTAACAACTGCATCGAACCTTTCAGTCATTTTTAACAGCAATCAAATACAAATAATCATAAGAAAAAACGTATCCGCCATTTGACTGGTCAATAGAAGTCTCCATGCAATCGAATAAGTCGATATAAAATTCATTCTGCATTTCTTTCGACATGCGAGGTGATAAAGTGTAAACACTTTTTATCATATCTGTAATTTATAATCTAGCATTAGGAATAATTTTTAAATATCAATCAAACAAGATTACCGTGAAAGTTTGAACGATTTTCAAAATCTTTAGATAATGCCACACATTCCAAGAATTTCACATCAAAATTGGCATCTTTAAGTAGTTCATTCAACATTCTACATGGATCTTCGACATCTTTTAAAGAAAAAATCGGAACTTTTGCGTCACTTTTGAATTGTAAATATTTTTCCCTTTGCGAAACTTCGATGTAAGCTTCTGTCAATGCCGGAACGTTTTTCGCCATATTCATAACGAGAAAACCACCAGGTTTGATGAGTTTTCCAATGTAATAAAATGCTTTTCTGCGTAAAGAAAAAAGACACAATTAGAACAAAATGATTGCATCAATTTTTTATAAAAATCATTACTTTAAATCTTTAATCCATTGAAGACAAAGGAATGATGTCACAATATCAGCACTTTGATATTTGATGCCACACTTTTCAAGCAACAAGTCGTTTGAAAAATATTCCATTTGGTTGATATCGAATTGGTGAAATTTTGTCACATCATTACCATAATTTTCTCTGGCAAATTTCAACATTTTTTCAGATACATCAAAACCAAAAACATTTTTAAATTTGATAGGAACACTTAGTGATAAAAATTGCAAGAGTTCCTCCATCTCCACATCCTAAATCGATTAAAGTACTCTGATTCTGAATTTTGTTTCCGAACTTATCAATAAATAACTTGATAAGTTCTTTTGTTTCGATCTTCACTGAGAGACTTGATTTGTTATATAATTCTGGTTTCTCTATTTTAATTACAAAATTTAATTAAGGTTGAAAACTATGAAATGATCTAGCCAAGCCAAAGTATGAATATGAACAAATCATTCAGTGAATATTTTTCAATTGCCACGCTTATGTATGTGAATAGAGTAGATAAAGAATACATGAAATAAGGAAGTCGTGCCTATTTACGAGTCTCAGGTTAGATTATAAATAGAGCTAACATAACTATGTATAATAATCTGCCAAAAAGTATACAATTTTATGCAGGGGTTTTGAAATTAAAAAATTTGTTATTTTGAACATAATCATCAGCACCATTGACATCATCATCTTCACCATCATCTTTGCTACAGTTAAAAATATTTAAACTTAAAAAGTATTGTTAAATACCCTGGAATATAATTATTTAAAATGTTTTGGTTTTTTGCTTATCATGAAACGTGACGTCGCCATACGTAGTGATAAATCAAGTGTCATAATGTTATCAATTTTTAAATATTTAAAAACAACACGTTTGAAGATAAGGAAATATTAAGTTTGCTTGAGTCCCACATTCAATTGCTAATTACATATGTACATTAAAATTGTTGTTTGCAAGTTGCAACCCAGCAGATTAATACGTAAACTTGTCAACTGGTTAGTTAGCTTGAAGTACTTCCTTCAATTATTCCTGATCAAAGATCAAAATATTTTTCGTCACTGTCGGAACTAAAACTAAATAAGAATTTTGATATGATAAACAAACTTATCTAAACCTGTGACTTATTCAGATAGCAAACACAATAAAAAATCATTTTTACGTCACACTTTTATCTTATTCTTTTAATTTTAGTGTGAAACTACGTAATTTCAATGACACAACTGTCGACAATTTTGATTTATTCTAAACGTGCAAATCATTCTTACCAAGAACTTCATAGGGCTGAGTATAAATGCTCTCAAATTTATTACTGAAACAAAGTAGGATGATTTTTTTTTTGATGAATAACATTGAATATTTCATTTTCAAAAGGGTCTGCTTCGTATTTGTTTTCTCACCTGATAACACATGTCTTGACTGAGTAAGTTTCTGTTAGAGAATATAAATATTTATACGCGAGTTCATTGAAACATTAATGCAGTAACCCCATGGCCATTGATTTCTTTTTTATTCGCCATGAACGCTTTTTTCCAACATCACAATTGAAAGAAAAAAAAGTAAAACAAATATAAGCTTCATGGTAACGTAGAAGTCATCTTTGAAGTCCTTCGAGTAGAAAATTACAAATCTTTGATAAAATAATATTTTAAAGTAAAAGCACTAAGTGAAACCTTTTCAGCAACGTGATGCTGAACAAAATCTTATCAGCATTGTTATGACATTTGAGCTTTAAATTCTGTTGTGTTTGACTAGAATTTATTTTTCACTTTTAAGAATTAGTGGAAGTCATTCAATCGAAAGAAATTAAAATTGTACTATTAATAAGCTTAACTAAATGTAACTGAACTTTCAATATTTCTATTAAAGTTCTTTTTCATTTATTGAGATTTTGTCATCGTGGAAACCTTTTCAGCAATCAAATTAATTTCATAAGATATTTTAACTTTTAAATGAGTGAACCTTACTTTGATTCACCTTTTTTTGTTAGACAAAACCTTTTTGTTGTTGATTTCGGTTGGATACTTTACGAGAGAAGTTCAAATATCTTTACTACCTCTGCCGTGACGCATTATCATGAATAAAACATTACACAAATTTGCATAATCTTTACGATTCACTACGAATTTCAAACATTAAAAGGTGGAGAGTGGAAGACAGAATGTTCTTAACGAAGCAAAAAAAATGGGCAAGCAAGGCTTGTAAACATAATGTTCAGGTCGGAGGCATTACATTCCCGAGCACTTAATATTTATGAGTTTCAGTAGATGAAATTATCATCAATTATCGCTTCATTCCGGAACATTTTTCAAACATCATTTAGACCATCACCTAGAAAAAAACTGCTGACTTGATGATTCATTCTATCGAAACCTAAAATTATTTACCGATGACGTCAACAACTTTGTTATTAATCATGTAGAAGCTTCAGTAACTTGTGTGGTAGAAAGCTCCACACACTTTTCTTCTTTTCGAACACATCAAATTCTTCATTGCTCTAGACTAAACAAATCTAACTTAATGGGTTTGGTTGGTTTGTGGTCTGGCCTAAAAACGAAACAAAATAACAAGTTTGTGGCACCTTCGAGATTCCTTGACGTCTTTTGCCAAGCATTTCCACAATAAGTTCTTCACTTTTGTTTTCATTAATAACACAACATTTTAGCAGAAAACTTCGACGTTATCAAAAAGTCAAACATTTCTAATTGGAAATTATAGTCTATGAGACAAAAAATTGTTTATCGAAACCAATCATCGTGCACGACATCATTTTTTAATGTTATTTTGTTGTTAAAGTTTTAGCAATCACAAACTGACGCACTCACAAGGCAATGATTAAAATATGACAAAAATTGCGGGTATAAATAGTCGCTCCCGGTTTCGTTAATTGAGTTATTTGAAAAGTGATACAAAGGAAGCAACAATTTAGTTAACAAAAAAGTTTCGAAGAACGAGAAAAAAAGAAAAATATTTGAAATTATATCAAACGAATATGAAAGGTGTGAAACATAAAATCATTAATGAAAACTTGAAAAAAAAATCTTAATCATCATAAATTTCAGTATTCGTATTATGCATTGCTTTACTCGTGGTGAGTTGCATAACAGCATCGCCATTAAGTGAAGAAGTAGATGAAAATTTCGATAACAACGAGACAGTGTCAAACGAAATGAATGAAGGTGACGCTTTACCTTTAGAAAATGATAATGATAGGAAAGTGAGTGGAGAAGCATCAGCTGTTGAAGAGATAACTGGTGAGTGTTAGAATTAACGATTTAAAAATCACCGATTTAATATTTCTTTTGTGTCTAGACGACTACGACGATAGTAATGAGAGTGAGAATGTGGAGAAACAATTGACCCAAGACGAGATGGAGAAATTATACGGAATTCCAATCCCCATCTGTCTCCAATATACCGACAATGTTCACCCGCTGCATTTAAGGTAATGAAATAATTTGCCAGTTATTTTATAAATTATCACGTTGTCTGTTCTCGTGCAGCCATTTAAGTGACTGTGGAAAATTTTATAAATGTTCTAATGGACGAGGGTTTTTGCTGGATTGTCCAATCGGTGAACATTGGTCTGTCAAGCTTAATCGTTGTGATTATCCTTATTCAGCAAATTGCATCGCTGATGGAGTCTACAGATACAGAATCAAGAAGGTTAAGCCTATGCCAGCTCAAGCAACCTTTCAAATACAAGAAGAAAATTCCCCAACTGACGATGAAATCATCCCAGAGTTTGAAATTGACGCACGTTGCGAAGGAAGTGATCCCTTCAAACCGTATCATTTCAAACACAAAAGCGACTGTAACAAGTTCTATAAATGTTATATGGGAAAAGCTTACGTCCTTAAATGTCCAAAATATCAACAATGGTCAGAAAGTATGAGTCGATGTGAACATCCCTCAACTGCACGTTGCACAGTTGCCAGACCTGCCGCACTCCCAGCTGCTCAATCATTTGAAGTTATAGGAGTTGGTAATTTTGACGAGAATTACTACGATTACGGTGAAGAAGAAGAAGAAGCAGATTTCAAAATCAAAGATGCAAGATGTTTGTTGGAAAATAATGATCGTTTTCATCCAACTCAATTTTCTCACCCGAATGATTGTGGGTCGTTCTATAAATGCATAGATGACACAGCTGTCAAAATAAATTGTCCTGCTGGTTTGCATTATAATGTAGCAAGTGAATCGTGCGATTATTCATACAGAGCTCGTTGCACTTCAGGAATTAGACCGGCAAAAGAAGTGATGCAACAACCCATGCCACAGTACAATGGAATGATGCCAGACTTTGAAATGTTGAAAGAACATCCAGAGATGGGAAGTTATTTTGTGATGATGCAACAATATCCTGAATTAATGTCATATTACTATGCAATGCTGTTGCAGCAATATCCAGGATTTATGCAACAATATCCAGGACTCATGCAGCAATATCCAGGAATGATGCAGCAATATCCAGGAATGATGCCACAAATGCCATCGGCTCCTAATCTACCCGATAGTCAGCCTAAACCTGACCCAGCACCAAAACCCCCTCAACCCAACAATCAAATGCCTCAACCTCAACCTTTTCCACAACCAGGTCCAGAATTTCCAAATTGGATGCCAATCCCAAAACCAAACGTTCCCCTTCCAAATATCCCAGACAATTCTGACGAAAGTGATGATCAAGAAAATTTTGTATTTAAAAATGGAAAAGTCAGCAAGAACTGTCCCGGCGAAGAAAGCCCTTTAGAGCCTGTTCATTTGGGTCATGAAAATGATTGTTCAAAATTCTACAAATGCTTTAATGGTCGTGCTTTCATTATGAATTGTCCAAGCGGTCAAGAATGGAGTGATTCACTGCAACGATGTGACTTCCATGAATTTTCAAACTGCGATCCACTCGAGTTGGTTAAGAAAAAGATTCAAATCTAACTTAAAATCGAATGGAAAATATTTTGCAATTACATATAAGTAAAGTTTCCGTGATAATGATTTAGATTTTTTTATGTCTTAATTTATAACGAGGAAAATTTGACTATTTATCTACTTCAATAAAGAAATAAAATTAATTTACTGCACAAAATAAGAAAAATTTTCATTTCCTTTATTTCTTTCATAAATCTTTTTATTTATTACGGAGTTAAATTGCTTTTCATCAAAGTCTATTAAGAAAACCTGTTGCGATGACCACAAAAATGTATATTGAGGGAAGCGATGTGATTATTAAATGCTCTTCAACATCAATGTTTTGTCAGGTTACTTTCGCGCAATTGGAAGTTCCAGTGAAACATTACAAAGACGCAACATGTACTTAATATAACGCTCAACAACGGATTCACTTACACTTGTTATCAGTTTCTTTATGTCAACCGCCTGTAAAAGACATCAAATATTGTTCTGGCTTGTTTTAAATTAAAACAAAATACAAGCTAATAATAAGTGACAGAATTATATGTTCCACTTCTTGTCAGCCGTGTAAAGGCAATTAAGAAAAATAATTTATTTAGAACACGAAATATCAATTCATGGGAGTTCTTTTTTTTGGTTTTCCAAAGTCAGGACTCTTTAATAAGATAACTAATTATAAACATTTCCTTTTATCATTTTGACCTGAATGACTGCATGTCAGTTAGTCACGTATGACGAGGTCTGGTACATTATATATTTTTATAAGCTTAGAACAAAGTAACCTTGTCATGCACATAATTTAATAAAATGTCATCAGTGACCAATATGATGATGACAAGTCAATTAAATTATAATTGAATGAAATTACTTTAATAAAAGCATTGCCAGCTAATGCAGTCACATCGTACATCATCTGATTGAAAAGAAAATTTCGTTTTTCCAATAATGTTTCTTCAAGCTGGAACGGAAGCTTATTGGAAAGTATTTCATCTTGTGTAACGTACATCAGAAAAGATGTAAAACAAAATTTTCGCCTGTTGTTGAGCGTTTAGTCGACATTGAAACTTTGTTGAAACTGGAAGGAAACGGAAAAGTGTGAAAACAGCACTCTCTTAAGCCACAAGGCAATAAATTAATGTTTAGAAAAAAGAAAGAATAGGAAGAAGCACTTAAAAGTTATCAGCTGTGCTTTCATTCTAATTTTATTCTTATAGAATGGAAAAAGATTCATCACAATAGAGAAAGTTTTTGATAGAACTTTTAAAAAATAAGTTGAGTGCTCGTGTTGATGGAGTGAATTCAAATAAGAAGAACTTAAAAAGCTTAAAAATATCTAAAATATAAATTAAATATAAATTCCAAAGTTTTTCTTTTCCGTGGATGTTTTAAAAAGTAGAGGATTCTCGAAATTGTTTCTTCATCATCAAAATATTGCTACGGAAATATCTCATAGTCAGGTAATGCATATTTCTCTTTAAATGAAAGCACGTAAGAAATGAGAAATGTTCGTTTTTAGATTATCTATCTATGAATTTTATTTCATATTTTGTAAGAACTTTGTAATAACTCATGTAAATGAAATAATTCTCAATACCTGTTTGCCTTTTGGGATTCAATAATATTTGTGCTATCGTCATTTAAGATTTCTACCATGAGCTTCTTATTTGCTTTTAATATTCCAAAGACGAATGTTACAAGAATTGATGTTAAAGTCATTTAATAAATGAAATGAAAGCTACTCAGTTGAGCATTACTCATTAAAAATTGATCATAATTCAGTTAGAATTTCGAATATTTTTCTATTTTATTTATTAACTTTTTCTCTCATGGTGAAGCATCAAAAATTAATAAAAATGTTCATGAAAAATGAAATTAGAAAAATTATACGCAATGAACACATCAAGGAAAATTCTAAAAAGACTTGTCGCTTTAGGTGAACACAAAAACACAGAGAGGAGTAAAAAATACGCTTCAAAAGGCTTCTTTCATCAATCAGTTAGAAAAGTTTCATGAAAATTAAATTTATCTACCATTTTATGGCCACAAAGAAATTTTCATCATTTTTAACCCATGAGACTTTTTTTTTCTTAAATTCAATTAAGTAAAAGAAAAGGTTGCAAACATTTATGTTTTTCTCAAAGTTAATGTAAGCTGAGAATATGAATTGAAAAGAGAAGAGCTTTAAAAGAGTTTCATTTTGCTATTAGAGATTTGTGGTTTTGTTTTTCAAATGGATTAACAAAATTTTCTAAGCAAAAAGAAAATGTAAATTTTACAATTATCCGAGAGTTTCTAATGAAAAACTTATTCAAGGAAAAAATTGAAAACAGGGATCATGCTTTAATTACAGTCATCGTTTCGAAATAATTAAGATAAAAATATCTTAGTAATAAAAATGGACGATTACAGCTTATTTTTGTGAATAAAAGCTTTCAGAGAAATTAAAACTTTTATGTTATCTTTCAAAACAACATGGTCGTCGGGTTACTACGTTTTGACACCATTAATATTTCTCCAGATGATAACAATTTTTCCTATATTCATCAATGTCTTATTCTCAAAAAATTTGTTGAAGTATTAACATTTATGTCAGGAAGAAAAAGAATATTTTTAAGATTTTTCTAAAATAAGATAATTCTCAGAATTGTGACATTGACTCATAACGAGATTTCAGTTCCATAAAAAGAAAACAGAAACCCTAAGAAAATGTTTGTTACGAAATTTCATTCAATTATTTCTAAATATGTCGTCTCAATGAATAAACTTAATAAAAGATTAAAATATCACAGTAAAGAAAACAATCACAAAGTTATGTTCATGTGAACTTCTATCTTACTTTCTTAGTTTGAGTTTGACTTTGACATTAGATTGATAATTAAAAGTTATTCGAAGTAGAAGTAAAATAAACTTCATTAAGATGACTTTTATGAGGAAAGTTTTTCAATCGAGCGTTGATTTCGAGAACTTTTCTTTTGTTTTTATTATGATGAAAAGATGAAGATTATCTCTGAAATAAAAATCGACATATTTCAACAACCTTCGTTAATTTTTCTGATAGCAGCATTGTTTCTACTCTTCTATTTATAGGCATAATATTTTTGAGGAAATTATACGCTTTCATAGAGAAAAGCACAATCAGTTGAAGGAAAAAAGGATAATTTATTGAATTGGTTACCCTCTTACATAATACAGAAAGGATATCCGCTTGTAGATAACTTGAACACAACATCAACAGTATTAAAATGGGTGAGTTTTTCGATATTCCTCTTCTTAGAAATCTTAAAAAAGGTGTAAGAATAATGCCATGATGAAGTCGAATTGATGTGAATCATCGTCATAATAACAACTTGTAGGGTTCTTCATACAAAATTATGAGCCGAAAGATAAAAACAAATTTGGTAATAATCCGATTTGGGAAGCTTTTCATATACAAAAATAGAACATTTACATTCAAATAAAAATAAATCTGGAAAAACTTAAACGAAACACTTCAAAAGATTTTCTGATGTCGTCAATCGTTTCGTGCTTTAATTTGTAAAATAACTGCGATGACAACGTTTTAACTTAAAGTTTAATGATTATTGCTTTAAAAACTGTCTGTTCAATCCGTGGTAGTTAATTAGAATTTTAAACATTCACAACCTGTACATAAACTAACATTTAAATTTGTTCATTAACTAAGTTTAATTTGTAAAATAACTGCGATGACAACGTTTTAACTTAAAGTTTAATGATTATTGCTTTAAAAACTGTCTGTTCAGTCCTTGGTAGTTAATTAGAGTTTTAAACATTCACAACCTGTACATAAACTAACATTTAAAATTGTTCATTAACTAAGTATCTGTGCTTATTCATATTTATAGAAATAGAAATGTTTAATTCTTTATTCTTATTTAAGTAAAAATATCAAATATCTCATATCATAAAAGATATTTAACACGTAGCGTCATTTTCAAGTGAGCTATGGCTGCCATGAATGTTGTTTTACAAGCTGTAATTGCACGATGGCATTGATTGATTGATGGGTTTATTATTTATTTTCCTTGTTCTTCAACGTTTGTTTTTCATCAATATCTACATTTTTCGAATTTACTGCGCGTGTTGGCTTACAGTGAATTAAAAGCTCATTTCCAATCCATCAGGTTATGGAAAATTTTTAAAAATCATAATTTCACTTATAGAAATGTTTCACTCTTTATGGTAAATCATTCAACATTAAATAACTTACAGTAGTAAATTTCTACAAAAATTGATTCAAATTAGTGTGATAAATTTCAAATGTTTTAAGATTTTTAAAGTGTTTTAAAGTCTCTCAGCAAATAAACTTACAAGCGTTTAAAACTCAACAAGCATTTTTATGACTTTCATCTCTTGCAGTTATTTCAAAGTGAATCTTTACATAGGAATACCATTAATGCAAGTGCATGATTTAGCTTCCTATGTTTGAAAGGAAACTTATCCAATTTGTACAGTTTATTATGATGTAAAATTTGTAGTTTATGCAGTTTACAAATGTTGATAGTGATTAACACAAAAGATTAGATGAAACTGACCGCTTCTGACATTTAAAACTATCATCTAAGTATCATCTAAAATCATCACTGAATTGCAAACTGAAATCTCATTTATCAAGTAAAGATTCGTGTTTTTATTTTCGCACTTCATTCAGAATATATATAATTAGATCATTCTAGTCTCAGATTTATTATCTTCTCATTCGCCATTGATTTAAATAGAATCATATTAAAACATAATTTAAGCAAAAAAATGGCGTAACGCGACATTATCCTTTATGGAAATTTTTTCATCGTGAATCTTGTTGCCATGGATATTAAAAGAGTAATTTTGAATCACGAAACTGAATGTATAAGCTTCGAGAATATTTCAATAAAACGTTCACTCTTAATGCGTTATTGACAATTGTTCTCACATAAATTGAATTCAAAATCTCAAAAAATATATTTGGAATAATTTGAATTTATCACGACTTCTTTACGTAAGTTAAAATGCGGATGTTTTTGGAAATAAATGTATTAATTGTTATCTCTAAGTTTGGTTTAAATTCCGTTTACCTAGACTAGCAGTCACGATCTTGTAATAACATCAAATTTTATCCGAATATTCCATTTACTTTCTTATTTATATTCAAGTTGAAAGTTATGACTCTTATCACTTAAAAATGAACAGTATACTCTGAAATGTATTCAATATTTCGGGCATGAGCTTAGGACTTGTTGAAAAAGGATCTATAGATGCAGGATTACCATTTTTATTTATCGCATTTCCCCACCCCATGAGAAATGAAGTGAAATACATAAATATGATTTTCTAGTGCGGTTAAAAAATAAAATAATAATGTCATCGAGGTAACGGAAATAATAGCTTTTCCTTTCCCATTTCCCATCCTACACCATGCTATTTGATTGAACTTACAAAGCAGAGCTGCTTATACCTATTTGAATAGAAATTTTCTTGAATATTCTTGCTCTGAGCTATTACTCATTAAACGACTTTTTCTTTCTTCTTTCTTTTATCATAATCATTAATCGTAAATGAAGGGAAGAAGATAATGAGTAATCATTTCCAACAGAAAATGTTACAATTTTTCTACGAGACTGTGTCACAGTTAATTCTGCTTTCTATCATTTGGATTTAATTCTATTGAGAACGATCTTCCATTGTATTCGTTTTATGCAAAAATACGATTAAATCATTATTCAGAATCGTTTCATCTACGGTGAATATATTTCAATTGAGCAACATAATTTATTTCATTTTAAGGTAACGAATCTGACGCTTCACTGTTTGTTAAGCTTAATAGAATAATTCGATGTAGATAATATCTACATAGAACAATCTACGGATATTTAAATCCCTGAATAGTTACAATTTTCTTGTCGATGGGTGACGATGAAAAAATAAATAAATTTTTGACAAGCAGTAAAGTTTTGATGTTTATGTATTCAATATTCATCACCTTGAAATTTATCAAAATAATTAGCAGAATCAAAAGCATAGATTATGATTCAATTTTGTGATAATGGGAGCAAAGTTTATTTTCATTTCATTCAACTTAGATATTTATAGAAAAATTATTAATGTGCTTTGAAATTAATTAGTCGCTTCTAAACGTAATTAAAATATTTTCTCCCTCATGAATATGTATTGCGGAATTTTCAAAAGTTTTCTCTCAAATAATTCTATCAAGGAAATTATAAAAGCATTTGGCTTCAAAATCTTCTTTTCGTTTAACCATTTTCAAAGCTTAATTTCGTCATAAAAAGTTTCACGCTTCAATTGTTCTAAATTGATATTAAAATATCTAAGCAACGTTTGAATATCACTCAAACTGACCTTATTTATGTCCTTGCGGTTCGGCTCATAAAATGATTTTTCCCATTTAATTTGTTTTTTTTTTTTGGGTGGTCAACTCAACATATATTTTCATTTTCACTGAATCAACCCGCTTTGCGCCCAACTCGTTTTCTGATTTGGTTTGTATGAATTTTACAAACATAGGAAAGCCTTGTTAAAGCCTCATAAAGTATCCAATATTAAATAATAGAAATTTAAAATTGTAATTCATTGTTCTTCTGTGCAAATATTTCAGAAATTAGTGTTAAGAAACAGCCTTAAAGCTGATTCAACATATTATACAACAGGTTGTTTATTAGCTGCTTTCACTCTATTTGAAAATGCGCAGGCGTTTCACTTCGTTGCTATAATAAGAAGCAACAGGCATGAAAAGCAACTATGGTAGTCATCTGTTATGTTCATAAAGGAAATATTAGAATTTATTACAGCAAAATGTTAATTAAAACAAAGGAGAAATGTTATGCTTGAAGCATGAGTCGAATTTCATAAAAAGAATTCATCTCTCTTTGAGACAAGCTTACAGTGTGTATAAATATTTGGTATTTCGTATATTATTTTCCATGAACACATATTAACTCTCAAAATAAGATGAAATATAAAACAAATTAGAGAAGAATCACGCTGCTTAGTTATTCGATTCTCTCTGACAACTTCTCTACTTAAATGACACATCTAATAATAAATTGGCATTGGTATTGATTTAACATTCAAGCTCATGTTAATGAAATAAGAATATCATTTCTACTCCAATATAAACCTTGTGACATGTTCATAGACCTGGGTGATACTTTATGCTTACTTAATATTTTCTCACAGAAATAAACATCCAGAAACAAACAATAAATATAGAATCAAATTTCAAAGTCTTAAACCAAGTATTTTTTTGTTATAAATATGAGCATTTTATGAATGGATATATTGTATGTCAAAAAGACCCGAAAATATTCAGCGAAAATATTGAGTTACTCCATTGTTTTGTTTTCTTCTTTATATTCCAATTTCTTCTTAAAGGAAGCAAAGCTTAGTGTACCTGAAAAACGAAATTCACTCTTGCAAAGTCTTGAAAAATGTTTGCCTTTTTTTCAACTTTTCCACGAAAATTGAAGACAATTTGTAAAGAGACTTATAGCCTTTAGGATGAGATGAAATTGATAGAATGTTTTCATGAATTCATGAATTTATGATCCATGATGATTCATTGTTAACACACAAGCTTTTTTTATGGACTATGAGGAACAATATGTGTGGGTGGCATGTCATGTACGTTACATATTTGTAACATTTCATCATTTTTACGACGAAAAGATAATGATGCAATTATGCAGAACATTGCAAAATAATTTTTTGTCACTTCTACATTTACAAAATTGCTTTAAAATTTCATAGCATGATGTTCAACACTTTTTTAAAATTATGATTGAGTCTGTCAGTCAAATTTGAATTCTGCTTTGGGATAAATTATCACACTCGTTTATAAAAAGTCTGCATCGCAATGTGATTGTCAGTCTCTCTCTAGTCAGCTGCAGACTGCAGTGATATTTATATAAGTATTCGCTTTTTGTTCATGTTCATTAATATTTAATCTAATCCTTTTCAGAATTGAAGAAATAATCCGTCAAACCATCGATTTATTTTCATTTACATCGACGAGTGAACAATATTCTCTCCCTTTTCTTTTTTCCGCTTTAAGCGTAAACTAATGTAGCGGAAAGTTGCCGAAATTTATTCAAAAAGATGAACAGAAAAAGCTTCTCTTTTCATAATAATCCCATCCTAAAGCTGCCTAATGAAAAAATGAAGTGATGAATTTATTTCTTTTTTAGAGATTATCTTTAATGGGGGAATTGATTTTATTTCTTCCTTCCATCAACTTGTAGACGAAAGATGAACCGATAAAATGGTGGGCGCGGTAATAAATTTATTTATGAATAATGCTGATCAAAAGTAAATTGATCAGCGTCGAATCTTTATTTTCTATCGTTTCTATGAGTAAACAGCCAAACAATGGAAATTTTATCATGTTCTCGCTTTCGTATTTATTAGCTTTTCTTCTCATCTGTCTTTGGAATGTCACGACATTGATTGTGAAATGCCATTAATTCTTTTTTTTTTCTTTGTGGGCTGCGAAGCAGATTTGAGAACGTGCGACTCTGATAAAATCAGAACTTATAGATGAGAAAATACAAATAAACGACTGCAAAGCAACTCATTTCTTCCTCCAGCTTTCATTATTTATTTTTCATTTCAATATGCCTGAGTATAATTTTCTCTCCTGGTTTCTGTTTAAGAAAGAGTAATGGTAAAAGGTGCGGTGTTTGCACACGTTCCTAAGATATACAGAATGATGAATAATCTTCATATCTGATTTCTAGAGGTACTGAAACACCTCAAGATGAAAATAAAAGAATTTTTAGAATGCTTTAACGATGAATTTTTGGTGTGTGTGTAAATAAATCTTCAAGCATTTTCTCATCCATCTTTATTCGAATTTCTTTTAACGCTTGCTGATTAAATTTGTAACGAATTTTTTTGCAACATTAAATAATAATTGACGAAATCTACCATTTCGTTTCCCTTCAATTCGCAATAAAATATTCTACTGAATAGGAGACTTGTGGATCATTTTATTTTCCATTTTTTTCACTTTCAATCAGCTTAAATGGAAGTTGAGAAATAAAATTATTTGTAAATTGAGGGTTTAAAGAAACATCCAAATGCCAGTAAAGCTCGGATATTTTACTAGCTTTCATATATTCTACATAACACTTCCCGTAAACTGCTATGAATACAATGGAAAATTGATGATAAATACATGCTTATGATTTTCCATTGATTGCTCTACATTGTGATTAGGATGTTAACATGAACAATCATGTTTAGAATTAAATGATTAATAAAATTTTACTATCAATAAATATTTAACAACATAAACAATGAAGGCTTATTTAATATCAAATACCTCAAAATTAAGATTACTTTTGAAATAATTGTAGAGCTTTTAATCATTTAAAAAGTAATCTTAATTTTGAGGTATTTGATATTGAATGTTCATGTTTATGTTGTTGAATATTAATTTATACTATGATAATATCACAACAGTTTAACATGATTTCCCTTCGATCAGGATGAGAAAGAAGCTGATTAATGAAGAACTCATGAGAAAAGCTGTAATTTAATATCAACGGCTTCTTAAGAAATAAGAGATCCCCCAGCACTTAACAAAATTGAGTTAGTGCTACTTTAAGCAACTTCCTGAGGGAGCTGCTAAAAATATATTATTAAGGTTTTCTTGAAATTATTCTTAATATTAGCGAACGATAACAAATTTTCTCATCTTTCAGTCTCACGACGAGAAGAAATTCATCATCATCATCATCAGAAATGGGTAGAACGAACTGTTCTCGGCAAGTGTGTCTGTAGAACAAACATTGCCCGTGATGAGTCTTTATTCGTCTCAGTTAAGGACTAGACTCGTACCACACCCTACTGATGTTTCCATGATGATGGAAACTTCAGCTAATATTGCAATGAATCGCTTGAAATTGTAACATTCCCTTAGTATTTTTATTTTAACTTGCTTAGATTTGCTTTAGACTTGCACTGTTTTTATTTATCAATTGAACAGGTAACAATTGCATGCGTTCCATTTTCGGCAGTGTTCCTAGTCTTTGCTCTCTCATTGTTCGCCTTGATACGAATATCAAATTGATACAAAGGGATTAAAGGCCGGGTTGCTGCTTAAGTGAAACACACTTTTTTCGGGCCGAAGTATCTAAACTTCACCTTACCTCATGGCTGGGATTCGAACCGGGGACCTACGAATCAGATTCCCGGCACAAGCACCCTGAGCCAATGAGGCCAAATGAGCCCCTACGAGAAGAAATTAAAAGTCATCAACGAAAATGTTTCAGCAAATTTCTGCGTGATAAGATAAAAATATGCAAATTTTCTACTAAGAAAATAAAATGAAGCTCGAATAAACTTTCGACAGTCAAGTGCGTCAAAGTGATCTTAAGACCTCGTCCCTCTTCAATTGAAAAACAAAAAGGAAAGTTTTAGAATTTAAATCAGTCGAGAAATCGTCGTAATTAATTCCCTAACTACCCTCGGAAGAAAAAACTGAACAATTCTTTTTTGTTTGCTTTCGCTTCTAATCAGAGGACGAAAAAGTTTTCGCGATTGAATAAATTATTTCTGAAGGGGTAGAAAAAAGCTCCTCTGAGAATTTTGTATGTAAAATCCGCTTCCATGTTTAAATCTATTTTTAAAAAAATAATTTGCGGATTTGATTGTTGTAAATATTTCGAAACAAAGAAATGAAATTGTTTTATAGAATAGAATCATTGTTTCTTTATAAAGCTCTGTAAATTATCTCATTTCAGTGTTACTTTTTAAACTTTTTTATCACATTTCTATGATAAGCTCCCAGTTACATTCAAACTCTTTTATTTGTTTGGAAAAGAAAATAAATTTTTATGGGAAGAAAATGAAAGAAATGAGTATAATTTAAAATCTGTGTTAATGAATGCTTTGTTCAAGTTTTTTAATTAAGACTCTGGAAATTTGCAAACAAACACCCACAACATTTTGTAAAGTCATAGGGATTTTCAAGGATGTTGACCGAGTTAAATTTCTATGACGTCATAAGCTAAGCTATCAAAATTGTTAAAGCAAACTTAATCAAGGCAAGAGTGACATTAAACATAATGAAGAATTTCATACAGGGTAACGTAAAACAGATTTTTGAGATCTTCCTAATTTTAGTCACAAGTACTTGAAGGCACGTAATCTTCAAAGTAAATATTTATTTTTCTTTTGCGAAATATATTCCGTCTGCATTACTCAATCTGTCAGTTTTTTCTGATACGCGAATCTTAGGAAGAACCAATAACAATTTAGCTTACTTTTGAGATAAATCTTTTCAAATCTAAGATGTATGTATGGAAATTCTTTAAGAGTATTTTAGATATTTGAAATATTTTTCAAGACAGTATGGGTTGGTATGTGATTCAAAATACTTAAAGCCATCATCATCCTTTTGGTTGGTTCTCTTATGAATGCAAATTATTCATCAATTTAATTATTTATCATCACTTCTTATCACTGTTTTTGATAGTTCATCATTTAAAGCTTCATTAATTATTTTAAACAATGTTAAGCTACTTAAAACATTAGTCTAAGATTTAATCTTTCTCAGAATGGAATTAATATTTTGCTTCCATGACGATTTTGTTATGATATCAAATTAATCTTCATATAATTAATCTACTGGGAAAAAAAAAGAATTTACTTGTCAACTTGAGATTCAACTTTAAGTTTAATGCATGAAAAAATTATTTTCAAACATCTGACGTCAATCAATATGCGATTTAAATGTTAAAAATTATTTTGAGATTTTTAAATGCTTTACCAAAATTAAGCCACAAAATTTTTTCTCTACTGGATTTGTTTCGCATTTTAATATATTTGTTATATAAAATATTGGAACGTGAAACTTTCATAATGAATTCGAGGTAAAAATGTTAAAAACAGAATTTTCCAAGCAAACTAGAGATACTCGTTGAAAGGATGAAATTTCTAAACTTTGTGAGTTTATGTGAAATTATATATGACTGATTGAATTTGTAACCTTAAAGTTTCGAATGGTCTAATAAATTTTGATACCTGTAAGTTATAATTGCTCAAGATAACTTTAAAAAAAATTATTTTTGCACTTCAATTGAGAAATGTCAAGAGAAGGATATGTCTAAACAACCTCATGATAAGCATTACTAATCTTCTTTTGATACGCTGATCTCTGCGAATAATTTAAAACCTTATTACCATATTTCCTTCTTATGAACTCATCTAGAATTTAAATAATAAATAAATGTCCATAGAGAATAATGAAGAGATCACATTTAGGTATTTGGATGCCAATTTCCGAATGGAACATAATTTTCACATTTTCAATTTTTCCTTCGCATTTTCCTCCACATAAAAAAAGATATAAAGGAAGTTCAAAAGCCTCTTTATATCAAAAGTGATTCTCATAAATACCAGAGAAAAAGGACATCTCTCTTTTTTGAGTCAGATTACGATGTCAAAGATTTTCTTGGACGTTTTTAAGGGAGGAACATACATAGAAGAACCCAAAACAACTTTATGTTTAGAAATTGTGGTGTTTTCGAGTTTTACTTTCGGAATATTGAATCAATATGTAGATAGTTGAAAAGAAACTCTTTTGGATTTGATAAATTATTCACAAAACTTATTTTATGCTCTCAAAATGTATGGATCTAAATTTGGTTATTTGGCACAAGTTTTTATGGTCGTTACCAAATGGAATTTTTCCAGATTTATTGTTAATTATTCAAAATTATTTGATCAGATACTGTTCAGTTTTCAATTTTTTAATTTACTTCAATATAAATATATTTTTTATTGAGGTAGCGTTTATTTTGTTCTTTCCTATTATTATTATTATTTAATTTCTGTTTTTGTTGTTTCAGTGATAATGTTGAATAAATTGCACATGATAATAATAAAATGTTTATCTTTTTAATAAAGTAGAAGAATACTAAAATGTAACATTTTATTTATATAAATATCATTACAAAAGACAGAGAAAGAAAGGAGACAAAATTGTGTATGTCCTTAATGAAGATTTAGGCTTTGTACTAAAAGCCTGATTCATTTTCTGTTTTTTTGATGAAATAAAGAAAATATTTTTCTCAAAATTCTTTCTCATTTTATTTCACTGAAAATGTATGCATACGACTTCTTTTCTTTAATAATAAAGTTCACGCAGGCATGTTTTACATTTAAAAGAATTCAACAATCGCATTTCAGTTATGTCTTGGAAACTTTTCTGTTTACCTTTGGAAGCGTATAATTACTTGTTCCATACTTTTGGTGATGATATTTTCTTTCCGAAAGCTTCATTTTTCCACCCACATTATCTCTGCCACAGAGCCCGAAAATCTCAACATTAAATTTTATAAACAAAATAAAAATCACATAAACAAAATAAAAAATTTTCCTCCATAATATTCAAACTTGTCTTTGAACTTTAATTGACGAATGGAAATTTTAATGATACCAAAGCTCTCATAGTAACAGAATATCTACAATTTGTAAAATAAATAAACAATTTCTGTTGATGTATTTTGATCAGATCAAAATATGTGGTTTTATAATAACATAATCAAGTTTTAATCATAAAACTTGAGTACTTGCAGGTTGTTTTAATTTCTTAATTTTAATTTTAGAAATATCTTCTCTTTGATTCGGAAACTCATATTTGGTTCGTAATAAACGTTTTCAGGTGTTTTCTCACACTTTTCCACATTAAATTTACTCATTAGATAAAATAATAGAAGTTTCGCTTCCATTAATGCGAATCTTGAACCAATGCAAGCTCTTGGACCCATTCCAAAGGGAAGATAAGTTCCTGGGACAATTAACTTTTTATTTTCATCGCTGAATCGATTGGGATTGAATTTATTAGGTTCAGGAAAATATTCAGGGTCGTGATGAAATAGTTGTATGGGAATATTTAAAACTTGACCTTTCTTTATAGTTATTTGTCTGCCATTGCCCAAGTCAAGGTCATAGTCTTTAATGCAACTTCTGTCAGTCAATGGTCCTGGAGGCCACATTCGTAAACCTTCAGAAACCACCATATCCAGGTACTTCATTTTATGTAAAGCTTCGTACGTGATTGATTTGCCATCAAGCAATTTCAGTTGCTTATCAACTTCTTCTTGCAACTCTCGTTGAACTTTTTCATTCTTTGAAAGTTCATAGCATGTCATTTGGAGAAGATTTGAAGTGGTATCAAAGCTACATCATTAAATGTTGAAAATAAATGTTTGTGATAGGTAATTCTGCATGTAAATTTTGATAAATAAATATCTTACCCAGCGCCGAAGAAAATGAAACCCTGTGCTATCCAATCATCTTTCTCAAAGCTTGACACATTGCTGATTTTTGTTCCTACATCATATTCGACACTAGCGGCAAAATTTGTTAGATCTTTGTCGTTAAAATCATTTTTTTCCTCCATTTTCAATTGACCTTTTTTGACTTGTAACAACAATTGAATGACATCAGGTCGATAAATATTGTTACGATCTCTTTCATCCATGACGTCAATCACAACCCGTTTGAAAAAATTGTAAATTTCTCTGCTCATAGCTTGAATCCCAAGAAATTTGTAAACTTTTGGGAAAGCAAAGGCAAACATAAACTTCAGAATGCCCAATGGTCCGAAGAAATCATGAACCATTTTCTTCACAATTCTGAATGTATTGCTTTGCTGATTCACGACGCAATCAGTATGAAATCCAAAAACTGAAGTCGCTATACCATCAGCTGTGAATCTGGCGAAAGTATCTAACGCGTCAATAATTAAAATTTCACCTTTTCTTGCACGGTTTTCATAAAATCTTGTAAAATTTTCAGCGTGAATGACAACATTTTCGTACATCATTTTCATTTTAGAACTTGTGAATATTGGACTCAATGCTGTTCGCATTTCTCTCCATTTTTTGTCACGAAGCGCAACCAATGACTTGTTGAACATTTTATCAGAGCTTGTCACTTCATCACTATGATTAACAAAATGATCAAAGTCTTTGATTGTGATTCTTTTAACCAACTCAGGATCAAATACGTAATATGCAATTCTCCTAAAGAAAAAGAATCCGAAAATTCTTTTCAAGAAAATTATGAATTAAAACCTTGTTAAAACTTTTATAAATTCAATTAACTTTGTATCCTTATGCTTGTAATATTCTGATTTAACTAAGTCCACTATATATCTTCGCTGTAACAAAACGTCAAGCATGTTTCCAAATAAAGGTAGCGGCTTGTTGTATGGCAGGCCTATTTTCTCAAAGTAGTCGTGATCTTTTATCGACCACGTATAAGTGCAGTAAACTAGGACAACAAATAATATTAGAAAAATCATTCTGACACTTGTTTCAAGAGACAGCTGACTTCTCTACTGATGGACAAAATTATTTGATGCTTCTTATATAATGCTTTTCAGATTGTAGACAGAGTGATTATTGCTTATTATTCTTACTATAACTCTTAAAGAATAATAAAGTCAAAAAGAGAAAAAAAAAGTACACGAACTTAAAACATTTACAGTGAACTCTCGTTATAATTTTTTTCGAAGGGACCGGAAAAAAAGGAATTTATAACGAGAGAAAAATTATAACGAGAAAATTTTGTTCCCGTTTTTTTTCGAAATAATTTTCGAAACGTTAATTATAACGAGAGAAAAATTATAACGAGAGTCCACTGTATTAGAAACGATTGCTTAAAATTCATTGAACTCCTATGATTACTGACTGAACAATTTTTTATGAAGATTTAATGACGTAAATTGAATTTACAACCAAAGTCATCTCAATAACAGTCGAGCCTCTTAAATGATGTTTTAATAATCCCAGAATATTTGAAAACCATTGAATAAGGGCTTTGAACGTATTGAATATTTATTGTAATTTATTGAATGATTAGCCAAGAACTTAAAATTCGTTCAGCTGATTTATCTAAATTGTCGATCAAATATCTCCAATTTAATGGATGAGAAGGAAATAAAAACATTGACAAAAAAAATTCAAGCAGCTTAAACATTAATTTAATTAAATAAGAACGTCAGATATGTAAAGATTCCTGAAACATGAAGCTTTATTCTCACCAACAAATAATTAATAAAAGGAAAATTATTAGCAAGAACATATAAATTAATTTCAATCACTAAACTGATAAAATCTTTTCATTGACAGACACTCTGGCAAAACTTCGTCGTTCTTCATTCTCACCTTTCGGTGGCAGTAATCAAGAGCCACTGATTGTAGTTGAAGAGTCAGAACAAGATGAAAAGGAGGAAGATGAGAGTAAAAAATCTTCATCACCAAGACAAAGTTTGGATATTGACTCCCCTGTGAATCCTTATCTTTTGTCACCATGGAGAGATCCTCGGGAAACTCGCAAGCATTCTCTTCCAACACCTCCATGTACCAGCGGCATAACAGCTAGTCAAGTTAGAAGATTATCAGAGCGAGGGGGTGAAGGTTCAGGCCCAACGCCCATGGAGCAAGCTTTTCTCGCAACATTATCGCAAGCACCAGCACCGCAGCCTGGAGGAAGGAGACATTCTGTAGTAACAATTTCTAAAGTACCTTCTTCGCTCTTCGGTCGGAATAGACGGGAATCCATTGCAGCTGTGCCCAATTTCACACGGTAAGTTGGTTTTATAAACTTTTTTTATAAGCTCTAAATAATTCTCAACACTTCTTCGTTTTCTTTCATAAAATATGTTCAGATGAAAATTTTTCCCTTTTATGAACATGAAAAATAAAATCAGGGATTGGAATTGAGATAAGAACTTGAAAACTGTAAAAGCTCTGAGAAATTGAAATTGTTATCGATTCCAATCCATGTAGTTTAAAAGAGAAATTTTCTAACTTTTCTTTCTTCTTCTATAAAAAAACTTTTCACAGTTCAAATGGAGGTTCAAGACGTGAAAGTATTGGGAATGGCCCACCGTCAACAGACCCCCGTGGTAGCATTCATAATCTTCAGTTAGATATTATGGATGACATCGTTCAAGCACGAAAAGCTCGTATGAAACTATGGAATACGAGCAATGAGAAAGTGTGTGAGGTACAAACGGTAGATGAAGCTGGCACTAGTTCTTCTGCACAACGTTACACCAATAGACGATTTTCCGATTTTGTTGCCACCACACTCACTCCAATACCGCAATCACTACGTCGTGCATCTGAGAACCCTTGTAGCATGTTGTTAACGTCTCCCAATGTCGCACAAGCACCAACAACTCCTTCCAAAAAAGCCGGAATTATTTGTACTAATACCGATTTAATCTCTTTACTTTCATCATTAGCCTCTTCCGCTACTGAAATCAATCGAATAAGTGAAGTGCCGACTCCAGTTGCTCCCGTTGCCCCACAGGTTCCGCCTCAAACTAAAAGCAGCTCCAACTTTCTAAGGCCCGAACGTAAGACGAGTCTCAAAAAGTCAAATCGTTCCAATAGCTTTGACGTTTCAATTCTTAAGGGAGTTAAGCCGACAACAGATGACGTTAAGCCTTCAAACTCTGCTGCCAGTGGTTGGTTTACAAAACGACATATGCCAGCATCAAAACGAACAAATACGATGAAGTCATCAGCACAAGCCACAGTAACATTTGCACGCGAAACATTTGATAAGTTAACCGACTCGAAAGAATCATCAGCATCAGCTTCATCCTCATCTTCTAAAGACAAACCAAATCAAAAAAAGCGAAAGGAACACAAATCACCATTGAATCGATTAAAATGGGACGGTCGAAGTGCGATTGTTGATGCTCGAATCATCGGAAGTGCCATTGAAGGGTTTCTTAGGGGAAGTAGCTCATCATCATCATCGTCATCAAGCGGCAAAGGATCATCAAAAGAATCGGCACGATTGAAAAAAGCCTCCACAAAAACAAGTTGGTTTAGCAAAACAGAAGAAGAAGATTCAAGTGGCGATACGTGCGATACGTCTTCGTTATGTGCGACGCTTAAAGATCTGTTTGTCAAATAAATTTACTTTTCTGATGAAGCTGCTTCTACTAAAAAGAGTAAAGTTCGAAAGATTGTGGGATTTCTCTTTTTATTTCTGCATCGTCATCGTATTAAAGTAACTTTTACTTCCAGGATTATGGATAGGATTACGTTTAACGACAGGCAAAAAATGATGAAACTTACAATTTAAAACTTTTGTCACTTTTTATCGTTTTCTTTTTTGTGTGTATGGTTTATGCAGAAAAGTAGGAGAGAAAAAACGCCTTTTCATGGAAAAGCAATACAGAGTCATTAATCTCGCTGTTTCGTGGACCTTTTATTTGCGACGCATCGCTTACGATGGTTTATTGGATTTTCTTCCACCATCACGTTTTGGGTTTAACTTGCACCTTCTTCAACTTGTAAATCGTGACTGTGAGGCTATGGAGTGAACAACAAAAGCTTGACTAATAATGATGGTAATTTCTTTAATTTCTAATCTATTAACAAGACCACCAGAAAGGAGAATAATAATAGTGTGTTAATAGTCACCACGAGAATAATTAACTTTCTAAAACTTGAAGCTATCTATCTGAATGTAAAATGAAACTATGAATCCTTTTTGATATTTAAGATGGATAAGTTTGCTTGATGAAACCCATGAGATGACCCTGACAATTAATTAATGTTTATAATATGCTGATCTATCAAAATGAAAAATATTAATACAAATTCATTTCATTCTGTTAAGAGTTTTTGGATCATATTTAGTCTCAATTGAGATATTTCGATCTCAAACATAAGAATCGCACTTTATCATCATCACCAAATAAAATCGTTAAATGAAAAAGAAAATAACATTGACAAGGTCACGTAATGTGTAAAGAAGAATTGAAAAATATTGTTGACTTAGGAACTTAAGGACTTCTGAACAGGAAAAAAATTAATTCAATGTGAAAATTTGTTAAATAAAAAAAGGAAAATACCAAGCAAACAAACAAGACACTTGTGTATGTTTAAGAATTTTTTCCTTTTACATAAAGAATGATTTAAAGCAGTGATTTGCTTTTAAGAAAAAGGGAAAGGAAAGACAATGATAGAGATTTCCGGAAATCCTTCAACATGTACAAAAGTTTCCTGATAGAGTTTCGGAAGCATCCGTCTTGTATTGAACTTGATTTGGGATTCAAAACTTGTAAAATGTTAATGAAAGACTGGATTTTGAAGCGAAGATTAAAATGTCGCTCTGAAAATCTTTTCACATTGAACCTCCATAGATCTCGTTTTGAGAGGGAATGAGATTTCATATGAGATTCAAACAGATAAAACATTCATATATGTTTGCATAAGACTAAAGTCTAGTCAAACAAATGCAACAGTTTGGAATGTTTTTGAAATATATAGCAATCCATTTATTTGATGTCACAGAGTGATGAAGCTTAATGCATTTGTAATAGTCGATTTTCTTTAAAAACCCTTGGACCAAACACATTTACCATTTGATGTTTGTTGCATGGAAAATATTTGCAATTCCATCGAAGCTAAAAATTCTTTAAACGAAGCGTTTTCTTTTGCAATTTAAATGTATCATATTTCAAGAACGTTCCACAAATGAATGCCAAGTATCCATCAACCTTATCTACTTTTTCTTAAAACCAAAAAGAAAATTGGAAAGAATTCTTAACATTTACAAAAACAAAGGAAGAAAAAACATAAGTAACAACCAGTAATCGTTAATTGTTGTTTATCGTTTAACAATTCAGTAGCTTTTCATTTGTGAGAAAATATTTTTTAACAGTTAGAGTTGAAAATTGAATTCATAAGAAATAAATCAATCAAACAACACAATACAAGGAGAGTTAGACTTGTTGATAATAAACTTTAGCATGCATAAAGTATGAAATCCTTTATCAGAATGCTATACCGAAAATATTATACAAATTTAGAAGCTTAAATGTCCCTTCAAATATTATCAACTGTACCATATTTAATAGAAAAAGAAAAAACAAAATCACGTTCGTTTAAAATTAATCCCTTAAAACCGGAGATAAAAAAGATAAAAATACTGAATTCATTGAAAAAACTCTGTGGTGTGTCTGACTGATTCCGTAAAATTGCCGAAACCTGAAATGAAATTAAATTTTACCGCTTAGTAAATTGAAGCTCAAGTGTAGAGGAAAGTTAATTATGGAAAACACCATGGGTTCACATCGTCAAGTTGGTGTGTAGAAATTCCATTTTTATATTTGCTTGTTTCGCATTTAAATTGCTTGAGGATACGACAAAAGCTTTGATATAAAAATTACATTTATTTGAAACTGGAAAATGAGAAACCCTAAATTACTTAGAAAAAATCATGTAAATATGAAAATGAATGCAAGTTGAGCGAGGAGAAAACAGAATTTACATAATTAAGTGGCAGCGATCAATGGTTTAACAAAGCGTTAAAAGCGAGAGCGCAAAAATGGTATTGCGTTTAAAGTTTGAAGCCATCCAGGCGTCAAAATTCATTTTCCTTTTTTTCCCATCGTCTATTGTAAGCTCTCCGTTGTCTCGCACAACAAAGAGAGAAATGAAATGGTATGAACGGAAATAAAAAAATGAATTCATCCCTTAAATCATCGCGCTTCAAGCAATGCGTCGTAGGTCGGTCTGGGTATTAGCTTTGCTACAGAGATAATGAAATTATATTAATATGAAAAACTTTTCGAAGCTAAATTTTTCTTTCTTCTCGATAAATAAGTCCCATTGAAATGATTTCGATTTGTTTCAGCGTCATTGGCCTAAGCTTCAGGCTGAATTGAATATCTAAATATTTTATCACAGCAAAAATCATCACAAGCAGTCGTAAATACGCAGAAAACTTTTTCAGTTTCCCTCAAGCAATAAGGAAACTTTTCCAAATTCCAAATTTAGTTTGATTTGTGTTGATTATTGAATGATGTGGTAGGAGAAATTTATATTTCAATTGGTTGATGGATATTGAATGGAAGTTAAATCGAACATGAAAAGAATTATCAGTCGAAAGTTTGACATGGAAATTGAATGTCTTTACGAAGCGTCGAAACATGTCGAAGACAATTTTTTACTGCTGCAGGAAGTTTAATTCTTCTTCCATGTGATAAAAATTCGTCGTCGCTTCTCTTCTTTCGAAAAGTCTTTTAAATTCGTCACATTTTATGTACACAAAAGAAACTTTCCGCATGAGTAATCTAAAGCATTGCTCTGATTACACTCTCTCTCCCTAGAAAGTCGATTTTATTGAATTTTTAATCCTTTGCTCGTGTAACGTTTTCGGTTCTAGAAGAAGAATGAAGAAAGGGAATGAGAATATGAAGGAAAGCTTTCGTTAAGAACCGTATATGGTGACAAAAAGTCTGAATAAACAGATCTTTCTCAAAGGTTTCTTATCATTCATGACAGTAAGAAGTTGAATGCTGAATGAAAATTTCTGCTTGACAACCACAAAGTGATATGCATGGTGAACTCATGACAGTTCGACGACTTTCATTCCGTCACATTTTCGTTTTATTTTATAAGAATATATAAAACATCGTCTTTTTAAAGATTTGTTGACTCATTAAATGAAGGAGAAATTACAATTCAAAGATTAATTTGAAATGCAATTTCTTCTTGTTTTGAATTCAGATTCAACTTGCAAATGTAAAATGATATTCATGATTATGATGAAACTCATTATTAATTTCAAAAGTTGTTTGAAATGTTTTCTTCTTCTCATATTTTCTGCTTCAATTTGCTAAGTAATAACAATAATTGAAGTCATTATCTAATATGATAAAAGACAACGTTTAACGGTTTGACGCACATTTCAACCAGATATCTTTAACCAAACTTTTCTTATTTTCAAGAAGTAATTTTTGCAGGAAATTAGGTATATTCTAATTAAGTAATGACATAAGCAAATTGCTCTTGAAAAAGTTTATTGGATCTGTAAAAATATCTTGTTACATCATGTCACAATTAGAAAGTCAAGAACATTTCACGTATAAAAAGAAAATCTTGTTTTGTTTGAAGTATGCAAGCAAAATATCTTAAATGTCAACATCAAAAACATAAATTAAGTTGACTAATTCAGATGAATATATTTTACTTTTGTCAAATGTCTTTAAAATGCCATTTTGTGAAAAATTTAAAAAAAGAGAATTATTTTAATCTTAAGATAAAATAATTATAAAATATTCATGATGAAGTAATCTGTGGTTGAACTTTCATCAAAATTTGAACATTAATGTTGATAAATAAATACATAAATATCAAAGCCCTTAACCTAAAGTACT